TACATGATCGTACTGATCTTAATGTTGACGTACTTTTTTTCAAATACAGCTGCTAGTGCTTCCGTAGCTGATCGAACCAGTAATGTTTCTATGCCGTCGCAATCGTGCCGTGGACTTGTTCCGGCAGTTATTGAACCTTTGCCAAATCCGAATCGGAATCGACGAGAACCAGAGAACCAGCAGCATCATGATAATAGAGGTAATTGGAAATTACTAGTCACGATCATGTTTTTGCCCCTCATTAATTTATTATTGAATTTTATGTATTCCTTGGGCTTCGGATCTGATTGCTTGAAAAATTAGTTTCAAAGAGTATTGAGCGGGCGATGTCAATGCTAACTCCTGTGTGGTGAGTCAGCTGGGACTCAGTGGTTTGAGAAGTAATCAGTGTTAATTGCAAAGCAATCATTATACAGGGTGTCCCAAAAGTATGGAAACCTTTGAAAAGCGGCCAAAATAAACGGGAAAAAAATCGATAACCCTATATTCGACGTATTTTTTCACGGGGAATCCAATGGTGACTTTGGATTTGACCTTGAACATAACCTCAAAGCTGCAGCGACTCAAAAATCAATTTTTCAAATGTAACCCCCATTTTTTATTGCAGATTTGAAAAGAGCGGAAAATTTTAAATCAAAATTTATATTTTGTTTTTTTTTTAAAGAACATTTTGAGGGTGATACAGGCTCAAATGAAACCCCGATTTAATCTAAAATTGAGCTCAGAAGAACTTCATTTTCTAACTGTAGCGCCCCCAAAAATGATATTGGAAAAAAAAACATAAGGGGCTATTCAAACGTAAAATTTTTCGCTCTTTTCAATGGTGACCTTAAATTTGACCTAGAACATAACCTAAAAGCTGCAGCAACTCAAAGTCGAGTTTTTACATGGCAACCGCAAATTTTTATTTCAGATTTGAAAAAAGCAAAAAATTTTACGTTTGAATAGGCCTTTATGTTTTTTTTCGAATATAATATTTGGAGGCGGTACAGTTAGAAAATGAAGTTCTTCTGAGCTTAATTTTAGGTTAAATCGGGGTTTCATTAGAGCCTGTAGCACCCTTAAAATGGTCTTTAAAAAAAACAGTACATACATTTCGACGTGAAATTTTTCGCTTTTTTCAAATCGGCAATAAAAAATGGGGGTTACATTTGAAAAATTGATTTTTAAGTCGCTGCAGTTTTGAGGTTATGTTCAAGGTCAAATCCAAGGTCACCATTGGATTCCCCGTGAAAAAAATACGTCGAACATAGGGTTATCTATTTTTTTCCCCGCTTATTTTGGCCGCTTTTCAGAGGTTTCCATACTTTTGGGACACGCTGTATAAGAGGATACATCATAATAAACGTGATTATTATTCACTTATGTCCTATTATTTGGTAAAAAAAAAATTCAATAAAACATTTTTGAAAGTAAATATATTCTACAATTTACTTTTAGTTGTGATCATTTGAGAAAGCTCATATTTTTTGACATAATTGAAATTTGATATTAAGAGCTACTATAGGTATGCAAATTTACCATTAATCGCGCATTGATGTGACTCACGAACATTCACATATTATCCATGCGACTTAGCCATTCATTATGTATTGTTATAACTTAAAGTCTTTACATTTGTGTAGAACTTTTATGAAATTCGATCTTTGGTCAAATTTCTTCTCACACTTGTCGCATGCATAATCCTTACAGTCTTTGTGCACTGTTCTTAAGTGTCTCGTCAAATTTGTTAGTTTTCCAAATTTCTTCTCGCAACTACCACATGTGTAATTTTTACTACCTTTGTGGACTGTCCTTTGGTGAACAAGCAGATTCGATTTTTGTCCAAATTTCTTCTCGCACTTATCGCATTCGTAATCTTTTTGACCGTTGTGAACTGTCTTTTGGTGGGTGAACAAATATAATTTACGCCCGAACTTTTTTTCACACTTGTCGCATGCGTAATCTTTTCGACCTTCATGTATTGCCCGTTGGTGCCTGTTTAATGTCGATTTATGTCGAAATTTTTGTTCACATTTGTCACATACGTAATCTTTGTGATCTTCATGTAATGTTTTTTGGTGGTACAGCAAATTAGATTTACGTGCAAATTTCTTTTCACAAATGTCGCACGCATAATCTTTGCGACCTTCGTGTACCGTTCTTTGGTGGTCAAGCAAATGCGATTCGTATCCAAACTTCTTCTGGCAATTATTTCATGTGTAGTCTTTACAATCTTTATAGAATGTATTTTGGTGTAAGAGCAAATTCGAATTTTTCATAAATTTCTCCTCGTGCTTGCCGCATACGTAACCTTTCCGACTCTCGTGTACTGTCTTTATGTGCCCGAGCAAACTTCGTTTATTTTCGAACCTCTTCGCGCACTTTTCACAAAAGTAATCTTTGAAAACTTCGTGGAATATTTTTCTGTGCTTGAGTAAAGTTGATCTATTTTCAAATTTTTTCTCGCACTTGTTGCAAGTTAAATCCTCGCGATCTTTGTGCACTAATTTTTTATGCGTCATCAAACTCGTCTTTTTCACAAATTTCTTTTCGCACTCATCGCATGAGTAATTTTTTTGTTCAGTATGAATTGTGGCTCTGTGTGTCATCAAGCTTGATTCTAATATAAATGCCTGCTGGCAAATAACACAAATATATTTTTTGTCATCTGGAACAACAATTTCATGTTCACTTGAATTATCATTCGATACAAGTTCTTCGATTCTCTTCTCATTTGTATCCATTTTGGTGCCTGAATCTTTTGGTATTGTGGCTCGTTCGGTAGTAAAAGACAACATTCAAACTAATTTGATTTTATTATAAACATGATCAGTATCTCGAGGGAATTGTCAAAATCAGTTATAATAATATTGTTTATAATTAAGTTACCGGTTCGATGGTCAACACGACGTCGACCATCGAAAAGAAAATTCGTCACAAGATCAACTGTCATGTATTCAATTCATCTTAATAAGAAAAACCACATAAAATTAAATAATTTCAAGTCATTTTTTTATTACTATGCACTTAAAAATCATACATTGAAATAAATGATAAAAACTGTGTGTTAATTTCGACAGCGTACTCCAGTAAACGTAGTGAATTAAGATACCAATATATCAGCAATCACAACACTTTATAACTATGATCATTCAAAAGAATGGTTATTTTTACTGTGATAGGAATGTAATATTTTTGTAAATTTGTTTTGCTTTCCAAATTTTCGATATAATTGAAACTCTTTTATTGTTTTCGAAAAGTAATTCTTAGTTCTTATAGAAATGAATTTGCAAAAGTAACATTTATGAGTAATCTCTAAAGATTTAATTTACACAACTTACTTAAATTTAATATTTGAGAATCAAGTCAAAGCGTCTAAATAGTAGAAATCGGAAAATGAATATGTTCAATTTACGGGGAGGGGTACTTCTGCATTGATAATTTATAATTATTTGTAATTAAGTACGAAAAATGCAAAAGTAGACCATCATTGAAAATATATCTAACCATTTTTACCCAAAAACCAAGTCAATATTTTTTTTTAAAAATTTGCAGTTGTCTTTGTACAGTGCTGAAGCTATACTTTCTGCAATTCCATAAAAACAGTTAAAACCCTACAATAGTGTACTTTTTATGTATCTTTACTATTACTATCAATTGGGAATTCTATGCATCGTATTTTCTCTGAAATCTTCATTTTTTTTCTTAAAAGTAAATTAAGGAAATTGGATTTAATTTTCTGTTTCCTTTATTTTTCAGTTTTCTTTAATTTATATATTATGAGCAGAAAATGAAACAACTTCGGACAATTTTTATTGCTGCACTATCAAACAAAAATTTTACAGAGGATTTTCTCTGCACTACTTCGTACGAAGAAATATTTGAAAAAGTGATTTTAAAAAATAGTACTACCCTCAAACTTTAAGAAAATTTTTCCTACCTTTCCGGAGAGACAGTAAATAAGGAAATTTTTATACTACGTCTAATTTTAATCATTTTGCAAGATACAGTAGCAAGCATATCGATTAAAACTATTTTAGCATACGTGAAAAGGTGTGACTGTCTGCAGTAAGATATATTTGAATTTTATTGTAATAAAAAAACAAATATTCTTACCGTGTAAGCGTAATCGTTGTTGTAAATTTCGCCGTCTTCTAACGTGACGCGACTGACGCTCTGGTGAAAGCGGTCTCTTCGCATTGCGAACTATTAATATATAAATCAAATAAATATGCAAAAATATTATCAATTTTCATAAATGGCGATCGTATTACAATGACTTTACTTTCTTGGCCATTTTGTGGTTCCTAAGGGATAATATTTTCTGCGTCTCTTACTACCATTAATTCATCTCCATCCGCTACATTTTCTCTATTTTCCATAATCATATCTAATTCTCCATTACGGCCTCCCATTGCCTCATCTCCATTTTCTTCCATATTGTTAAAATTATCTACTTGAATCATTTCTTATTTTTCTTCTTCTGAATCACTAATATTTCCTTCTCTTCTATTCAATTCATTTTCCAAATGTTCTTCTTGATCCAAAAAATTTTCATTTTTTTCTCTTTCTTCTTCTCTAGCTCGTCCATTTTCGCCTTCATTTTGAATTTCGCACTTCTCTTTCATTGATTTATCCCCCTCCTCGTCCTCGTCCTCTCCTCTTCCTCGGCCTTGGCCTCGTCCTCGACCTCGACCTCTTGCTACATCTAAATTGTCTATTTCTCTTTCCTGTTCTACAGCTTCAATATTTCTGCCTCGCCCTCTTCCTCTTCCTCTGCCTCTCCCTTGGCCTCTTCCTCGACCTCTTCGGCCCCTCCTTTGGCCCAAAGGATTAACTTCACCAGCATCGTCTGGTAAATCCTGAATCCTGACGGCCGTGGGTGCTAACTGCAGTTTACAATTGGGTGCGACACCTGTTTTAAAAACGTCGCCTAAGAATAATAAATATTTGAGTAATGTATAAAAAATATTATTTACGTTAAGTTTTTCAAAACGTACCAATTTCGTCTTGAGAAACGAATGCATCAATATCCAGCTGACGTAAATTATTGATTAGAGCATCGTCAATGATTTCTCCATCGTCGTCAGGCTCCACTACAATAAACATTATATTATAAATTATTTTACAAAATTTTATTGTATATGTGTACCTGTGGGTAAATATTGGCTCCGACGCTGACGAACGATCAGCTCCAAATATTATCTCGTGCCTATCCTGTAAATGATGTAACATTCAAGATTGTGAGAATAAAAAGTTTATAAATTAAAATTCATCATACTCGTTGATTGTTGGTTCCATGACTTCCAACTCTCGATTTGCTTGTAGCATTCCTGTAGGCCAACTCCAGAACAAGCGCTGGGAATTCATAGCCGTATTATATTTGACAACCGTTGCTTTCATCAAATTGGCCATTTTTTCTGCAGAATATATTATGATGATTATAAAAATAAAATTTTTCAAAATCTATCAGTTGAATAATAAAAATTGTTTATCTCCTAGCATAAGCCACAACCCTTGCCTCACCCCAATATAATTTTTTGCGTGGAGGTGAAAGTTTTCGCATATGTTATTGGTTTTTCGTCTTCGACTGTAAACACTTATAACATTGGCGATTGGCAGCCAAGTATGGTTAAAATAATTTGAAAATTCATGGGCACGTGGACAATTACTTCCTATCATAAGGGTTAAGACAATGTTCAGACCTTCCTCCATTTTATCTGCAGGAAGGTAGGCCAGTGCAATGGCAGTTTTTAAGATATCTCTGAATTGTTCAGGGATATTTAATCGTCGGGTCCAATAACGGCGAATCGCCTGAAAATGATGGTTTTCATTACCTCGATAAAATTTGTTGTCGCTAAAAATATTAAAATAGATACCTGTTTGTAATGCAGCCACTAAGTTGTGCGTCAGGAAATACTTGCTGGACAGCATTTATCATTGCTCGCTCAAAATTTCTAGGTTTTCGCTCGTTAATGAAACGAGCAATATTAAGTCAACGGATCCAACATATGTGCCCGACATCCGTCACCTAATAGATATAAATTATTAATTCAATTATCCAAAGAAATACGCTTTATCTTACACTTAAATTTGTAACTTAATTGAACATTTTAGATATTTGTTTAGAAATTTTAGATATTTGTTAGGTTTCAATGCGTGAGTAATGCGCCATGTCGATGTAACTTTAAGATTTCTTTTCTGTCCGAATGTCTTTCCGCGTGTCTCGCATGAATGGGTATTATTATGCGACGACTTGAAATGTTTACCGAGATGTGATGTACGTTTATATTTTTTGATGTTGACATGTCTTTTGAGATGAGATCGATGTTCAAATTTCTTTTCACAGAAATCACATGCATAGTACATTCCATTATATAATGCATCGATGTGGACTTTGAGTTGACTATTCTGTGTGAATATCTTTCCTCGTACGTCACAAGTAATTCTGCTGCTATTGTACACCGCATGAACGTGAACTTTCAGATTACTCTTAGTTGCGTAAGTCTTTCCAAAAAGTTCACAAGTTTGTGGGACACGATTATGCACAGAATTGACGTGTTTTTTGAGACTACTCTTGTCTTAATATGTCTTTGAACACACGTCACATGCATGCGTGCAACCGGATCCAAAAAATTGATAGAGAGGAAGTGATTGGGAGTAAGAAAAATCTGAAAACACCCAACGTCATTGTTCAAATGGTGCAATGATAGATGAACGCCCGAGGTTCGTATAACATACTATCATTTCAGCACAATTTTTATTGAAATTTCAGAAAAACATATGCATATGAATATCTACACATAATTACAATTGGATCATTACTTCTCGCTATCTTCGCAAGCGAAATCTTTGCGGACTTCATGGACTGTCTTTTGGTGGAAAAGCAAATCCTGTCTTTTTCCAAAATTCTTCTTGCACTTGTTGCATGAGAAATCTTTGCTACCTTCATGGACTATTTTTTAATGGGAAAGCAAATGCGTTTTTTGTCCAAATTCCTGTTCGCACTTATCACATGTATAATCTCTCTGACATTCGTGAACTATTTTTTGATCTTTGGTCAAGGTGCCTCATTCACCAAATTTTTTCTCGCACTTGTCACATGCATAATCTTTGCAACCTTCATGGATTGTCTTTTTGTGCAAAAGCAAATAATGTTCAAGTTTGAATCTCTTATCGCAATTTTCGTATGCGAAATCTTTATGAAGCTCGTGAACTCTTTTTTTGTGTTTGATCAAGGTGCCACGTTCCCCAAATTTTTCTCACACCTTTCGCGTGCGAAATGTTTACGACGTTCGTGTACTGTCTTATGGTGCAAAAGCAATCGATATTTAAATCCAAATTTTTTCTCACAATTGTCACATTTGTAGTCTTTGCGACCTTCATGGACTGTCTTTTTGTGAAAAAGCAAATTATGTTCAAATACGAATCTCTTTTCGCAATTGTCGCATGCGTAATCTTTGCTACCTTCGTGGACTGCCTTTTTGTGGTAGAGCAAATTGTATATTCGTGTGAATTTCTTTTCACACATGTCACATACGAAATCTTTGCGACCTTCGTGTGTCGTTTTTTGGTGCAAGAGCAAATGGTGTTTATGTCCGTATTTCTTGCCGCATTTGTCACACTCGTAATCTTTGCGATTTTCATGTACTGTATTTTGGTGTCTGATTAATATCGATTTTTCTCCAAATGTCAGTTTGCAATTGTTACATGCATAATCTTTCCGACCTTCGTGGATTAATTTTTGGTGTCTGATTAATATCGATTTTTCTCCAAATGTCAGTTTGCAATTGTTACATGCATAATCTTTGCGACCTTCGTGGATTAATTTTTGGTGTCTTAATAAATTGGATTGAACCCCAAATTTTTTTTCGCATTTGTCACATGCGAAATCTTTACGACCTTCGTGTACTGTCTCGTGGTGCAAAAGCAAACGATGTTTAAATCCAAAATTTTTTCCGCATTTGTCACATAAGTAATATTTACAGCCGCCGAGAACTGTATTTTGTTGCTGGATCGAATTTGATTTTTTAAACTTTTCCTCGCACTTGTTACGTGCAAAATCTTTGCAACCGTCGTGTACGATCTTTATATGCAAGAGCAGACTCCGTTTATTTGCAAATTTTTTCGCACACTTTTCACACAGATGATCTTTAAAAACTTCGTGGAATATTTTTTTGTGCTTAAGTAAAACTAACTTATTTTCACATTTTTTCTCACACTTGTTGCAAGTAAAATTTTCATTTTCTTTGTGAACTAATTTTTGGTGCATGAGCAAACTCGATTTTCTCACAAATTTCTTGTTACATCGATCGCATGCAAAATCTTCGCGGCTTTTATGTTCTGATATTTGATGTCTACTCAAATGACTTCGAAACTCAAATTTCTCTTCGCACTTGTCACATTCATACATTGTTAATTGTGTCTTGGTGTGTTACCATGCCTGATTCAAGCTTAAATGTCTCCTGACAAATATCGCAAACGTAATTTTTGTTGTCTGAAGCAAGGATGTCGAGTTGATTTGAATTATCTTCTGAGACAATTTCGTCGAATTTCTTCTCACTTTTAAACATTGTGTTGCTTTAATTAGACGGCGTATTTTTCTATTTACTACTAAGGAAATTTAAATAAGTACAGTTTATTTTCTTGTACTATGGCTTGTTTCATCAAAAAAGAAAATATTCAAAGTAATTTGTTTTCACTATAAACATATAACTGGTACGTCGAAGGAAAATGTAAAAATCGTTTATTATTATATTGTTTACAATTAAGTTACCGATTTATCTGTTAATAGATTATTCTTACAACACTAAAAACAATTTAAAATTTCTAAATTGCCAATGATTCTCTCGAAGAATTTTTAAAGTCCAGTTCAACCAAAAAATATCTAGTAAATCAATCCACATGTACTCGTGTGTATAATAAAAAATTTTCATATTCGTTCGAAAATTTACTGCTCTCACACCATAGCGTAATTAGCGTGCTCCATAACATAACAATTCTAATACTCGCTTCTGTTCGACAACTAATGATGAATTCAAGTAAGATTCGAAATTGAGCTCTGTTGGTACAAAAAAGTGGCTTTTTGGACACAAGATGGCTTGGCCGAAACTGGATTGGCGTAAACTCGCAATCGAAACATAGAGACATAGTTCTATAAGTCAGTCTGTTCAGTAAGCTTACGATCAATCATTTACGACTATCGCTTCTCAAATACACGAGTTAAAAATCAATATGCTGGGCTTTTTTTATATGTCTAACCTTGACCTCACAACTTTTGATCTTCATTACGAACGTATAATAAAAATGATGTAATTGATAATTTGGTATTTTTTAACCCGTTTCGGGCCAAACGGACGAAATTTCCCACATTTTTTCCGGTGCTATAAACTCTGTGAAAAAAATACCTGAAAAATGTTTAAATAGTCATTTCTAACGTGAAATTTCATGAACTTTTCGAATCCGGTGTCAGAATTGTCAAAGTTGAGGAGCAAAAGTTATGAACAATTAAACAACAAAAAATACGATTTTTTTGAAAAAAATTTTGATTTGACCTAAATTTTCGAATCAAAATAGACTTGATCCGTGGGTCTAACACATATTTTTTGCGCCCATGGGGTATAGGTATAAAAGTCCATTAGTTACAATATCGAAATTTAACATTGTGTACAACAAAATGGCGCCTCGTAAAAAAAAAACCACGTACAAACTTGGCCAATTTTTTTATATGCTAACCAAGCATCTAGGAAAAAAACTTTACTGAGAAAAAGTTCTTAGAATTGTTCAAAAAAAATCCCTGAAATTTTTCAGAAATTTCTGGGGAAATTTTTGGATTTTTGAAAATGGTCGGAAATCAAAAATACAAAAAATGATCCAAAAAAATCTCAAAAAATTCAGAAATGTTCTTTGAAATATTCTAAGACTTTTATAACGTATAACACTTTTTCGTTAAGTTCTTCATTTTCAAGTAAAAAAATTAAATTGTTATTATTTTAAGAACATAATTAGTAAAGTCATACAATGAAAAGTGTTCAAATATGTTCAAAGAATACATGTGATTTTTTTTAGAATTTTTTAATAATTTTTTCAAAATTTTTTCAGATTTTTTTTGGAACATTTTGGATTTTTTCGACAGGCCGGGAAATGGTAGTATTTTGCAAAATTTTCAAAGTGGTCTGAAAAATTCTGAAAAAATTCACACGTATTCTCTAAACGATTTCAAATAAGTTTTTACACTCCAAATTGTACTTTTGAGTTCATATTTAGCGCATGTAAAATAGGTTCTGAGTAAAAAATGAGTGAATTTTTATACCGCTGCTCGGTATAAATTTCCCATTTTAGAAATATAGGGGCAAGATAAAAATCGCGGCAGCGCATTTTTTTGAAGGTTCAGAGAAAAAGTGCACGATTTTTGGTGTTATGGGAACCCTCCGAAGGCAAGGCAAGGTAGAAAATCGACTTTGAAAAAAAATTTTGAGTTAAAAAATCACGTTTTTTGTTTTTAATGGAAAAATAAACGATGATAATTTTTATTTTTCGCAAAAATAACACCGGATACTGAAAGAGCATACCCAAAAACCCCTGGGTATGGATTTTCAAGAAAATATTTTAACTTTATCTATAATTTTTTTACAACGGAAAATTCGTGCACAAAATTGCACTTTTGCGCGTTAATGGGTTAATTTATTCGGCCAGGCTATTAATTGCTGCATGGAGTCAAGCTAAAATTTTCGTTTCGGTCTTCGATCCAACAGGCACAAGTTTAATAATTGATATCCTCGATATATCAAAATTAATATTGATAATTAATTGGTATTCGCGAAAATATTCGTGATAATGCTCTTTATTTTTTGCATTACAAACGAATGACGAAAATGATTTGAAATGATCATCATTTGAAGATTTTCATTGCGACGTGTCACATGGGTTTAATACTCATCGTAAAACATTAATTTTGAAAGCATCATTTACTTTTACTTCATAAATTTTCTAAACGAATTGTCTAGCGTATCCAAAAAAGCTCGTTTTGTTTTTCTAAATTTTATTTCTATGGTACAGAGAAACCAAGGAACAATAAGAATAGATAACTTATTCAGAGATAACACAAGCAGCGTTAAATTTCCTCGTTTCTCTCTCTAGGGCGTCTCGACGCGCGCACCAACACAATCGCGTGAAAAGATCCGAAGGAGTAGAAAAAAATACAATTATACGAGAATATATGCAGAAAATGCGAGAGTTGGGCATCGCAACAATCGCGGAAAATTAAGACCGACGCATACAGGTGTCAGCTGTCGCAACGTTGTGGGGTGAAAAATCACGCGGCGCGCCGCGCATCGTGTGCTGCGCTACTTTTAAATATATGCCAGAAATACAATTTACGCGCGAGCCTGAGTCTCTCTCTCTCTCTCTCTCTAGATACAGCTCTGGTGCAGCTGCACAGGTGTAATAGTGAAGAGCAACACTTGCATAAAGCATGTTGTGTACTACACGAGCTAGACACAGAGTAAATTATAAAGAGAGAGAGAGAGAGAGAGAGAGAAAAGGAAGTCACAGCTCGGAATTGTGTAGTAAAATGCGCGCCCCGATGTACACACAGAGTCTACGTAAAGACCTATACTTACATTTATGCGCGCGGAATACACTCGGCGGTCTCGAGAGAGAGAGAGAGAGAGATAATCTTATGTACGTATTATAATATTGTAGCTGACGCACAGTGCACCTGTTTTCCGTACCCATGTGTAAGGGCACTGGGAGCCTTTTCTGCGTTTATACGCGCGCGCCTTAATCGAGAAACGAGTACTCGGTATGCGAGTGTATACCCGCTGTATACACAGTAAAAATTACCCGCGCGAGGCGGGGATCGGGGCGATCGCTCGACCAGAACATCATCGCTGTCACTCGTTGGCCGCACGTGCGAAAAAAAAGAAGGAAGAAATAAGAGGATGCGAAAATGACGCGACGAATCGACGTTTCGTTTACGTTACGTTTTTCTTTTGTCCCCATCTTATTGGAACTTAAAAATGACTGGGCCAGGAAGAGCAGTCGAATGCGCAACTAGAAGGGTCGATCCCGAAGTTGCATCGATGCACGAGAACTTTGTTGTCAATTATTTTATGTTTTTTTTTTTTCTTACGAATAGGGCACGCTTACTCCAATTGCAAATAGAATGTCGATGTGTATACTTGTGGATAACAGAAAACTCGTGCGGCATCGTCATGGATACCGCGTTGCGTCTAGCGCAACAACAAACGGATCGTTCCGGATTTCTTCTTCCGCAACCTCGCGGCAATAAAGAGGCGCAAGATTTGCTTTTGTTCGGATAATAATATTTACATATCGTTCTGATCGGCCATCCGTGTCGACGCGCTCAACAAAATAATAACAAAAAATCGAAATCGGAAGTATGGATTGGTCCAACGATTTGGACGTCTCGTCGAAAAAGGTGAGAGAGCATTCGTGTATATAATATAGCGAGCTAGAAACAGGTTCGCGCGCTCATACGCACTCGTGCGTTCCATCGTTATACTTGTATATTACATGCATGCATTTGTCAGTGTGTGTGCGTGTGCGTGCGGAAACAAAACTGCGGGGCAGCAAGCCGCCGATTCGCATGGAAGAGCGAGACTCGAGTCGGGAGAGGAAAAGAGAATGAGAAAGAGAGAGAGAGAGAGGGAGGTCCGGTGTGCAAATGTGTATATATACGTTTACAGACGAGTATCCTTGTGTGCGCGAGGTTCCATGAACTTGCGAGAGTGACTGCTCGGCGCAGAATCAAGCCGACGCGATTGTATCGTCGTCAGTGTGCAACGCGATATTGCGAGCCGAGCACGTATATACAGACCGCATCCGATTCTATATTGCTTGTACCGGCGTCGTGTGCATACAGTTTGCCCGTTGATGTGTTACGATATAATAATAGAAGTATGAATGGAACGCGTGTCGTTGTCGTTGTTGTTGCTGCTGCTGCTGCTGATGCTGCACTCGGACCCCAAGGCCCGAGTTAGACGTGAAAATTTATCGTGAAGTGTTCGTTTATTATTATTTTTTTTTATAATATCGAAGTACATCGTGCTCTGATTTGCCCCGCTCGAGATGATGAATTTTCGCAACGAGAATTCATTTTTTAAGGTAGGAACGTATTGTTTTCGATCGTATGAATATAATAATAACGACGAGCTCCTTTTTACACGAGCATTTGAGTGATCGAAAGGCATCCTTTCCTTCTTCTTTTGTTTATGTATTGTTCACCCGCTTCAGTGGTTATTCAAACGATTTGTCTCTCTCTCTCTTTCTCTCTCTCTCTACAAATCTTTTAGCTTTCGGATCCTTTCTCTGTATACGACAGCTTCTAGAAAATATTGCTTCAGGAAGCTCTGAGTACAACATTGACTTTTGTCAATTATTATGTCTGGTATATTTCGACTGCACATTCGTAAACTAGACAGAATCTTTGACTTTTCGTGAAAACAGTAAAAACAAATCCTACTGAAACAAATTGCATTTATTGTCGATTATGTTAAGGATAAAGCCGGAAAAAGTTTTATCTAGATCTGATTAATATTTCAAACGATTTTTCATGTTTTTTTTCTTGATTTTTTAAAGGATTGTGATAGGCTTGTAACATTTTGAGCAGTGATTTTGAAATATGAGAAGCCAAGCTTTAATTTTTAAATCTAAAACATAAGGATTCATCGATTATTTAAAAAAAATTGTTTATGATCTTTTGAAAATTTTGGTTTTTTCACAGGGCTGTATGTAAATAAAATAAGAACGATAATTTTTTTTTAAGAAGCTTTTTTCCAATGAATTGGTAGCGATTTTTCTATTTTTATTTCTCTGCAATTCACTTCAATCAAGTCCCAAATTGCAATTGATCGTAAGGAAAATAATTTTACCACATTGGTAGACTGAAAATTTTCTCTGAATTTTGCAGTTAATACCGAGACTCGGTCGACGCGCCCATCACGAGGAAAAGAACAACGACAGCGACCAATTCGATAATTCAGACAGTCCCCCCTTGACCTCGGGAAAATCCTCGGCAAAGCCAGCCACCAACAACAACGCGCCCGTGGCACCGCCGAGGGCTAGAAAAACCGGCTGGGGAGACGAGCTCAAGAGCGCCAAAACGTAAGAGATATTTGATTGAAATCGGCATATCGCACTTTTGAGGAAATATTCTGACAAAAATTTATTCTTTTCTGCTTCAGAGTCAAGAACAATTCTTCTTTTCAACAGTGAGTATTTAAGATTGAGCAGCTTTCAGGATTTTTTAATCGAGTGCGCTTTTTTTACAGATATCGAGCTACGAATAATTCAAATGTGAATGAATACGGTAAGACATTTTAATCTTTGCATATTTTTTAATTGCTTCGTGTATAGAAGTCTAAAAAAAAATCAATTGCTACAGATATTCCTGTCATACCCGATTTGGATGAAATAATCGAGGACACCGGCACATTGGATATTTCGGACGCTCCTCCGTGAGTGATCATCTATAATTTTTACTTTTGACAAAAACTATAGCGTCGATCCATGATTTTCAAATCGTTTTCTCGCCATTACAGCGTTGGATCGAACAAGACGGCCGCGGCATACAAAGAATTGGACACGGAATTGGTGAAAAGTCACTTGCTCAACGTTTTCGACAACGTCGATTTGAGCCTGTTGACGGAAAAGCTCTATCCGGAAAATTTAGTGAAAGAGTCGGACGAGGTTTGGAGCTGGGAATCGCTGTTCACGCAGATAGCTTCCGAGATCAATAGCGAGTCACAGGCAAAGTTGGAGGAGCATTGAATTTTAATGTTAATTTTTAACGAATAAGATTTATCTCGCGTCAGGGATGATAAGAGTAGTTTTATTATTCTTAACTGTATAGACATTAAATATCTAATGTCAAGCGACTTAATAAATAATTGATATATGGATGTTAATAGTATTAAAAGTTTGTTTCTTTTTGTGAGTACACACTATGTTCCTGGATAAATCTTGTTGAAAAAAAGTAAATTGATGCAATGTAAATTGATCAATTCAATTTTTTAAATTTATTTATCTGAATAATGTAAGGAAATATGTTGCGACATTAAATGCAGCACCAGAAACTGAAATATAACTGCTATCACGAGCTTCAAAGTCGAAAAAACTCGCGGAACCAGATAACTTCATCCTCGACGAGGGTATTTCGAAATATTGTCAGCTCAGCGAGTAAATCAAATCGCAAAACTGTTGATAATATTTATATGAGCTATTCGACTAAGATTGCGAAATTTTCAGGTAATTAAAAAAAAAAACTAAAAATCGAATCAAAGTTCAGCGTCAAGGAGATTGACAATCGAGAATCATTCGTATATAAAAATGGTTCCTTTTATGGACTAGATCAGTGCGAGATGTAAGTTATTATTAAAATCAAGAAACAAAAATTGTACAGTTTCGAGGTATTGATTCTATCCATTTTGACATGTGTAATTAAAATTTTATTGTGAATGTAAATCAAGTTCTGCTGAATATTATGAAAAGTATTCAATTTTTTACTGGTATGAGAGGATCGCGTTGTTTAAAAATCTTAAGGGGGGAAAGGCACCTAAAATATAAAAAAAAAAAATTTTTTTTCATTGACTTTTTTGATAGGATTTTTCCTCGGCTTTCCAGTGCCGTGATCGGAATTTTAAAATGTTAACTGTACCGTGATGTACAGGTTATTTAGTACCGATACTTTTACGATTATTTAGAAAAAATGAATGAAACGACTCAAAGATATATCGTGGCCAATCTGTCATGAATCTCGAGACTTTCATAAGTCCGTAGCGCCATCTATTGATACTCGTTTTATTCTTTGGTTAGAGTACATCCAGCAGAAATTTGTTTGTTTACACAGCTATAGGTGTACAGTAACGCCACCACTCGCAGCACGTGGGTTTCGGCATATCTTCTGTCTCTCTCTGTTTCGTGCACGAGCCCTGATCAAATGTCAACAACAGTCTGCTGACTGCTTCTTGATTTTCCAATGGCTAAAAATTACATTTTTTTTAAAGTGAAAAAAGTATATGTAGAGTGCAATTATATCTTTGCAACTCAACATAGTGTTTCATAATAAAGCTATGAAGAAGTTTCAATAGCTTGTTATAAAAATGTGACATTTTTAGCAGTTCTAATTCAAGAAATACAGAAGTACATATGTAAATTGACATATATACATCAGTGTATATGTATGTCACTGTACTTTATGTATGTGTATATGACTGTATCATATATATTATTGTATGTTGCATGTGATGAACAAGATTAGTGATAATTGATCAACTTGTAGTGATTTATTTCCAAGTATCTAGTGATAAATGTTTTATGAATGTTAGTGAATAGGTAGAAGACTGGGTTCAAGTTCTAATGTGAGATTGTGTATATTTGTGTGAAAAGTTGATTTGGACATAATCAACTTAGTTACCAGTTTCCACATAAAACCCATATTAGCGTATACTAATATTTTAGTACAACTTATAAAATGTAGTAATGAAATTGGCGCATTTGGCTTTGTGTGGCTGTCTGGGATAATTAAACATTGTCCTTGTGGGTCCAATATGTTGAAAATTCAAATTGAATTACTGTTCTTTATCGTCCAAAAAGTTTTAAGCAGCCTCAGTGACATGAGAGTATCATTATGACATATATTGATGTATTTTGGTTTTTTTCAACTCTTGGGCAGTTACGTTTAATCTCAAAATTGCTTGCATGCCGTAACTTTTAATGAGAACCGTTTGAGCAATTGAGCTGAAACTTTCAGGGGTTGTTCTACATGTGAATGGCTACAAACGCAAGCACTTTCAAAGGTATTGGACAAAATTTGCACTTTTTTCAGGCTACATCCCTAGCATAATTGTATTTTATTATATAGTATTAATGAATAAATGTGCATATGTGGCTGGCAAATTGTGTATAACTAATTAAAAAATCTGAAAGTGCTTGCGTTTGTAACCACACATCTAATGATCAAAATGAGACCCCAAGGACCATGATTGAATCATCGGTTCTAGCTGGATCCTACGGCACAGGGGTACCTGTCAGGACTGTGGGCTTGCTTCATCGAGGAGGGTTCTATGGTGACTGGGACCTCAATTTTCATATTCCACAGAGAAAAACTTTGAAAAAAGAGTGAAGAAAACAGAGTTTCCTCTGTGTATTCCAAAAAAAATTTTTTTCTTCATAATTAATAAATTTTTCATAAATGTAGGTTTAAGGTACCTTTCCCCCCTTAATTGAGTGGAGAAATATCACAGTCGTTTATAACAAAATGGCCACGAAATTGTGCACCTTGAAGCAAATAATCGAGCTCGCCAACAACTGTCATTCTCTCATTACAAGGTAAAATTTTCTATCGTCTGGGCTTATGCGATCGGCCCGATTCTTTTTTTTTATGTTCATATTTTTGATATGTGATTGAATAACGATAAGGAACATACAATGCGAGACGGTTTACTTTAAATTATCAGGTGCTGTGAACCTGTTTTTCGTTTTGACAGAACTATAGCAATTCTTTGTAGCTCACTTAAACAAACAATAATAACTTATCAGTTTTATTTTGCGCCGACAGTTATTTAGCTTTCCAGCTACCGGAACGACTGCCAAATTGGATTCATGTTTTTGGAGTAGGAGCTGCGAGAAATGCAGCTGAACTTGAATACTTTAAAAAGCCGAAAATTAAAGCAAGATAAGCAGAGATTGTGGCCAGAATGTCTGAAATAGAGAAAGAATTGAAAGAAAGAGAAAAAAATATTGAAGAACAGAAGAAAAAAATAGTAAGACAGAGTAAAAAAAAAAAGAAAAATTGATGTCGTCGAAGAAGACGAAGAGGCAGAAGAAGAAAGGGAGGAAGAAGGAGAGAAAGATGATGTAGATCATAGTGACAGAGAGGTTGAAAATGAGGAAAGCATGAACATGCACGAGGCAATTGAGGACTTGAAAGGTGAGTTGGCTGAGCTACAGCATGAACACGCTGCTAGAGATCACAATTTCTATGGACCGAGAAGGGTCGGTTGCATCGTCTAAACTTATCGCTGATGGTGTGCTCGAGAGGTACAACGATTTTTGTACCCAAATACTTGCTGAAAAAGTGTCCCGGGGATGTTTTCTTCGGCACGCACTCAAAGAGCCATATGCCCGCGAGAACAACGTCGAGAAGATGACGAACGATCAATTGTGCAAATTCGTTTTTAACCAGAATTACTGATTCTGAGTAAATCAAAAGCAAATTAAAGCGTCTGAAGTGATATAAAATCATGTATTAAAATTCATAGCCGTTCCACTCTCTTTAAGAAGTCCTAAAAAAACGTCAAATTTGGGTCTCTTGAATTAAGTGATAGATGGTCCCAAAAATTCCGGAACATCTCAAACAGATTCTTTAAAAAATTAAAAAATTTTTTAGGGCCAAGGCGAGCACGCAGCGAAAGTGTGGATCAGTCAAGGAGCTAGTACTAGTATAAAAATTTCATGTTACCCACTTGCGAGTTTGATACATTTGTGCATACGCTGTTGACGATTTATGAAATTAAAACTTTTTCTCGAAAGTATCTAGGAAGCTTTTTGAAAGTTTCACTAAAACATTCAAGAATTTTTCCTGGAAACTTTCTCAAAAGCCTCCTGAAAGTGCCCTGTAAGTTTTCAGAAAACTTCCCACATTGCTTTTGTTAAGGTGGCTCGTCAGCAATCATAACAATAGTATAGCGAGGCGTCTGTCTGTCTCTTTCTTGCATTAGGCAGGCAACCGCTCGCACCATTCGAAATCAATGATTTTACGTACATTTTGTTTAATTACTCATTAGTTAGTACGGTAATTTTTAACATACCAATCGAAAGGTAGTGACTTAAAGAATAACATATTCGTTTTTGGTTAAGATCTGTTGTTTAATAAAAAAGTTAAAGCGTAAAATGTACGAAATTATGATGGCCTCCCATAAGAGACCATGTTAAATTTGCTATTTTTAATAGCTTCGTTCTCAAAAATTAGTACGGTAACCCATGCTGAAATTTCTACAGCTTATCATGCACATTACAAAGAATATTTCTGCAAAGTTTCATAAAAATCTGTTGTCGACCCGTTTTACTGATGAGCCACCTTAATACTTTTAGTATATTGACTTCAGGAAAGCTCCTGTGGAATTAAGGTTCAGGCAAGCTTCCTAAAAGTTTCAATGAAACTTTCAACAAATCTTTTACTAAACTTTCCACGTAACTTCTCAGGAAACTTTGAAGATAAACGGATGTTAAAGGTGTTAAAAGGTTGCTTCTTTTTTATGAGTATTTTCCCGTATAAATCGTGGGATGTTCGTCAAACAAATCAATCAATAAGCAGCCCCAAGACGTTTAAGTACTTATTTTGGTACATGAAATAAAGTTGAAACGCCCAAATAAAAAAATTGATGCAATTTAAATTTATGAATTTCATTTTTTTTCAGAATTTTTCATCTGAATAAGATGAAAAGTCGGAATCATTGAATAACAGAAATGAAAAAATAATGTAAATATGTTGATTACCATCACGAGTATTGGCTCGTAGCTGCATCGTCATCTTCGGTTTTTAGCTGCTCGATAATCGTGTCGCGAAGAATCGGCAGCAATTGGCCTGTTTGCTTCATGTTATACGGAAGACTCAGGCACGCTCATGGCTGGCCAAAATTTTCTCATTATTAACTGGCACAGATGCAGAGAGCACAAGCCTCAGTTACAAACTTTATTTGGGCCAGGTATCTCACATGATTTCGTTTTTCGGTCTTTTTGGGTCGTAATATCGAACCAAGTCGTGTAGAGTGCAGTATCGGTTTTACCTTTATTTTTTTATGATACCAACGTTGTTTCAAATTTATTTAGTTTTGGAACAATTTATACGCTAACGATCGAGATGATGAAAGCTATAAGCGTAGCGATAAATGAAGCGTAGCGGACTCAACGGTGTAATTTGCATCAAATTTGTTAAAAATTTTAATTATCAGTTCACGAACTATACGGAGGAAGCAGATGCTGCATTGAGTTTAGCCAGTACAGTGGTGCGATACAACAGTGGCTTTCCTTCGTCCATCATTGTCAACGTCGGGCTCGTCTTTGTACTTGGTTCGGATTAAAAACTCAAAAAATGTATTATACCTTTGTAAATATTTCCATGTATGTCATTTGTAAAATCCACCGAGAAAAAGCTCAATATCTTCCTTTACGAAAAATGTCACGAAGATCGGAGAGTCGATCCTCCCGCGATCGCTGATTCAAGGATCGATTTCACGCTTAAATTCAAGTCGACTCTCTTCGAATCCCCAAATCGACGTTTTCTCGTAGGTTCTTCAGTTTTCTATAATTTTGTGGATATTTTTCACGAGCACAAAATCGCCTACAACTATCGAATATTTAATTTTTTTTTTCGCTACGAAACCACTTGCTGCGCGAACTTTCTTATTTGCGTTTACGCTGCGGCGTCGTAACGTCTACCGAATGTAAATTAATTCGGGCGATTTACTGCATTAACATTCTTATGGAAAATAATTTTAGAAATGTGTCAAATTATCGAAAAAGATCAAGGGTGGTCAAAAAGCTTTAGCAATATAAAATTAAATTTCGCATTTAATATATAGACGATGATTCGGATACAATCATTTGCGACAAAGTTCAATCAACTGTCAAGTCGCACATATTTTGACAGGTTTTTTTACTATAACCACAATTCAACAATTGTATTGTGTCACGAATAAAACTGTTGCGTATGAATTTACCTTTACCGAAAAAGAAAAAACAAACAAATTGCCAAAGTAACAGTACCACCGGAAAGATATGGGGTCTTTGCTCTCAAAAACCCAAAGATCCGGCCCGATCGAGTACAGAAATTATCCTCCAGGCTGCGTGGTGTGTCCCGAGGGCGTCACGCCCGGTAATCCCGGCCTGTTCGAGGCCGTTCACAGCAAGCTCGACGAGCTCAAGCCGAACACCTTCGACGGGATCCGGCTCAGGATCAACAAGTCTCTGAGCAATCACTTCTCGGTCAATCACACGATCAGCATGCGGCCCGAGCCGTGCTCCCTGAAGAGCTTCATCGAGGACGAGGAGGACGGCTACAAGTTCGCCGCGTCTTACCTGGGCACGAAGCGAGTGAATCGCGAGCGCTACCCGATGCTCTACGGCGACATAACTCCGCGCGGCACGCTCAGGGCGAACTTCGTGCACACGCTGGGCTGCCGATTTCGGGTCAAGCTGTCCACGCAGGTGACGAGAAACAACAAGTACAGAGATCTCAAGGCCACCGCGGAGTATCGCGCCAACGACGCCACTCTGTCGGCCACCCTGGTGGATCCGTGCCTGCTGAGGCGCGAGGGCGTGCTGTTGCTGCAGTACCTGCAGGCCGTCACGTCGAGGATCGCCCTCGGCGCCGAAATCGCCTACAACAGGAACTCGAACGTCGCCGGGGCGCAGCAGACCAACATAGCCGGCGCGCTCAGGTACAGCACGGGCTTCTTGACGATCTCGGCGACGCTGGGTGAGGCCGGGGCGCGGCTCTGCTTCCATCAGATCGCCGGTCCGCAGCTGCTGCTCGGCTCCGAGCTCAAGGTCAATTTCGTGAAGCCCGAGGCCAAGGGCACGGTGTTCTACAAGGTCGTGCTGCCGCGCGCCGACCTCGTGTTCCGGGCGTTCGTCGACAGCGACTGGAAGATCGGCGCCGTCTTCGAGAAACAGCTCCAACCCATCGCCGAGTCAACTCTGCTGCTGTGCGCCGTCTTGGATCACGGCAAAAAAGACATGAGCATCGGCATCGGACTGAATATCGGTTAAAAGAATGTCAACCCAGAGAGTGTTATCGAGGTTCAATTTACAAATGTGTAATTCAAATACTGTATGTAAAATTATATAAATGTTGAGAGTTGAAATAATATTTCGCTATCGAATTGGATTATAAATCATTACGCTATTTTTTTCTATTTACTTTCCTTTGGTCACTAAAACCTTTCATAATAATTTTAAAATAAATTTTTCTATACAATATATTATAGACAAGATTAGGAATCTTTGTAAAGTTTCGTGAAAGAATTATATTACACTTGCACACTGCTATCACAAATTGAATCATAATTTCTTTAACAGTTCAGTTCATGTTTCTCTCGTAAGTTCATTATCGTCAATTCACTCGTCTTCATTGGCTATTCGCTCGTCGCTGTCCGCGTGTGCATTTGTTGCTTTGAAATCCTGAAAGCTCATCAAAATTTTATCACTGATAAGCCCGTACGAATCATCGGCATGAGTCAAGATATCGCAGATCAGCGGCGATTCAACGCCCAATACGTATTCACATGTATTTGGTTCTAATAAGTATAATGAGACACTAGATTGGCTTCCCGCAGGATTGGTTACACACTTGAATTTTACCTGAAAAAATGTAATCAAAATTTTTGAGTATTGATTCATCATTGGTATTAATTTGAAGATTTAAATAATCTACCTCGGTTTGACGAGGTTTTCCAGTTTTATCACATGTAGTACCAGAGCCATAGAAATGGGATAATTCTTTTCTCTGCGCAAGTGGTTTTGGTTTTTTATTTGGATTGGCGTTAATCCATTCTATATGCTTTTCTTTATCAAATAGGCCAAGATTAACAACAACTTTAGACCCAGTTGATTCAATGTGGTACTGTCTGACAGAACGACCATAACAAAATTCATACTTCCACCATCCATTCCCCTGGACAAAAAAAGTTTTCTCAGTAAATTTAATGAAGTACAATGATGTCTTTAATACTTGAAAAAAATTAGTAGCATACCCCATTCAGACAATTTTTTCCACTAAGAAAGTTTTCAATTGTACCACTTTTGGCAATGATATTTCCTTGCTCCAAAAGAGGATTTAGAGAAGTATCAAGGTTGTAATGTTTTGAAGCTGTATCTAATGGATGAATCTCTACACGCACTTGTGGTTGACCATCCTGTAAATTAATAAAAATTTTCAATAAAAAAATATTGAAATACATAATTTATGAATTTATGAATTTATGAATTTATGAATTTATGAAATACATAATTCATGAATCATGAACGTTTTTCAAAGCATTAATTTTGTATTTTTATTGTATGTAAATAAATGAAGCTTTAGAGTACAGAAAAATGTATGAACATAAAATAAATATGTTATGAAAAAAAGATTCCAAAAACACCTATAGCATGGAAATATTATTAAATTTGTTAGGGTAAAAAGTTTTATAGATAAGAATTTATGATTAACACAGTTTATATTAATTTATCATGAGATGACACTATAGCTATACAACAATTAGCATATATAATGATGAAATGAACAATTGTTAGTAAAGTACTTTCCCCAAAATTATGAAAATTAAATAAATCATTCTAACCTGACCATCCTTATCTACATGTATAATGGCATAGACTTTTTGGGGCTTCTCATCCTAAAGATAATTCAAATTAGCATAAGGAAGTTTATATAAGAAAATAATATGTTTTAAGTTTAATTTAACATCCGTGTAAATTAAAATTTACTTCAATTTTTAGTTCATAATTAGTATGTAAAGCTCTTTCAAGTACAACATGAGTAAATTCATTGCTTGGGCAAGAGAAAAAAAAAATTAAAGAGTGAGTATAACGCATGTAGTAAAGAAAGGTTAATAAATTTTTACCGTATATTTTTTGTTTCTCAATTTTGAACTTTCAGCTTCCAATGCCATTAATGATCTGGGTTTCTTAGGGGCATTGTCCTTAGGTCTGCAATTGATTGTATTTTCTCCACTATCGTGCGCTCTATAATCTGGATGACCACACAGTAGTGGTGTGAGAACGATGGTTTCGTATTCACAAGTAGCTGTTTCCTTAATGGAATAAATTTCTTGTTTTCCATGTTGATAACAGACATATAAAACTTTGATGGATCTTGGCTTATCATTCAAATCGCACATAGTGCCATCTGTCATTTCTATTTCTACGTATGGCATATTGATACCATCAATTTTTTTAACAGGAATTTCAGCCTTTCTATTTGGATTCTTAGCAAGCTCATCATATTTAGCGGATAACTTCTTAATTTGCGCCTGGTCAATTTTTCCAAGATCGTACTTTTGGATTTTAATTTTTTTTCCATCTCGCTCTTCATGATATTGCTTTACATAATTTCCATGGCAAAGTTCATAGGTCCAATAAGATTCCAGCTGCAATTTAATTACCAAAAATTATGTCATCTCAAAGTTAACGTGTAGAATCTCAAAAAGCTGATGCACTTACACTATAAGAGCATGTGTTTTGATTAAACAATAATAAGGATAGATATTCAATTGGATTAGGTCCCACATATTCTTTATCTTCTGAAACATCTCCTTCCCCTTTGACTTGTGGAATATAACATTGATACTGCTCATTATTAACTGTCGTTATTGTGTAAGGTTCCGCATTGGTCTGAGAATCCTGCAAGAATCAGAGCAATATTTTCAACGAGGCAGAGAACATATAAGATGTTGGTAAGTACGCAAGAATCATTGAAATTTGCAAAAAATGTTACGAAATCGTATCTATTGATTTGAATTCTGACACAGCGATGGAAAGGATTCAAAATAAGCCTTCGGTACAGGTTTAACCTTCACGGCATACATCAATTTCGAATCAAAACAACGCAGTTCAATTTGCCATCAGTATGGTTACCGTTAAATCGGGCGCAGTTTTTCCCGGCCAGTCGAGCTTAAAGAGAATCGTGTCGTCGAAGGCCTTGGCGTCGAACGCGAGAGCGGTCGGCGATAAACGGCCGACGACCAGCAGCAGCAGAAGCGTCGTCGCCGCGGAGATGTAAAAGCAACGATTCATGATTGCTCGGCACACTGTTGTTGTGGGCTTATGAACTGTTCATTCACAACTGCCGTGTTCGCGCACCAGCAGCTCGTTCAAAAATCAAAACAACGCATTGGCAGCGGCGACATTCGCGGTGGTGACATTTGTCGTCGTCGTCGTCGTTGTCGGGCTGAGCAGAAAAGATAGCATGAGCAAGTCGAAGATGTCCTTTTCTACTTCGTATACGTTGCGTTGAGCCCGAAGAAGTGGGGAGCGCTCTGGAATCGGTCTTTGTATTGACAATTGACATACACGAGTAGAGTACGCCTGTGTATTGTATATGTGTCAGGCATCAGCGGCGGTCAGGACGCCGGTGTTCCGTGACGGTCCCTCGATTCTAATTTCCACGTGCTTAGATTCTAGTGGATTGATCGGTGTTTGCGAAACGATGCGTCAGGTTTAACGTATTATAATACGTAGAACGTATGCATATATTTCGAGTCACGATAAGAATCATCGTTCCCGACGTGCTTAATTTTCCGCATTATAAATGAAATGTCTTGAAAATTTTTTCTATTGCATATTTGTACAGAATTGTTTATGCAATTATTTATCCGACTTACGTAAATCGACCTTTCAACTCTTGATCTTTCAACGAGAATTTGCGCGAGGAGTGCTTAAAAAATCGTGCATTGTTTTTAGAATTTTCATCGATTCTACGTCGCGGTTTTATATACCGATTCGAGACACGCGGGGATATTTGTTATTCAAGAACTTATAATATCGGCTACGTTTAGCACGAGGTGGGGGGGAACGACCCGGTGTCTTGACTCGTGGCTCGCGTTGGACCGATGGCACTTGTTTTCTTAAAATAGTCATCGATCGGCAGAATTTCTGCATCGCGTCCTCCTTTTAATATCGTCGTTCGGAGTTACTCGAGGAACACGTGTTTGGCAAAATATATGGTTTTCCGGACACTCGTGCGGGGGAAAAACTTTCCGAAAGTATATAGCATCGTTCGAATAAATATGTTTTTTGTGGGATTCATCATACACGTTCGTTTGATTATAGCTGACTTTTTAAGATTCAGGTAATGGAAACTCCAATTTAAAAAAATTATATTTTTTTGTATAAAATAATTATGCAACATCAGAAAATATATGTGTCATCAACGTATGTAGGTTCCACTTGGCGCTATGCGTCGAACCTCGACAATTTTGGAAATTCATACTTTAGGTGGCTATATCAAAAGATTTTGATTGTTGTTGGAGCAGTGACTGCCTGTCGTCTGTTCTTTAACTTCGTGAACCAATAGCGCCAGCCACCACAACTCCACAATAAAGAATAGTCAACGTAGAGAGAATAGGAGCATTCTGTAGTGATCTCGTGCGCAGTCTCGCCTCGTGTGCGAGCCGCAAGACTTCACTTCAGAAAAGCATCTTCATTGCAAGAGTTGCAGGCATCAGTTCTGTAATAGAGCCAGAGATAATCTTGTACTTTATATAGTATACACCTACGTACAATACCGAGGTGCATCAATTTAACGTGTGTATAACGACTGCTTATATACGAAATCTCGTATAGTATTCGTGCCGCAGTTTAGCAGTGGATAATAATCGTCGTCTCTGACGTTAACAAAACAGTGATCGCACATCGAGAAGAAGAATCGTCAACGATGTCGGAAAAACATCACCGCGACGAGGACGACGTCTCGGACGAGGAGTTGAGTGTCACGAAAACACAGGTAGGACGCTTCATGTTTCTTTCTCAACTTTGTAAGCAACTTTTCAAAGCTACGAGAACCCTTCGAAATCTGATTCTAACCTCGAACGTGCGAGTGTGTGTACGATGGTAATCATTCGATAAACATTCATTCATGCAGCATTAAGAGATTTTAACTTGATTAATATGTGAATTCCATGACTTTGTTTGCATTAATGGTTTATCAGAGGCCACATTTATTTTCTTATGACTGAAAAATACATCTATGCTCGTAGCTCAGTGTCAACTCAAGTTCTGATTTTTATTCAATTTATTCAGTTTCTTGTGTAATAAACTGCTACTCTTTGATAGTATTTTCAATTGTGAGAGATTTATTTTTATTACGGTCTAAAGTTTATATTCAAATTTATATTTTGTTTGTACAATAAGCTTTTTCGCAGTGTTGTTGCTAAACATCGTTTAAAATAAGTAAAATATCATTCTAAGCTTAGCCATTTTTGAAAAAAATTAATGCTCAATTTTTTCGTATAGGGAAAAGATGGTCATGAGTCTGACTTCAACACAGCCGACAGTAATTCAGACACTGATTCACAGGATAAAAACCAAAGGGAAAGTGGCGATGGCCAGGAAGAAGATAAATCTCAAAAAAAATTAGACGATGATGAAGATAGACGTAATCCACAATATATTCCAAAAAGAGGTACTTTTTATGAACACGATATAAGAACTGGTGAAGAATCAGGCGAGCAAGAGGATAAAGAAGCTCCTGTCGAAAGAGAAACTAAAGAGAAAAAAGTATGGAAAGAAAAAGAAGATCGTTGGAATCATGATCGATATAATGATGAAGAGCAAGCCCCAAAATCTCACGCTGAACTCATAGCTATTTATGGATATGATATTAGGAATGAAGAGGGACCTCCCCGAGCCAGAAGGAGACGCCGTTATGGTCGTGGACCTAATAAATATACCAGAAACTGGGAGGATGAAGATGCTTATGGAAAAGTTGCAGGAACTGTGCCTGTCCAAAAAATGACCCCTCGTAGATCAAAGTCTGGTGAAGAGTTTCCATCTTTGACACCGAAAGACAATGATTCAGTAGAAAATAAGACAGAGCAGCCTGTTATTACTCAAGCTTGGTATAGTAATAAGAACAAAGTTCAGCAACATAAACCAGCACCACAAAATTTCCCACCGCTACCTGCCAATGAAAATCAAAAATCAAAAACAAGGCAGTTTACAAATAGTGAAAACAAAGCTCTCAATGAACGAAATCATGTTGGGAAAAAAGATAAAATGCCTGTTTATGTTAAAGATTCTAAAGTCAAATTGCCTGAAGAAACTGATGCATCAGTGAATGCTGTGGTTAGAGATAAAAAAAGATTCCCTGAATCAACTGAATTGAATAACTCACCGTTGAACAGAAGCCGTGGTAGAGGATTCAAATCCAATTCCAATATGGGTAGAGTAGAAACAAAGTATAAAAGGCCTGGACCACCAGCTAGTAGTGATATGAAACCTAATACTACTTCTGATGATGGGCCATCATTTCATCAAAATAATACTAGGCAAACAAGTAAGGCTGCATTTTTTTACTTATTAAAATTTTTGGATTTTACTTTTAATTTAAACTTAAATTTATATACAATTTTATTTGCAGAACTTTACTATTCACAACCATCTAGTCAACAAATACCATCTACAGTTGCGCAACACCCTCAACCTCATCAACAGCCACCACCTCCTCAGGCCCCTCCTCAGCAACAAATTTCTCAGTCACAACCAGCACCACAGCAACAAGATGTTTCTACAAACAGGCCAAAACGTTATTCAAGTTTGCGTCAAAGGCCAATTTCTGAGGGTCCTCCTGCTCCAGCAAGCTACCAACCACCTCCTCCACCACCTCACACTTATTATCAACCTCCTCAAGGTATAGTAATAATTTTTTTTTACACAATTAGCTTTGAAACTAATACCAAATTCTTTATTAAAATTGCAACTAATTAATTGACTGTTATACATAAACGGTTTTACTCCATTTAACGCAATTCGAATATTTAATTAACATTTAGAGCATTAACATTCTGATTTTTTCTAAGCACTTGCAAAAATGAAAAAAGAAAACTAACAAATATTTTACATCCACATGTATTTATTAGCTGGAAGTTCAAGAACAGTAATAGATACACCAGGTATGATACAGACAAGTTTGAATTTAATGAGTATTTTGGAATGTGTTTTAACCGCATGTCTTTTGAAAATGAATTTCTTTCTTTAATGTCTAACAGAGTAACTAATATAACACTATTCATGTCATTCATTTTCTTTTTCTTACATTTAATTGGTGTAACTATAGTAATTGTGTGTGCATGTGCAATAATCAAAATTATTATAATTTTTCATTACAAATTTTTTCAGATTTTAAAAAATATAAAAAATTTTTTTTATTCTGTACTTGATAAAATTTTAATGTTCTCTTAATACAAATTGTTTTAGTAGCTTGATGAAAATGTAAACTTTGAAGGAATGTTTCTTTATTGCTATAAAATAAGTATCTTATATGGAGAATATTGAGTTGTATTATAACAAATTTATATCTATTTTCAGTTCCTGCATATGCTCCAAATCCATATGAACAACCAGCACCTGTTCAACAAGTGCCACAAGTTCCTCAAGTGAGTCAAGTACCTCCAACAACTGTTGCTATGGGTGGTCAAGCTGTGATTCCTATACCTGGTGCTCAACCACCAGCTTACGGATCCCATGCGCCACCACCATTCTTGGTGCCCCAGCCTCAATACATTGCGCCGCAAACAGCTCCTCCAAATATCATTAATTATGTAGCTGGTCCAAGTGGTCCAATATTTCAACCTAACTACCAAGGCTTCAATCCTGCGCCAGTTCAGGTATGTTATTACTATCAATATTGTTATTAAAATTTTATGAAAATATATAGCTCTAAAAATTATTTATAATAGTCAATATTTATAAAAATTCATTGTCTATATTCAATTTTTCTTTTAAATGAGTTTGACCTTTTGGTCTTGTTATTAAATTCAAATTAATTTTTAATTTAATTTTTAACAGGCTGGACCACCTCCTCAAGAAGTGGGTCTTTACCAACCCCAAGGTTGCACTTACTATAGCCCGGCTCAACAACAGCAGCAACAACAACAACCAGTTCCATTAAGGAGGCCAAAAGCTGCTATTCCAATCTTACCGCCACCAGAAAATCAACAACCTCTCAATGTTCGTTCTCACGCTCGAATTCCGGAGCAACAGCTTCAAGATCATTTGGTTCAACAACAATTTCAACAACAGCAACAACAGCAACAGCATCAACATCAACAACAAAAACATGATCATTTAGTTCAACAACAGTTGCAGCAACAACAACAGCAACAAGAACAATTAGTCCAGCAGCAACTTCAACAACATCAGCAGCATCTTATTCAACAGCAGCAAGCAGAACAACTAGCGCAATATCAAGAAAAAGAGCGATTTGCTCAAGAACATATAGCTCAACAATTACAAGAAAAAGAGCGTTTGGTTCAAGAACAACTAGCTCAACAACAACAAGCTTTAGAAAATGAAAGAAAACAACAAGAATTGCTAGCCAAACAGAAAGAATTGGAACGACAGATGCTGGATAAAGAACGATTAATTCAACAACAGGAAAAACAAGATGCAAATAAATCAAACTGTTCAGAAAAAAATGAAGTAATCAAAGAGACCGAACCAGAAAATTTAATGGAAGAAAAGAAGATTGATAATTCTGTGGATGAAAAAAAAGAGTTGGTAACGGTGAAGGCTGAAGAAACATCTGAACAGATTCCCGTCAAAGGAGATGAACAATCTGTGCCTGAAAATCAAAATACAAATGGCCTTCTAACCCCTACTGATAAATCAGATGAATGTATTTTGATCAAAGAAAACGATAAGTCAGAAATCATTGAAAAAAAATTAGCAAATTTAAATCTACCAGATGATTCAGTAGAGGAATTAGATACTATTGTAATTGAAAATACAACATATAATAACAAGCAAAATATTGATCACACAGAATCATTAGTCCAGAAAAACGAAAATGAATCTGAAGAAAAAAAAGAAGACCCATCTTCTAAAATGATACAAGAAATCCCTACAGAAACTGAAATTGTAGTAAATTCAGATAATAAAGAAACTACAAATGATGTTCGATTAACAGCAACAGCGATAGTTAATGCTGTTAAAATTGAAGAAGTTTTAAATAAGACAGAGGACATAGTGAACAGTCAAAGTGAAATAGACTCGAATTTGAAGGAGTGTAGTGTAATTGAAGAAGCAGCTGCTTAAGAATAGTACTTAACAGCTACGAAATTTTGCATCTTTAAATTATACACCTAGAAATCGTATGTTATTTAACTTTTGATTATGAGTTTAAAACTTAAAGATTTTTATTAGGATGCATTAACAAATGTCAGACAATACTTCTATATTTTTTTATCGTTCACTTTTGAGATAAAATTTTTTTTTTATTGAATTGATTAATTTTTTTTTGGAAAAGTATTAAATATACTTCTAAAAATGTAAATAAAATTTAAAAAAGAAAGTCATTTTTAGGTAAAAAGGCTTTTTTGTTTTAGCTCAATCTTCCTATGATAAATGTAATTATACTTTTTATAGCACTCTGAACTAAAAAATCGCAACTTTGCCGCTTATTTGAGGCTTTCGTGCTATAAAAGTTTGTAAGCAACTTGGGTGGATATGTTTATTTAACAAAAATTGGGACAGCAGCTCCTCGTTTTGTAGAAAAAGCATATCCACACCTGTTGCACGAAATACTATGATAATTATGAACTAAAGATTTTTTCACGTTTAAAAATATTGAGCTTTATAATCATAAAATATAATTTCAGATTAATGAAAAAAAAAGATAATATTTTTTCGCTTGGGCATGAAAATTGAAATGAAAAATGTCTTTGGTATTATTTCGTTTACTTATGTGCTAAAATAAAATTTGTACACCATACAATATAGCATGTTGCCTTAACGTATATGAACGCGCCGCTTAAACAATACATACGTACGATGATAAAATCGTATACGCAAACGCGAGCGTTGAACTACTGACTATTGCTAGTTGAAAAGTAGTAAATTTTTTGATATCTCATGATTATTGTACCAAAAATTTGATCACGAAACGAAGGGCAGCAGACATGCTTTTAAAATTAAGACACTACTACAGGCTTTAAAAGTTTTTTAAATTATTGTATTCAAACTATTTGAACAATAATAACGAATCGCAACTTTTTTGTCCATCAAGGGCGAAGAATCATTTCTTTATCTTGATTAGGATTTACTCTTACATTAACTGATTAACAAACATTGTAATAATACTTCGAAATGTATATTGTAAATAAAAAAAATATATAAAATCATTAAAAATACGAATCGAACATTTTTTTATTACCCCAATCATGCTCTATCAAATTCGGTAATAAAAACAAGTAATACACATTTACAAAACGATGAGCCACATCGATTATATATACACAATAAAACTTTCAGTTTTCATATAGTAGTTGCAGTAATAACTGATTGTGAGTAGTATCGGTACTAGTTTTATAATCTGCATTAATTAAAGTGCATCAGTATTAAAAAATTTACGTAATCGCACAGATATTATTTTGGTTGTTTCGGCTACCAATAGATACACTCATTATTACATAGCAATTATTTATTTTCATGAATATGATATAAAGGTAATCGATAAGTAGTAGTGTGCGCAACACTGAATAATGGGATGAGCTAACATGGCAATCAATTTCAACGTAACACTGTTGTTTTACAAATTAATAGGCTGCTGAACCGTAATCGAGTATATGCGTAATATGTACAAATTAACTGCTGTTTAGGGAGGTGTAAGCAGTTTCCCGATAATTCAATGCTAAAAATTTTTTTCTTCTAATTAAACATGCGTTGTTCGGAGAAGATAATTATCGACGCCGAAGACGCACTGTAAACATTCATAAAACGCGTACTTATTTTCTACTTTAAACAGTACTTGAAATTAGCTTATCCAGTATATTTTACAAATTTTTCATTCGAGAGCTCGACTCGCACGTTTTTTTCAAGGTAATTCTTTACTTTTCGTCTCACACGCTTATGCTACAATATATAAAACACTATTCAAAAATGAGAGAAATGCGTCGAGCGTTATACTTTGATTTATCCCGAGCACATATTACTCGAGTGTATTTCACACAACAAGGAATTTACAAAGATTTATGCGTAAATTATAAACACAGATTTCACTTGTTAGACTTTATAAGCTCATGAAAATGATCAATTATTGAGCTTCTGTGCTGTGGTCCTCGAGTAATAATATGCGAATAAATTTCCTCTTCGCTGTTATTTTGCATACGAAAATTTTCATTTAATTTCGTTACATTGTGCGATATTTATTACACTTTGTCACAATATTCCAGAGAGAACGGAGCAAGTAGCTTTCAAGGGTGCATTTTTTCGTAGCCAAAATGTTAAATTTCAATTCAAAATTTAATATTGATTCTGCGAGGTCCTTGAAAAGTACTCTGTCATTGACCTCCGAAACATTTACAGCCTCAGTCCTTTGTCACGAGCGGAACTCGCGGCGCGAAAAACTCATCATCGCTCCTTGAAGCAGTTCTGCTGAACAATCGCTTGCTGCTGCTGATTGTTAACCGCGGCGGCCGCCGTCGTTACGCAAACCGTACTCAGCGGTATGGCTTCGGAGCTCAGGTGAAAATTATTGTTGCAGTTCACCAGCGTGTTGGTCCTGATGTTGAAGTTGCTGCACGTGGTGCGCATCGATCGGCTGGTCAGCAGCTGGTGGTGATTCTTGACTTTTCGATAGGCCCCCGCGCGGCCGCCGCCGTGGGACGAGCCAGCGCCACCGTCGCTCGGACAGCAGAACGTTCGCTTGAACTCTTGGCGAAATTTACCTGCCGACAAAGTTAGACAAACGGAAAGAATGAAAAAAAGTAGTTTGGCTTATCGTTTCGACGAGTGAAAAGTTTTTGATATTTTTGTAAAATTAAATAATTTCTTGATGTATGAATATATTTCGCGTACATAAACTTTATTTCTGTAACCGCAAACCCTCAAAGGGTTCTTACTGCTTAACGTTAGTATAGGCAGTGTCGCGAGTAAACTTTTTAAGGCTGCAGCAACGCGTCTTACGATTATATTATAGGTGGTGGTGTCGGTGGTGGTGACTCTGGCTAGAAAGCTTTAGAGGAATATTCTGAGTACCTTTGAGTGGTTACGTCAATTTGACTTTTTTATATCAAGCTGGAGACGAGGCCTTTTTACGCGTCGCAGCTTATCATCTTCGCGCTGTTTATATACGGATAATGTCTATGAGCACTTATATATCCGCACTAGTGGAAGTAGAAGTCCTGACCGGCTTCTTTTATAAAAAGTAAACTCGGAAGGACATCTCTCTCCTTTCCGTAAGCAAATTTTTTTATATAAAGCAAAATAGCGACAGATGTTTCAGAGATATAAGACATCTCTCGCACTCGAATCGTTTGCCTCTTTTTTTCCCGTCTTTTCACGGTCCAGCGCAACGGCTAAATTTTTCATAAAAAATCCGGCGTTATTATCAAGTGCGCGAATATGAGCAATTTTAAATAAGATACGAATACGATCCTGTGCCGAGAGTCGCAGTCGTCGTCTTGTCGCGCCACGGCCGAGTTATATTGCGTTATTACTCTCGTACCAGCGGGGCGTCTTCTTTGATCTTTTTTATCCAAGTGACGAGGACGAAGACGACAACAATCGTCGACATTGTCGGCGCGTATAATCTTGCACCATGTCGAGCCTCACGAACTTCTCAAAAGGTTATTATCATAATTATTCGCATATTTATTTGTATTTTCTCAAAGGACTAGAATCGAGAGAGAGAGAGAGAGAGAGAGAGAGAGAGAGAGAGAGAGAGAGAGAGAGAGAGAAAATAAAATTACACACTGTGCCTTGAAATAATGCTTGGTAGAGCAATACCATCCACACATACCTACCCCCTGTTATTCGCGGCTTAATTTGAATGCGGGGCGCAATGTCGAGTATTCAAAATCGTAAACTTTCGTAAAACCTTACATAGTTACGCTTGCATGGAACACGAGATCTGAGTGCATAGTATAGTCAGAGGGGAGTAAATTTTAAACAAATACGAAGGATTTACACGAAGAATTATGCTTGCATTATTCGAAAACATTCGCGATTTATTGGAACTTTTAGGCGGTAAAAAAAATTTTTTTCACAATCCATTCGTTTGACTGAATTTTTTTTTTTAATTAAAAAACGAGGCGCTCGTCGTTGCTCGGGATTCGTTAGTGGGCAGGCAATGCATTCGCGTGTGCAGTTATCTGTATAGTCGCTCGCGATCTATACCACCCGAATTACTGAAAACGAAACTCGTCGGATTTATTATGCGCTAACTCGGGTGGGTTTTTCCCTTTTTTTTGGTCTGGTTCATTGTACTACGCGAATACGTGTGAATTGGAAACATATCGTTCTGTCGCTGAGCTTATTGCAGCTATGCAGCTTTCGTTTCAATCGGATACTGTGATGTACATTTGTGTATTTAAATACAAATATTTAAATTATAATTTCTTGGTCTTAACAGGAATTATTATTAATAAACTTTACATGAAACTGAACTTATCTGATTTTATATTTATATTCGATGATTTTTTTAAACTAAAAATCTTGTTGACTAGTTCTCTAAAATTAGTTTAAATAATTTGTGTCGGCCGACTTTGTCAAGCACACGGTATATGTGAAAGCAGTCGCCGTAGCTCAAACTTCAACCGTCTCAAGCTTCGTGGCTAGCCGCTAGGTGTCGCGTCAATACCCATCAGCGAGTGGTTCGTGCCAGTGTATAATTATGATCACTGCTACATCGCGACCAAAATAAGTCCTGATGAGAAATTGTAAGGCGTGTTCTATTGAAAGGCATTTATAGCTATATTGTGGCCAGTGTCGGGTTATGGAGCGTGCCAATCACTCCAAGTCGTGGGGTCACAAATTTTGGAAGAAATATTAAAACTTTTTATAATGCTTCAATATTTTTAGTACTGTATAGTTATAGTACTTCATTTTAGAAGGCCAAAAATTCTCCGAAGAAATCGTCTCCAAGTTTGAATTATAAACCAATTTAAATATTGTAAGGAAAATGTAAGAACAGATAAATAAATATCTTAATGTAAACCGTATGATAATAAATGATTTTGAAATAGTCCCTCGAACACTGATCATGTTTCCCATAACATCAAATTAGTTTGAAAGTCTAGCCATAATAGCAAAAGATACATTTAACTTATTCGATTTCCGTGGTTCTAAACAGTAGAATTCATCTTTCAATTTAGGCACCAAAATGGATACAAGTGAGAAGAAATCCAACGAAATTGTGTTAGAAGATAACTCCAGTAAACATGACATTGCTGCTTCGGACGACACAAAATACGTTTGTGATATTTGCCAGGAGACATTTACGTTAGAATCCAGCATGATAACACACCGAGATACAATTCATAATGATAAAAAAATATATGAATGTGACAAGTGCGAACAGAAATTTGAGTTCCGAAGTCATTTTAGTAGACACCAAATATTAGAGCACAGAGTCCGGAAAGATTTTTCGTGCGACGGGTGTGAGAAGACATTTGTGAAAAAATCGACTTTATTAACGCACCAAAAATTAGTTCACAAAGATCTCGAAAATATTAAGTGCAATAAGTGCGAGAAAAAATTTGAAAATAAATTAACTTTACTTAAGCACAACAAAATATTCCATGAAGTTTTCAAAGATTACTTATGTGAAAAGTGCGCGAAGAGATTCGTAAATAAACAGAGTTTGCTTTTACACATAAAGAAGGTACACAACGATTTGTTCTTCCACCTGAAGAGAGCACACGAAGGTTCCAAAGATTATGCCTCCAAAGTGTTTGAAGACTACTTATGTGACAATTGCGGGAAGAAATTTAGAAAAAAATCGTATTTGCTCATGCATATATCATCAGTCCATGAAGGTCGCAGAGATTTTGCATGTGACAAGTGCGAAAAAAAATTTACCAGAAAAGGGCTTTTGATTAAGCATCGAATGACAGTTCATGAAAGTGGCAAAGATTACGCATGTGACCAATGCGAGAAAAAATTTGGGGATAAAAGTTATTTGAGAAGACACAAAAAGACAGTTCATGAAGGTCGCAAAGATTTCGCATGCGATAAATGTGAGAGGAAATTTGGATTCAAACACCGTTTGCTCGATCACCAAAAGACAGTCCATGAAGGTTGCAAAGATTTCGCATGTAACAAGTGTGAAAAGAAATATTCACAAAAAGTGAGTTTGCTCTCCCACCAAAAGATAGTTCATGAAGGTCGCAAAGATTTCGCTTGTGACAAGTGTGAGATGAGATATGGGGAACGTAGCAATTTGAGAAAACATCAAAAAACAATCCACGAAGGTCGCAAAGATTTTGCATGCGTCGATTGCGATAAGACATTTGGACAAAAAGGGCATTTGCTCCTACACCAGATAACATTCCATGAGGGTCGCAAAGATTTCGCATGCGCCAAGTGCGACCAAAAATTTGGATATAAACAGCATTTGATCGATCACCAAAGGGTAATACACGAAGGTCTGAGAGATTACATATGTGACAAATGCGAAAAGAAATTTGGGACCCAAAGTGTTTTGAATAGGCACCAAAAAACGATCCACGAGAGTCGCAAAGATTATGCATGCGACAAGTGTGAAATGAGATATGGGGAACGTGGCAATTTAAAAAAACATCAAAAAACAGTCCACGAAGGTTGTAAAGATTTCACATGTGACAAGTGTGAACAAAAATTCGGCTATAAACAGCATTTGCTCTCCCATAAAAAAGTAGTCCATGAAGGTCGCAAAGATTTCGCATGCGACAAGTGCGAGAGTAGGTTTGGATCAAAAACGTATTTGCTCATTCACCAAAGGACAGTACACGAAGGTCGCAAGGATTATGCATGCGACAAATGTGAGAAGAAATTTGGACAAAAATCGCAATTGTATTTACACCAAAAGACAGTACACGAAAGTCGGAAAGATTACGAATGCAACAAGTGCCAGAAGAAATTCGCAGTCAAAACGTATTTGCTCACCCACCAAAGGACAGTACACGAAGGACGGAAAGATTTTGCATGTGACAACTGCGATAAGAAATTTGGACGAAAATCGAGTTTGATCTTTCACCAAAGGATAGTACACGAAGGTCACAAAGATTTCGCATGTGACAGGTGCAAGAAGATATTTAGGAATAACAGCAGTTTGAGAAGACATAAAAATACAGTCCACGAAGCTCGAAAAGATTACGTATGTAACTGTTGTGAAAAAAAATTCACACGTAAACTTAATTTGCTTTTGCATCAAAATACAGTCCACGAAGGTCGGAAAGATTTCACATGTGACAAGTGCGAGAAAAAATTTGGACAAAAATCGAATTTACTTCTGCACCAAAAGACGATACACGAAGGCCGCAAAGATTACCCATGCGACGTGTGTGAACGGAAATTTGGACACAAATCCAGTTTAATTTTTCATCAAAAGACGATACACGAAGGTCGCAAAGATTACGCATGCGAAGATATCGAGAAGAAATGATGATTAACAATTGTAAAAATGTGTCGATACTCATACGTATTTTTTTCTAACATTTCAATAAAAATTGCGCTGAAATGATTGTCTATGACCTAAACCTCGGGCGTTCAACCATTATTAACCCATTGTTCATTGTCATGATGATGGATTGTTTTTGAATATTTGATTACCTGTAGCTGTTCAAGTAATGATCAGCCGATAGTTTTTTCGCGTCTTGTTTGAAACTGGACTTTTAATAAACTTCACGCAATAATATCACGACCTTAAATTAATCAAATCTGATCTAATGAAAAATTGATATAAATTTGTGGACTGACACTGATTATTTCTGCTAAAAGAAAAGTGATCAGTGCATTATCACTGAAAAAAACAACTTGGAAACCATCCGATAATTTAATTTAAACCAAAAAATGTCTTCTACGTATCTTCAAATGTAGTAAAAGCTCTTATGATTGTTTTTCCCTTTTTTAAGTACTTTTATCAATCAAAAACTTTACGTAAAACTCCTTAAATTGTATAATTGGCAAATGGAAGTTCTGTTACTAATCGAGGTTTGCGAAAAAATATTTAAACGTAAATTGAATGTCAAATTATTTTAATGTTTAACGGTTTCTACATTGGATTTTAATTATTGAAAGTGAATAATAATTGAAATAAATACAAGTGAATTTCTACATAATTCTATAAAAATTTTCAAAACACAAGTTACATAACAATTTAATAAAAAATTCGTAACCCAAGAAAATTAAGAATGCAATAAAAAATTTTCGAAATTGAGTAAAAAGTTAAATTAAACTCCAGAAACGACCAAAAGACAATGGATACTGGATGATTAGAAGTGTATCTTCCAGGTTTGATACTGATTTCTTTTTTGTTTAATTTTTGTTTCTCGAATTTAATTTAAAATTTCTGATGAATTTTAAATTCTTACCGCTCATGAAATTGTATATGACCGGATTAATTGCGCTATTCAGGTACAGTAGCCAGTGAAAAATGCAGCTGCTTATCACCCAAATGGGGACGTCTTCGGTCGTAAAATTCATCGTGTATCTGTGAGAAAAATGCAAAAAATTTTAATTCACAGCGTCAAAATATCAACGTCAAAATCCGTGACGCTAAAGCTATCGGGTTTTGTTCAATGCAACGCATTCGTGTTTGAAGACGAAGAAAATGGTAAACTGGCGTATATTTACATACTCATCGAGAAAACGAGTAAGGTAAATTTAACACGCAGTAGTCAGTAGCGAGAAAGCAGGCTTGATGCAGCGCTCTGTACCTCAATATGCCCATCAAGTGCACTGGAAAACAACAGATGGCAAACAGTAGCACGACGGCCACGAGCATTTTCGACGCTTTTCGACGGGACTTCAGTTGACTCTCCGCGGGTGTGCCGATGTTCGCCTGCGAAGTTATCTCGTTGGAATGGAGCATACGAGTGGATACTGCGAAACAACATTTAAAAAGTGCGTAAACGTAAGCTCGATTTACTCGCCGAGCATTGTATATGATTCGAGAGAGTTTTTGTGCACTTACGATTGTGGCCAGGAATGTCGCTCCTCCAGAGTACCCTTATGATTTGGCAGTAAGCAAAAATAATGAATGCCAAGGGCATGACGTAGAGGACTACGAATTTGAAAATAATAAATCCAAGTATCTGGGCGTCCGTCATATTATATGTACATTGTGTCATGAGATGCGTCTTGTTGCCGTGCACTGAAACCGTCTGCAATACCACTAACTCGGGAATATCTGGAAATTCACAGTCTCTTCATATGTAAAGCTGATTAATTTTTTTTTTTTATTTATAAATCATTTTTAATCAGTAAAGGTTGAATTCAACAAGGAATAATTACTATTTTAATTTAATATGTAATGTTTGGCACAGCAATTGAATTAAAATGTACATAAAGTTTAATTAAAATCGAAACTACAATGGCTCATAAAATATCTCTTTGATAAACCTATTAGCTCGACGTTGTACTAGAATATATTTTGCGAATATACATACCCAGCACCAGTGCTATCACCCAGATGACCACGATCGCAGACTTGGCTCTGCTCGTCGTCGATTTGAATCTGAGCGGGTAACAAATGGCGTACCATCGATCCAGAGAGATGAACGCCAATGTCAAAACGCTCACGGTGACGGACACCGTCTGCGAACAGGACAAAAGGAAGGGCGAAAGGGATAAATTATTCATTCTAAACAACAACAAAAAATATCGGCGCTTCGAGAAACAAAGAAAAAAGTCTAATTTGAAATTTTACAAATTCACGAAGTGTAATAAAGATACAGAATAAATTTGCATGAAATCAATCTCCTGTATTTTATCCATGCATGCATTCAAAAGTTTCGCATTTGCCCACTATAACACTTCGGGTTCTTTCTTTCGCTTTTTTTTTATTATTGGAAAAAGTTTGTTTGAGCGTTTTCTCTCTCTGTTTTTTTTTTATCTTTTTTGATTCGCGAGTCCGAAGAACAGAAAAGTAGGTTTACAGTGGGTGGATGCAAGAATATCGGGGAGTTCTTCGATTGAATTGGTAAAAGGAGATTTCTAAAAATATTATCGAGAGTAGACGGCGAACCTGTGGATATCTACTAAAAGCTTGCAAAACAAAATATTTTACTTTTGCATAGAGGACACTCTGCCCCGTATCAATCAATAAATAATATCGTTGTACATACGATTCTCCAAACTTTTGCTCTTTATATGCATCGAGTCTTTCGCAAGATTTTTGATTAAATTTCCATAAAAGCAATAAAAAAGAAAATCAGTCTCGGGAATTTTCACACGCCGCTGCCTCGCAAAACTTACTTCTCGCACGCATACGTATGGCATAAAAAGATGGAAAAACGATGTAAATTAGGGGAGAGCATCTTATATATACGCGCCAAGATGTAAAATTATTGCGAAACTTGCGCGAGTTCACTTTTACACGACGCACAGACACACACACATACATCTATACCGTTACACGATTCTCAATTAATAATATCGAACTTTAAATGAGTTATGTAAAAAGTATGTAACTAGCCAAAGCGTATAAGGTAATTATAATCCTGTGTGAGGTATCGTTACAATATGTTATTTGAACTCGATGGAACTATATACATATAGATACATACACAGGATCAAAGCTCGTCAGCAGCTCTACTATTTGCATATCATACGTAGCAGCGCTGCCTCTTTTATATAAATTATATGATTGCGGAACGTGCGCAGAACACCCAATATTAGATGCAGCCGTGTGTTGCAGTTTCGATTGCCAGGGCGATTTTCCGCATCCACGCGGCGCTCCTTTTAAAACGATATCGCCGCCGAGAGGCATTACGGCAGGATTAAATTCTACATACCGAATTCGGAAACGCATATTATAATAACTTTGCGTTCGCTCCAGCAGCGGAATGAGCAAAGAGGAAAGGAAAGGCTCGGCGCGTGTACACAGACGCGGGACGAAATTCTGCGGACGCGCAGACGATATCCTTTCAGCATCCAGTCGTCAAAGCCTCGAGTGCGTTGCTTACGACGCGGAAGCTCCTTCGTGCACACTTAACTACAACTTTGGCGAGTTTACTTTGATCGGCGTATATATACAGTAACTACGATATTCGGTCAACGTGTTGTGTTATTCGAGTTTTACCCGCCTCGAGTACGTCATTACTATGCTCCGGCGTATCAAGGTCGATAGAGGGTTGAAAGGAATGTCGTACGTGCCCCGCGCTCGTATACTCGAGTATGTATTACAAATATATATCGCGAGCTTGCTGCTGCTGTTGTTGTTGTTGTCGTCAGATAGTTACGTATTTCTCGGGGTAAATAAAATTGCTCACGATCCTGCGTATTGAAAAATAGCGCGAATTGCATAACTCTCGCGGTATAATCGAATTTTTACAACGAAGTAACTCGAGTCGAGATTGATTGCTCAATGGTGCTTCGCGCGATGTATGAGGAAAATATAAAGTTAATTTATATATACCCGTATAGGTCGCACGCGCGCGAGTACCGCAGCTGAGCCACGTGCCACGAGTTTTCAGTAGTATAAACTAGATTTATTGCGACGCACAATGATAGTAGTGTCGTGCACTATATACGTGCGAGTGTAAAAGTTTTATAACTCATTCCGATTAACGGATAAAGCTCTTTCGGGTGGATGCGACGTAAACAAATTTCGAATGCGCGAAAACGGATTTTTTTGACCGTAAACGTGAAAACGCGGCTTCTAATCGGTCGAGTTACGTTTGAAAATCGGATGATGATTGGAAAATGAGTTTTCCTCTTTTGACTCTTTGAGTTCAAATATATGGGACACACAGCTCGGTCGAGAGATTGTTACGCCCGAAACAAGCGCCACGTCCAAAAGTTACTGCGCGGCGCATTATCGCATTGATGTTCGTATATAATGGAGAATGCAATTAATTTGACGAAATAAAGGGTACATTTGGGAAAGGCGACGATCGATCGATCGATCGATCCCTATGCGTGACACATTGATTATATACACTAAAACAGGGGAGGGCGAGTACAGTGTCGCGCGCCGCTCGTCTATGTAAATGAGCCGCTGACTGATGAGCTGCTGACGAGCTTTGTTTAGTCGCGTTCGGGCAAATAGAATTATACAGGAATGCTGCAAATCCAAGTTTACTGCCAACATGCGTGTGCCTTTGTGTTTGTGGTTATGGATGGTTCTTGTGATGGTGTGAGTTGCATTTATCTATATATACAGATTATGGCCGGCGCAATATGTAGTTGGCCACACGCGAGGTGCAGCAGCAATCTGTGTACGATGATGACGCTGATGTGTTTATTTTATGTAATTTCCCTGCTGTCTGCAGTATACATTAATTAAAACGGATTGCGTGAAATAATTATCGTATCCAAATGACAGATATGTGGAGGCAGTTGATTTCATTCCAATCCTGGCATCGACTATCGTTGCACAACTATCAAATATACGGGTTTAATTCAAGTGCTTCGAGTTTCTTTTTTTTACTTTGACATTGAAACTTTCGGGCGATGCTGCCTCTTTTTCATTTCTTGCAAGTTCACGGTGGAGAGAAATTGCGCGTCATCCTCTTTAAATGCCGCAAAACTTTTTGCGAAACTTCTCCGCCCCAAAAGTTTCGAATTGACAGCGATTTCATTTTATGTCATTCGTCCTCTTTTAAATATAACGATCTTTGTCGGGTAAGTTTCTTGCTATTTGAAATCGATTTTATCGCATAATTCAAGATTAAGATTTGGTAAGTGCTTTTTCCTCGGTTAGGAATGCTCAACAATAAATAACTCATTTTTGAGTCGGCAACTGAAATACATAGGTTGAAAAAAGGTTAAAAATGTTCTTTGACTTAAATAATTATGTTGCCTTTACCACTTGCAGATTTACGGATATGTAGGTGCTCGTCATCCAGTGGTAGAGGCTTAATATAAAAACATCGTATTTACAGTGTTTGAAACTAGTTCTATTACATATTACTCATCCTATTTGAGATTCGATCGATAATTCTAATATCATCGTAATAGAAAAACATCGTCAAAAACAAGCCAATTAATAAATGATCAATCAATTTAAAAACTTTGAAATGGTCATTTTTTTCATTTATTATAGATATTGAGTATTTCTATCCGGGCTAAACATAAATAGAGCAATAGCAAGTTTCAATCAATCGACTCGATTTTTATGCGTAATTTATATGCAACCTCAAATATAAATAGCCCAAACTTTCCATGTTTAACGTTCTCTTTCCAATTACCCATTGACGAAACGAACAACCATTTTTTGAAATTAATAATTTCGTGCGTTCCTGCTGTGACTTTATTAAAACGCTTCTAAATTTTTTCTTATATCCACATAAAAGCTACAGCTTATTGCGAGTTAATTTTTTGAAAATAATTAGCCCGCACATTCATCTCAATTCACATTTCTCCAACTAATATTAATTCTTTGATACCGGATAACTTTTCGAGATGAATAACCGCGTTATGTCATCGCACCATCGAAATGCGCGATAAATAAGTATAAAGACATTGCGCGAAGTGTAACAACAAGCCACGCATACGAACATGTCTTCCTACGGTGTCACCAGCATCCGGCGCAGCAGCGGAACACGCATCGTTTATGGTTGCGAGCAGCAGTAGAGAGCTTGGTTGCCTTGTAGTATAAGGCACATATAATAGAAACCTGTCCTGCCATACGCTTACACGTGTGTGCAGCTCGCCGAATATTATTGGCCCCCAGAGAGATGCAGAACATCAAGGGGTACAAAGCCTCTCTCTAGGCGAGAGGGTAAAAAATTCTCCTTTGAAACTAAGCGCCCCGGTATAAGGACGTTAACGGCACAGCAGCAGCAGCTGTTGACACATCTCTCACGCTCTCTCTCTCTCTCTCTCTCGGTGCACGCTCGATATCAAATAGAGGCACATACACATACGCACATACGTAGACACATGGGTGCTCTACTATCGCATAATATACGCATATAAATACTGGAGCACTACACTAGACTCTCGCGTACGCGAAGCTAATATGCATCCCCTCGTATATATACGGATAAAGAGAAAAATGAGGAGATATTTGCGCGCGCGTTAATATGCGAAATTTGCGCATAAGTGCGCGACTCGCAGCCGAATTTTTCGCCCGTTTATATAAGGTATATGCGTCACATTGCGTTGGAGATATACAATTCGCCGCAAGCGCATAATAAGCAAGGAAAAATTTTATTATGAACCCGACGGAAATTATTTTGTAGATAAATTTTTAATAAATCTTAATAAGTCTTATAAAGGTCCGAAATTCGTACACCAGATTAATGGTTATAAAGAGTTTATAAAATTTATAAAAAATGTATAAATCTTTCAAAGAGTTTATAAGAGTTTATAAGAATTACGTTTTTATGCCAACACGTGACTATTTCAACTTGCCCTTGAAAAAATATTTTTAAAACTCTTATAAACTCTTATAAACTCTTATAAAGTATTATGAAGCCTTATAATCTCTTAAAAAGTCTTATAAGGAATTAGGAACTTTTGAAATTTAATAAAAAGCTATGATAACAATTATTCAATTTTTGAAAAGGATTATAATGATTGTTCAGCAATGAACGATCAGATGATACAAAGTAACGAGAAGAAATTCATACAATTAATGAAATACACGAAGTTCAAGTCGTAATTGTTTTATTGTTACAAAATCTAAAATTATTCTACACCTTTGAGGATCTCTTATTAATTAATTTGTTACTCTCCCCATCGCACCTTTTACAAGCGAACTCAAAAAATATCTATTTTTAAAACATGTGAAAACACAGGGCCTGTATAATTGATCGTAATTGGTACAATACACATTATCAGAAATTAATTCAAATTCGTTTAAGTGTACTGAGTCTTCACTGTAAAGTAAAGACTTTAATGTTTTTAACTTTTTAAAAAATAAATACACGTAGAATACATTTTCACACTTGATTACATATATTGTTGTAATAATAGCAAATTGACCGTTAACCATTTCAACTACAGAGTCATTATTTTTTTTTTTGTTTTGCATAGAAACAAGTAGTAAATCTACATTTGTTATAAATAAGTTTGCTATACTTCTTACAATCCAAAATTTTGTCTGTATTCATGAAGTTTTTCAAAACTTAAAATTTCTTCATGGCTAAAAGTATGTTTTTTTGCGATTCCTACTACAGTACATGAACCAACTCTGAATATTTTTTTCAAATTATGGGTATTTATTCCATCACAAAATTCCTTGATCGGTTTTGAAATGAAATCCTCATTCATAAATGTTGGTATTCTCTGATAAATTTGCAGCCTTGTGGTAATTTGAGCCGCTATTTCAAAATTACTTTTTTTCATTCGTAGTACAAGTTTGTTTTCATTTTCAAACGGGAACGTGCTAATAGCCCATAAAGGACCCCAATTTTTTACCGATTCACATAAATGTAAAAGAAGATGCACATTATAGTGCATATAGTTATTACCATATAACTTTCCAAATTGAAAAACAAACGTGATAAGTAGTTCATTAGCAGTGTGCAGCATTTTAGGTGTTATAGAATCACTCAAAAGAATATTCATTGCTCTAACGAATTAAGATATGTGTATAATATATTTTTTTTTAGTTAATCCAGACAAACATGGAATTGAATAATACAAGAGCCATGTAAGCCATTCAGAGGCCTTCCAATTGATTCCTACGCTCAACCCCCGAATTTCCATAAGAGCTTGGTTTCAGTATACGCGGTATCCTCGTACTCGGTGCTTTTTTAGAACGTAACCCCCGCGTATGCGGAGGAAATACTGTACGTATTTCAATCAATTTGTGGTGGACTGAAAAATCTCCTCCCTCATTAATTATTACTGCGAAGATTGCAATCGCAATATTTGCGCGTATAATAGTTATATAATGGGGTCGTTTACGCCGAGCTGAAAAGTCACCATCGTCAGAATTTCATGCGTGTTCGAAAGTCTCTTGATGAAATTAGCAAAGTTTCTCACTCTCGGCGACGACGACGACCGACATTGCCTTACTTCGACATTGTTACCCTAATCAACTCGAAAATACGCAGGGGGAGGTATGCTGTATAATTATAACGCTTTCCTCGCGTAACAGTCGCCGATCAAACGTGTTGTAAACTCATATGATACTTTAACAATACGGGTTATTCATCGTTTTTTGACGAGAGATTCTTTACACAGATCGTGGAATATATCGCACGCACGGCGGGATAGGTAATAAAGACGCCGCGACATGGCCTATAAACTGGCGATAAACGACTTTTGGCGCACAGCAGAGAAAGCAACACAACACACCCCCATAAGTCCTCTCCGGCTGCATTTCGTATCTCGGCCGGCCAGATGCACCGCACAGGGAGCCGCGCGCGTTTGTCACAGTTATTAAGTCCACCAACGGCATCTCTGTATAGATACCCCCGCGCCGCGAGATTAATAACCGGCTGTAACAATAAACGCGCGCGCGTATACGTATACGCATTTGCATGTCAATTATTCTCTCCTCTTTTCGCTTGCTGCTGCTGCTGCTGCTACTGCCGTTGTGATAAACGTACCCGATGAAAATGCGCTGAAAGCATATTCTCGTGTACGAGCTGTACGAACGTAATAAATAATTATATCATTCCATCCACGTGCTCTGCGAAAGTTGGCGACAAACAAACAAAAAACTTTTCTCGATTGCAGTCCCAATGACGAAATTGCCGCACGGCATTCCTGAGATTATTACGATTACGATACATGTATATATTGTTTCCTCTTTTGTTTGCCTCGGCAGCAAGAAGCTGAGATAATCTCGCGGCATGGCAAGGGGGTAACGTCCCGTTATCATCGCGATGTTGTTTCGCGAGTTATGCAAATACCGCGCGCTCATCTCGGATCCTCCGCGTTTGCGAGAAAAAGAAACGTGTCCATCATCACGTACCTTCGGCATGACGATCGTCGCGAACGTTACAGATAATTTACGAGAGAGAGAGAGAGAGAGAGAGAGAGAGAAAAGTTACAGTGTTTCGAGATTCTAGTCTCGCTTTTCTGCGAGGAAGAGAAAAGAATAAGTAAGTAAGTAAGAGAGTCTCGAACTCGTGCTGTGTCGTCGACTGGAATCAAAATAAAAGAGCTAATAATAGCCGTTTCGCTCTCTCGTGTGCACGAGTCATATACGTACGTCACATCGCCAGGAGTGCGCGCAGCAGCAGCAGCAGCAGCAGTAGCAGAGAGAGGCAAATTTTTTTATGCTTTATGTTACACGCACGCACGTGCGCACGATCAGCGTGAGTGGTATAGGTATTTTTCTTTTCTTTTTCGTCTCTTTCTTCTTCTTGTATTTTCCCGATGTGCGCGAGCTTAACGTGCCAAGATATACACATTTTTTTTTTTTTTTTTTTTTGTTAAGCGATCGAAAGAGAAAGAGACACATCCGTGCGGAAAGAAAATTAAACTTTGTTTGACATTTCCATTTATCTCGAGGGGCTATAATTCAGGAATTAAATAACGGAATTTCTATACGCGAAGTACATTATGGCCGTATTAACCCGTTTCCGGCCAAATGGACGAAATTTCGATATTGTAACCATTGGACTTTTATGTCTACACCCCATGGACGCAAAAAATATGTGTTAGAGCCACGGATTAAGTCTCTTTTGATTCGAAAATTTAGGTCGAATCAAATTTTTTTTCAAAAAATAGTGTTTTTTGTTGTTTGATTGTTCATAACTTTAGCTCCTTAACATTTTTCGGATTCGAAAACCGGATTCGAAACACCGGATTCGAAAAGTTCATAAAATTTCACATAAAAAATGACTAATTAAACATTTATTACATATTTTCCTCGCAAAGTTTATAGCACCGGAACAAATGTAGGAAATTTCGTCGTTCACTTCATGTCTTGACTTCTTTAGTGTCCCTTTACTTCGTATCTCATATTTCCCAACGATATGCCCTTATCATAACAATTTTTTCAATGGTAAAATCGTCGCCCCAGCGCAAGAACCGCACAAATAACTCAAGTAGCAAAAACGTGCCTTAGTCCTATGTTAAAAGGATACGATTAAGGCACCTTTTTGCCACTTGAGTTTATTAGTGCTGTTCTTGCGCTGGGGCGACGAAATGCACCATTGCAAATTGACCGAAGTTATCGTTATCATGTTATTATCATCATTACATAATTATTATTACATGATATTCAGTCCTTTATCAACGATAATTTAGCAATTGAAGGACCCGAAAAATCGTCGCGATAATTACGATGAGTACAGTGGAGTTCGATGAAAATTATCGAAATATATACGTATAAAGAAGTTTTGAAAAAAAGCTCCTCTCGAAGAGCTTGCAAGAGCTTGCATTCTAAATAAACAAGTATATATGGCTTCGAATTAAAAAATTTACCGGTTTATTATGCTTACATACAGGCCATTTGCCATCGCAAATTGGTCAACGGGTGGTTGCAAGATTTTTTCTTTACGAAGGGGGAACCAAAATAACTGATGATCAATGTCTTTGTGCTTCGTGCTTCTCCGGATCGTTTCTACCGTGTCGAGTGACGACGTTATAGATGCTTTTAAAAGTTATTCGATACCATTTTAATACGCTATATATTCCGGCTGGTTGACAACTTAATAAATGACGAACAGTACGTTTCGTTACTCAAATGTTATTTTATTCGAAAAAAAAATGACTCACCTGAAAGTACAGCACGATCTTGCACGGTATCATGCCGAAGAACCAGGTCTCCGTGACGTCCCAGACGACGGTGGGCGGCAGACACACGATGATCACCAGCAGATCGGCCACCGCCAGATTCACGATGAAGTAATTCGTCACGTTTCTCATGGTGTGATTGCGATAGATCGCCATGCAGACCATGAAATTGCCGACGAGGCCGACGACGAAGACGAGGCAGTGCATGGCGACGAGCAGCCACTCGTAGGGCCGCGGATAGATGTACTCGTAGATGGCGCTGACGAACTCCTCCTGATTGACGCATCGCTTCACGCTGCTGTTGACGACGCTCAGGAAGTTCTCGCAGTTCGTGCCGTTGTAGAGCTCGTAGGAGGCGGCCCCCGTCTCGTTCGAGTAGTCCTCGTCCATCGACGAGGTAGTAGTCGTCGCAGGGGCCACGAGCGCGACGCAGCCGTACACGAAAATCAACCGCATAAACGAGCGTATCATCCTCGTGCGTTGTGCTCTTATGGTGTGCGGGCTCTCTATTCTATCTCTATTATTTTTATCTTCTCCGTAATCCCTTTTTAATTGATTCGGTCGTTATTTTTTTTTCGTATATACCGCGCTGCTCTCTCTGCTGCTCGTTGATGTGGATGCGGTGGCGGATTACAATGATTGCTCTTTGCTTACGATGCAGCAGCAGCAGCAGCAGCAGCAACACGAGCAGCTCGTATTGGTGCTCAGATGCGCCAGGTTTGATGTGCCCTGAGCGTATTTAATTGGCCCGGGGCATATTCCCATTGATTTTCTCATTCTGCGGCCTGTTGCTTGTGTGTGTGTTATATACTGCTTCCGTTGCCGAGGAAGCACAGCAATCGACGCCGCTGCGGCTTTTCTAAAACTTGCAGAAATAATTTTCTCTTTATATATTTAATAAATTGTTTGAGATTGTAATTTTAAGTATGTTTCAATTTCTTTTTTTTTGTTTTAATATCAAACGGGTGGTTGATTGTAAAGCATTTTAAAATAGCGGCTTCTGACAAGTCCGATGGAACTTCGATTTTTACCGGTGAGATGATTTATTAATTAAATTGTAAAATGAGGAATGATCGACTTATGGTTTCAAATTTTTTTATGCAAAGGTCTCATTGAATTTATGGAGAGTGCTGAGACATCTTCTAATTCTCCAAGGCGAAAATTGGAGGAGACAATGAAATTCGGTAAACGTACTTTGACTCATACATATATTTTTACTTTATTGCTTGCAGATTCGCAGATAAAGCTACTTGCCTCCTGGTGGCAAAGACTCAACGTTTTTGAAGACTAGTCGATTTTTTTTTTAAAAGTTCTATATAGTCACTACTGTACAATATTGAATGCCCAATATATTTTTTCCATCATCTTATGTAATTATTTTGACTTTGTCATTTGCAGATTTGCAGGTAAAAAGTATTTGCCATCTAGCGGCAGAAGCTGAAAATAGTATCATCGTGTTTAAAATACTTAAAAACTGGTCTAAACGTTATCAAACAATTAAATGGTCATTTTTAGGTCATTCGGCTATTATAAACGTTGAACATTTTTACCGAGGTATAGTGAACCATAATTTACCGCTTGATATGCATTATCGAGCTAAAGGAAAAAACCCACACGAACGGGGGTTGTTTTACAAACGTTATGTTGTTGAAGAAGACACTTTCATTATAGCGGTATAAAAAAGCTGTAAACACACACGCGCATTCACATAATATAAGGACAGCAGAAACGTCTGATTTCCGCAATTTTCTTTCGCGAATGGAAATGTAAATGTTCATTTTGAATTTTTTCTTTCCTTTCTTTCACTTTGATCTAATTTAATTCGATATCAGTAGTACGTAGTACCGAGGCGCAGTGATTCCGTAAATAAGCGTCGTGGAGTATTCGTTTTTTTTTGAGCGGAATATCGTGTACGATATTCCGCTACTGGCAAGTTATTTTCAAAGCGTTGTCAGTTATATCCAAAAGAAAAATACACGATTTATTTTTCATTTACATGTATATTTCACAAGTGGAGGGTAAAAATTTGAACTCGCGCACGCTTTTCACGGATAACATAATGAACTGACATGATGAGCTGACATTAAAGAATTTTTAATAAAAAAAATATTCGTCAAACATAAAATTTCCTCTATATTGCGTAACGTCCAGATGTATATAAACGAAGATATATTACACAGCAGTAGCAGCGGCAGCTCCTTTGGCAAAAATACACTCGGCGAGCTGCCGCGCGCTCAAGTCTCCGAGTAAATATTGTTGCGTCCAAAGTTTCATTATATATCCGACCCAGCAGGACCTCGAACTCTTGCAACTTCTTCATCGAGTCTCGCACCAGATAATATGAAGTAATTAAAATCACGGCAGCGATCTTCGCTCTCTCTCTCTCTCGTATATAAGCTCTTCTAATCTCGCGCGCGTGAGAAAATTTCTCGAATCTAGCTCTCTCTCAAATTTTCATTTGGAAAATATTGACCCGAGGGAAAATTTCTAGAGGAGTGGTAGCTCATCCGCGCCAAGATTATTAAGCCGATACACGAGCGCATACGACGACAATAAGCCTCGCTACTGCCTCTGCATTACACGCGATAAGCTAGATGTTGTGTGCGTTCAATATCGGCTGGCGCAAAGCAGGTGGGGGGGCTTAAGTCGGGTGCACTTCACAGAGACACGCTTACATGTACTATACAAATGAGTTTATAAGCACGAAAATAAACCCGCACGCACGTGTGTGTGCGTTTAGTATATAAGCCAGAGAGGTATAGAGGGAAGCTGTGGAAGTTGTCTCTCCGCCTCACCGGATCCCTCTTTCCTCCTCTCTAATATTAACTTTTATCGGCGAAACGTCGAAAGTCCTTTATTACGCGACGGCGGCAGGCTATAACTCGAGACTTTAATGACGCCTCTTACACGCGTAAGCATATACACACTTTTCAGCTGCCACCCACGAGGAGGAGGAGGCGCGATGATAGCGCGCGCGTGAGAGCTGAAATCTTCAAAGTTTTTGGAATCTTTTCTATTATATATGCGCGTCGTAAAAGGCGTTGCACTGTGTGTGCTTTAATAACGGAGCCCAGGTGTAAGTGACGTTTGTGAGGATTTTGATATGGAGAATTATTTCTTGCATTGAATCAAATGATTTTATTGAGGAATAAATCGTTTTACACTGAAAAAATACTGTAGATAAATTACTGTGTTATAGCAAATTTTACTGTGCAACTTGGTGAGTAATGAAAACTAAATAACCGAGCTGATAAATCAACAGATTTTATTGAAAAATAAAGTGTCTTACACCAAAGGAAGCGTACTACAGAAAAAAATGAATTATGTTACATAGTAAAATAGTTACAGGGTAATTTTTATGATAACTTTCGAGTGTATACTTCGCTCCGAACGTAGAAATTTTTTTCTACGTCATACTTTTCTCAGCTGAATCGATCACGAAGTGAAATCCTTATTGCTCTGCCGCATTTGGAAGCAACTTATATTGATTAACTTTATCGTGAATATTTCGCTATATATCGTTGTGCAGTAGCGGCTAAAAGCTCAGCATGTGGGAGGATAAGATTTTTTATATTCAAGTGTATACCGTATTTGACTTGCATAAAGTATATAACACGAGCTGAAAGAGTTTCGGATATGAAAAAGTCACCGAAGAGAGATTTCAGGATATGCACTCATACATACATGTGACATGTACATGGAATTTCGATAAGACGATTCAGAGCCGAACATATGCGCATCTTTTATCTTTCATCACTACTTTGTCTCTCATCGGTATTTTTGCGTACGCCTTTTTGAGTGCTGTATATCAGGAAGTCGAGTGAATAATAATTTTTGAATTTAAAATTTTTATTTCAATAATCAGCTCGTGTCGATCTTTTTTCAATCAAATTAGTGAATTCAATATTTGTTTTCGCTTAAACATGTCGATAAATAAATCAACATTGCCGTAAACTTTAAACGTTTGGCCAACAATAAAAGCTAAAGTAAATCGACGATCGTATAAATCATACAATACCACCAAAGTCAAACAAATTTTTACTGCCTTTCACGTGTGTACACGTTCAACTATAAGTTCAAATTATAACTGCCGGAACGGACCGCAGAGAGAGAGAGAGAGAGAGAGAGAAAACGGCAATATATACCCCTTGAGATAGCTCGATGATCGTCGTGCAGTATATACGCGCATGATTCATGGTTGAGTGCACCCAGCAAGAGAGAGAGGCGAAAAGTGACTTCGCTTGTTGGAAAAATTACTCTTGGTAAGTTACAAAAAGTGTATAGCTCTACGCCACAGTTGGTTTTCATCATCCCCGTGTGTCAGCGCAAACTTTCCGCAGTAATTCAGGAGGAGGATGAGGTACATTTATATATTGTACCGCGTCGCGGAAATCTCGCAAAAAGCTTTATTACGCCGGGGAGATTCTAATAATAAAATTTAGGGACGTTTCCGAAAAAGGATTGAGCTCGACAAAACAAGTTTTTTCCGGATATCAGAGTCATTCGATTTCAGTGGTAATAGTAGTATATAGTAGTAATGAGGCTATCGAATGCGCGGAATGTTTTTTTTTCTCCTTTTGTCGAATCCATTGCCATGCGCAATGATATCACGACTCGCGGGTGTACCGTGCCGAATTAAGTAATAAAAACAAATGCGCGTGTGTGTACTACTGGTATGAACATTTGTGCTTTTGAGATCGATAAAATTTAATGAGAAAATAGCTGGTGTACAATTTTGAATGCCGGACACAGAATGCGAATCGAAATCCTATTAAAACGTAGGTCTACTGCTGCTACTGAAATATTTTTAAATTATCACAAAAAAGAATAGCTCAAATATTTTCGAGTGGCGGTATGTTATAATATATATTTTTTCCTCCGACAAAACAAAAAGTTTGGTTCGATTGATTTGGCTATTTTATTTTCTTAGATAAAACTCGCTCGTGTTTTTATTGCTTTATAAAACAAGCAACAGTAGCAGCAGTATGAAAATGTCATAAATATTCACATCAAATTTTATTAGCTCACACTGCGGCGAATTTCGAAGTGATTAAACTCTCGCGGTATGAGAAAAAATTTTATCTTAGAAATATCGACATTTTTCGTTCGACGAGTTAAACAACAACGCACAGCCGAAGCTACTTCGTCGTATACGTCGTGCTTACCGCACATTCGGTAATTGTGTAAGACAAATAAAAATTCAGATTAGGAATTCGAGACGACAATACTCTTTACACATTCCCTCGAAGAAAATACACAGTTCTATTGTGCATCCAGAGAGAAAGAGAAGTAAAAGAAAAGTATCTTTTAAAAAAATCACACACGAATTGTCCGCGTGTAAATACATACGATAATAATAAGCGAAGCATGCGTATACGCGCGTTGATGAAATTACGTCTAACATCTCGCGACAAAAATAAAACTAACTGAGCTTGACTCTAGTACGCAAGTTGTAAGGTACTAAAAAAAAATTATGTCGTTCCCTGCTGCTACTAACGCGCGCGGGACCGAGAGTTGACTCTCGATGACGCCTGTTTATTGAAAAAGTTTGCTGCGAAAAGCTATAACCGCTGCACGAGCGTCATCTTTCTCTCTGTGAAGTGAGGCAAAATTTATGAAACTATAACGGTTTCGCAGTTAACCATCAAACGGAAATGAAAATTAACCGACTCTTGAAATTATTCACCTTTGGTGTAATGAAAGTTATCTCATTACCAGCGTGCGCACATATTGCCCTACAGCCAATTCTCTCTCTCTCTCTCTCTCTCTCTCTCTCTCTCTCTCTCTCTCTCTCTCTCTCNTCTCTCTCTCTCTCTCTCTCTCTCTCTCTCTCTCTCTCTCTCTCTCTCTCTCTCGATGTCAGAAGTGACTTGGAGACTTCTTTCCTAGTAGGAATGTGGATAATTTCCTGAATTTATCCTTTCTCGTAGAAAAATGTTAAAAGTATCTAGTATTTTAGAAAATTCCTAGAAAATCTACTGTAAAACTTAAAAAAAAAACGTAACGACGCAATTGAAAACCGATGTATTGGGTAAAAATATCGCATAAACGCAGTAGCCATCTCTTATAACGCTAAGAAAATAGCTATTTGATTAATTTGTTAATGTAGGAGAGACACGGAGAGTAAAAAAATACTGAAAAATTAGATTATAACAAAGCTTTTCCGTAGAGTAGAGAGAGAGCAATACGATCCATTATGCAATGATAGCTTGGTGAAATTTGATGCAGCTCTCACTCTCTTGGGTTGATACGTGCAAGCGGCGATGGCGAAGTAGAATTAAATTGAATGTCATAATTTATAATACCGTAACGCTGAAGAATTTAGCAAGGTCTAGCCATGCTGAAACGTAAGCTTATAACAAGCGAGAGGAAACGAAACGAGGGGGGGGTTGGTTTATTGTGTTTTTGTTTACACACTCGATTTACCCCCGTTGTGTTGTTATCGGACGAATGATATTTTGATGATAATTATTAAAATATTCAAATACTTACACGATAATATTTGCAAAATTGCTTTCCGGTACGATCAATTGATGCATCGCGCGCACGAGCTTAAACATAAAATTATTTCCTCGCCGATATACACTGAGAAAAAAATGCCATTGAAACAATCACTAAGTGATGTTGATAATTGAAATATCATTTCAAATTTCACAAAATGAATGAAATAAATAAATAAAATTAATAAAATTATGATTATTTCGATGAAATATTTGATTGGCAAACATACCAAGTAAATATTTCACTCACTTTCAATTGACAAAACGCTTCATAGTTAGGATTACTTAATTTATCATGTTGATGAACCTAGTTTCAATCAAAATATTTTTACTAAATATTTCATTGATTGAATAATCTATAATAAAAAATGGGCCTAATTTTTTGCCGCTTGCGCGCATTCAACATTTATTTTTTCGTATCCACAAGTGACGAAATATCTTTTAGATTGGTATACATAAGGAAGGTTCATCTTTGAACAAGTAAACAAGCGAGTGACCCCTTAGTAAGCGTTAGTATCGCGTTATCGTTTACAAGCGTGTAAATGCGTTAGGTTATAGAATATATACATTAAAGTAGTGTGAAAAAAGTTATAAAAGTATGTATGAATAATAAAATAATTTCTTTAAATCCAAGATAAAATAATGACTGTAAACTGATATCAGCGTGAAGGACTTCAAAGAAGGCAAAACACAAGAATTTATTTTATATTCTATTTAAATAGAAAATAAAATTAAAAAATTATTTTATTATAATTTTCGAAATATTTTATCAAAACAAAGAAATTTTTAATTTATTTAAAAAAAATATCATTGCAAATAATTAAATTATTTTGACAATTCAACTTAATATTTACTTAAATCGATTATATGTCGTGTATTATTATTCAAATTAATAGTTTGTTTTTATTAAATATTTTGTAAATTGTAATAGAATATTTCATTGAAACAATGAAGCCTTGGTTGATCGGGCAAAATATTTTTCTCGATGTACATCCGAAAATAGAGCGCATTATGCTGTTGTGATAATAATCCTCTTTTCCAGCTAAATGAGGTATTTTCGGGGAAAAAGGTGTTTTTTGCTCGTATTACACACCCCCAAAAATACCCGCGAAAGAAATATATCTTTTCCTTTCACCCTTTTTGAGCCATAGAAAGCAATTTAGCTCGCACGCTCGTGCAATTTTTTTGAAAGGATAGATAATATGGATGTATATGCAATGTTTTTTCAGCGAATCCCCGTTCGGGTCAACGACAAAGACTTATCCTCACGCATGGGTAATGATACTTTTTTATTATTTCAGCTTAGAGCTTTTCAAAAAAAAATTAATCACTGATACGATAATTTTTTCACGCCGATTATTTTACACATGCCGTGTTACAATAATATATTTATTCTCCCCGACAAATTTACAGGTCAATTATTTATTTGCAACTATTTGCCGTTTTATTAATGAACGTTACGTTATAATTCGACCGTATTACTTTTAATGACGTAACCATGCATACGAGCTTAATTGTGTTATCGTTTACGTATCTTATGTTCGTGTGCATATAATTTTGAGAAACGCGACGCATGAAAAAATTTTTAAATTAACTCGTTTATCATTTTCCAAATTTTCGACCGTGAAAATTAGTTGAAAACTTTCGGAGTGGTGTAAAATCTACGCGGAGAGAGAAACCTTTTTCTAATGTTTTGACTAGTGAACGTGCGAATCTTTGTATATATATACACGCGATACGAAAGTTGTCTTTTTTTTCTGCTGAGTGCGGGCTTTTTGCAGCGATGCGATAAATAACATAATAGGACACTGGACTTCTCGCGACGGTCTCCCCACCATTTAAACAAAATGATAATCTCAGAGGCTTAAATTACAAAATATATGCTATAAAGCAGCAGCACACCACGACCAACAACAAATCTGAGGCATCAAAATGTAAAAAAAAAAAAAACGAAAACAAAATATGAAAGGCATTATCCCGAGAGACGTACACAAAACAAAGTCGTGGAGATCGTGATGCGACGCGTAAAAACAAAATCGTGGGTCAGGCACGAAGCTTGAAATTTTCATCGGTCTTATCTCAGCTCCGTCTCCAAAAAATAATAATAATTCAAGGTTCGCGTATGCTAAAGTAAAAAAAATCACTCGTCCACTCCATTTACATATTAAAAAGTCGTGTACTACCATCGATGAGAAAAATTAAATTCGTAAATGGACTCACTCTCGATGTTGATATCGGTTTACGTTTCTTCTACCGATACATGTATACGTCCGCCGTTGCGCGCTGGTATAATATTGCTCCGCCTGCGGAATGCAAACTGCACAATCGCCGCCGCTCTCTGCGTGTGACAAGGATTGATAGGCCTCGCGACGCGAGTATGTATATATTCTTTCGCACTCGCGGGGCAAAGGTTTTTTTTCGAGAGTAATTTGCGTATATTCGGGATTTTTTTTTACACGTTAGCCACTGGCGGAGAGCGCACTGAATTGGGAAAAATTGTTATTTTTTTTACTCTTCACTGCACAACCATTGGTTCAATAGCTTTTTGCACATTTTCGGACGTCGATTATTTTTGTTTTTTTGCGTATAACTTTTGCTGGCTTCTTCTTTGATCGCATTCGGTACATAAATCAGCTTACAACTTTTTCACGCGGTAAAAGCTCGATCGGTGGCAAATTACGAATCGAATCGATTGCTCAGCGTAATTGAAAAAAATAATAATTACTTTACGCTCGCGATCGTTCGAGCTTTGACTTCGTACACTTCGTTAATCTATTTATTTTGTGCGCGGCGTTCGGAGAAAAATTAAGAGAAACGGTCCGACTCAGCGATAGAGAGAACGTACCGTCGCTACGACTCGCTCCTCTCGTGCGCGCCACAAGCACGTGAACTGCGGCCAACGTATTCGACGAAACTGAACACGCGCGTGTGTGTTGAGAAGCTTGCGGGAGAGAGAGAGAGAGAGCAGAGTAGAGTGGCGGCGGCAGCGGCAGCACTGCGAAAGGTAAATGCGCGTGAAGCTCAGTTGTAACGCGTTATTATTATTATATATATAGTGCAGATGTATAGATACACGATGTGTGTACGTTTGTCGTATAAAGCGTGCGACGATTTTCGAGCTTTGGTATCCGATACAGAGCTTCGTACGTGGACACTGTGTGTACGATCGATAATTGAGTTTTTCGTTCGATCGATGCGTTAATTTGGGCTTTGACTTTTTCGATGGACGAGCAATATCTAAAATTTGTTTATACAATGTTCGGAGAGGAAATTTCATCGTTCGAATTCCACGCGTCTTTTTTTTGACCGACACTGTGTATATAATGCCCATTGTAATGCGAATTTTTTTTTTATTTTCACGGGACACAACAGAAAAAATTATAATTTCTTGCGCAGGCTTTAAATAGAAAATTGAATGTGGTCTTTTGTACTCCAAGTATCCGGTTTAAACTATTTTTCGACTCCATAAACTTCGATTCTTACGATTGAAACACACTTTCAATGAATATTATTAAGTGTATACATTTGAAATTATCGTCGTCATGTCGATTTGCCAATTGAAATATAATAACAATACTGTAAAGGATTTTATTTAAAATTGCTTGATAATCATAGACCCTCATTTTAATGAAAAGCTTAGACATTTATATAAGACATTTATATAAGACATTTATATATAAAATTATCTTTACTTTGCCATTTGCAGATTTAAAGTAAAGAAAAGTAGATTTAAAAGTGTAAAGTTTTTCAACTCCACTCTAAGAGTATTATTTTCACTTTGTCACTTGCAGATTCACGTTAAAATTATACTCGACATCTAGCGAAGAAAGCTCAAAGTGATATTTTTTTTGCCAAAGTGGTTTTAAACTGATCTGATTTTTTTGAAACATAATTTTATCTGAAAGATCGCCAAAATAAGTCAATTCATATAGGTAAGGTAATCAAAAAAATATTTCAAATGGTATTGTTATTAATGTCAAGCATTTCCATAATGACTACTATTCATAAAAAATGAGTAGTCGTAAGCAGACTAACTGTAAAAAAATGTATTGTTCTCAATTAAATTTACTATTGCGCGAACTAGAATTCAACATTTTTAATAAAAAGATTATTTTAAATCACTTGAAACTAAAAAATTCTTGAAATTTTTTTAAAATCTATATACGAACGCTTTGCTTATCCTTTTTGAAGTTTCCCTCATATATGCAACATGAGCTTGAATCCGTTTTGACTTTTTGAGCAAATTACTGAGTTTGGTAAAACTTACTCGGAATTAAAAGAATAATAACCCAAGTAAACAAGTAATGTGAATTAATTTTATTCAGTTCAATTTTTTAGTAATAATTAACGTGAAATAAACGTTCAATAATTTTAACTGGATTCCAGAGCCAAATATTAACACAATTAAAAACTTGCATCATAAAAAAGCCGATGCAAATAGATTGGCAAAGAGTTTCCTTATAAAATATTATCACTGCTAGTTTTATGCATGACTGCAGATAAAACACTAATTTTTGCTGCTTTTCTTCTAAAATTACTGCTCATTTATTTCCAAAACAACTTAAACTTTGTAAAAATCTATAATTGAATTTTTGACAAATAAAAGATATGAAAATAAATTATTAAATTTAGTTGATCAAAATCTGCTTATTTTGAAACCAGAGATATGAAAACAATGTGATTGACTAATTAATAAATAATTGACAAAAGCTTGAATGAAAAAATGTGATGTTATTAAAAAAAATTTTTTTCTGAGATTTATTTTTATAAATTATCAAATATCTTTCATCTTGTAATTTAATTATGTATATTTGTATTTACATATTGTGCATTTAAAATTAATTGAATTATTTAATTCTGATGCTGAATCATATTCTTTATAAATTTCAATAGTCTTATCTGTCTGTGTTGTTATAATACTTGATCCTAAATGATCAAACATTACAACGTGTATAGCAGCTTTGCAATCCATTGAACCAGGATGAGCTGGAACCTATAATAAATGAAAACTGTACCCTGTCCTTTGATTACATAAATGCATACTTCCATTATTGGCTCCAGAAACCAAAATACCATCTTCATTGGCTCCAATGCTGTTGATAATTGCATTGTGCCTGGATAAGTTCTGAATAAACTTTCTATTATCAATTTTCACTGTTTAATATTGTCTGAAGATCCAAAAATAAATGTGTTGTTCAAAGTTGGATAAAATTTCAAAACCCTCAAGCTCTTTCTATGATTTGTAAGAGTAGCTGTTAATTTTTCAGAAGCCAAATCATATAGCTTGATTGTACTATCATGACTGCCAGTAATAATCTGTGGATGACATAGAACACATATGTAGTGATAGTGTGAGTATTTACTTTGGTTCTCATATACCATACTCTTGCTGCACAATCTCTACCAGCTGTTATCAATACGTCTATGGTAGAATGAAGCGCCAGAGAATGCACAGCAGTCATGTCTACGCAAATGAACGTGAATGACTTAGACAAACAGCAATTCATTGTACATTAGTTTTATGGCCTCTAAGCGATATCTTCAACTGTCCGCTGGCCAAGTCCCATACTTTAATGCACTGCATAAATTCATTGATTAAAAAAAAGAGGTAAAATGACTTACTCCTCCGAATTGTTGAAGAATCAAGAAATGCTGCACCAATTGGTTTTTTTTCGGGTAGTTTTTGACAATCGAACCTCAAATGTTTGTATAGTGTTAGGGAATGTACTTATTTTAAAGAGAAAAAAGAAGACACTTGTAATCGCTTTGGCGAAATAAATTAAAACAACGATTTGAATTATAAAATGTTTTATTTGGAGTTGCCTCGTCGCTCTCTGTAAGCACAATGAAATCTAAGGGAAAAAAAGAAAAAGGAAAGCAAATTAACAATAAAAGGCGTTGCTAGGCAACAACCGAACGAAAAGTCAGTCGACGCTGCATTACGCGCCGCTACGATGCGAAAGTCGCCTTCGGAGCTTAACGTCAGCGCCAAACCTATAGTTTGGCGCCACGTAGCTTTGTACACCGTTTTTCGGTAGTCAAAGCTCAGGGGTGCCCGATCAGCTAAGCTGATCGGCACTGCTTGTGCATGGGCAGTAGCACCCGTAGGGCAAGAAAATACGGGTCCGTAACAACACTAAATACATATTTTAAAAAGTTTTCAGATCAATTATTAAAATATAGAACTCATAACACTCGGTTTAAAAAATTGAAAAAATGTTGACTAAAATTAAGAAAAGGTTGATTTAAGATACATAGAATTTCAAAATGTACGTCTGTCATGGTTCAATATTGTGTTTACATCATCTCTATATTGTCATGTGATCAAAATAAAAGTAAGAGCTGCTATGGTGCGTTTTATCATTAAGACAAGATGTATTTTTTGCTTGATTCAAGGTAAGTATATTTTTCAAAGAAACTGTATTTGAATGCATGATTGCAGTTTCTGGATTATGAAAGGACAGCTTAAAAAAGTAAAAGCCTTGCTCCAAAATTAAAGTTTAATTAATAGGAAAAGTGCATGTCAATTTGAATTATTGTTTACACATACGACTGATTTCATACATACAAAAGCGTCGAGAAATTCTATTTTTTTGTTTCACTCTGAGGCAAGAAATTTGAGTCATGTTCAGATTTCGGAATGATAAATATTCGGAATCGTAAATATTCGGAATATTTAAAATTCGGAATGTTTGAAAATCGGAATATTGAAAACGTAACATGAGAAATTCGGAAAAACAAAATTTCGGAATAAAAAAATTTCGGAATGAAAAAATTTCGGAAAAATTAAAATTCGGAATCCACAAAATTTTTAATGGGAAATTTTATTGTCTACATTCTCCACTAACAATATTGTGGATTTCGAATTTTAATTTTTCCGAAATTTTTTCATTCCGAAATTTTTTTATTCCGAAATTTTGTTTTTCCGAATTTCTCATGTTCCGTTTTCAATATTCCGATTTTCAAACATTCTGAATTTTAAACATTCCGAATATTTACGATTCCGAATATTTATCATTCCGAAATCTGAACATGACTCAGAAATTTATGATTCACTTGCTTCATATACAGATACCAAGTCTGTATTGTCTAAAAACTCGATGATTTTATCGCAACATAAATCGGGTATTATACCTTTACATAATTTTAGCAAAGATTCGCTTGCCACTTTTTTTATTGATCTCCTTACTAAAGCTTTAGTAATGTATCCTTGAATAATGCCTCCGATTTTTCCAGTACCATCAAAATTATTCTTGAAATTTGCTGAGTTTATCGCTGATTCATAATCACACTTTTGCAATAAGCTGTACGTTTCATCGTGATTAGAAGTGCAAAGATCCAGATATGAAATATTATTACTAATGATCATCTCTTTAGCTAAGTCAACTTGTCGTTCAATCATTGAGTGTAGCGCATTCCTCATCGGTCTATGCAGTTCGCGATTTTCCGGAGTGTCTGGAATCACTAAATTGCACATGTCTCGCAAATAGTTGCGCGTTTCCGTGTCCATGTACATGTTTCCATATTCGGCCAAGTAAAGATGCAGCTCGATCGTTAAAAATAATATTAATCGCATATGAGTATAGCGTTCATCTCTTCTGAGTCTTAGATCGAAAGCGTGAATCGTCGTTAGGACGAATTTTCTAATCACAGATCCAGAACCTGTAAATAAAAATAATTAACATCAAAACAATGGGTCGAACATTGTTTTTTTTTCGTTTTCTCACCGTAATCGTAGATATCGCTCCAGTAAGAAAAATTGCAGAGAGCAACGCTGGTTCCGGTAAGAAAATTGTCTTTCCAAAACTTAATCATTTCCCTAAAACGTTCGTCGTGAATTTGTAAATCTTTTTGCAACGTCAAAAATTTAAAGAGGGTCAAATACTGCTGCTTGTTGATTTGGACACCTTTGCTCTGCCAGAGCTCGATGATAGCCAGGACGTTCTGAGTCGTGGTTAAATTCAGGGCTTCCGGCACCTCGTGTTCCAAATAGCCACCCCTGAATCGCACCGCGGCGAGGTCGGCTCCGCGCTCCACGAATAACTTCACCAGTTCGTAATTGCAGTGCGACACCGCCACGTCGAGCGGGGTGCATCCTTGACGGTCCCTCACATCGACGTTCAATCCGTGTCTCAAAAGAATCTCGATATATTGATGTACGTATCTCGAGACCGTTGCCAAGTGACGTTCCTCCGGATGCGTCAACGAGTACAAGCTGAATTCTTCGATCAGGCGGTGCAGTACGGTCTTGCCCTCGTGATCCCAGTGAGAAAGTGTCGCCCCGTTTTCTGCGTTGAGTCTCAGTATCCTCAAAAATTTCTCCAAATTCCGGACTTGGATCACGTCCACGTCCCAGATCGTCGTGCAATAATTCAACGCTATGCAGCCGTTGTCGTCGGGCACATTCGCGTCGGCTCCGTGCCGGAACAGAAACTCGACGTGATCCGCCTTCAGCATGTTGACCGCGTCGTGCAGAAGGCGGCGACCTTTCTTGTCTTCGTCGTTCACGTTCCCCGCGTGTTTCATCAGAAATTTGGCCTCCCTTTCGATGCTCGAAAATTCGTCACTGGCATCGAAGATGTTGTGCAACAACATTCTAGAGTATTTAGGCAGATCTATGTCATCGGGTTCGATTTCCAGAAACATCTTGAACATTTTCATGCGCGACTGCTCGTCTCTCGCGCCCAAAAATAATTGCACGATCGGGCTATTGAGCTTGCCATCTCTAAGCCTGAGATCGGCTCCGTGCTCGATGAGAAGATCGATCATTTTAAGTTGATTACCCGTAAACTTGCCATCCTCCTGCTCGGTACGCCGACGGCCTAACAAATGCAGCGCCGTCTTCCCCCGATGATCGGCCACGTTTGGATTGGCTTTGCTTTTCAGGAGCAGCTCGAGCGCCTCCAGATTCTGGCAGCGCGTGACCGCGAAATGAAGCGCCGTCCAGCCCCTAACGTTACGGGCGTCCAGGTCGACGCTGCTCTGCAGCAGCACCTTGACCGTCGGCACGATGTTGGCACTCTTCGCGTAGGTGTGAAAGACGAAGTGGCCGATCGTGTTGAGCTTCCGGCTTTGGACGAGCTTGGCGTTGGCTCCGCCTTCCACTAGCAGCTTGAAAATTTGCAGACGCCACTTGTGGCTCTCCGTCGAGCGCACCAAGTCCATCATGGGCGTGTAGCCATCGTCTCTTCGGATATCGAGGTCGGCTCCGTGCTGAACAAGAAGCTGAACGATTTGAACGTGTACGGCCGATAAGTTGGGCTCGCAGCATATCGTATTGATGGGCGCCATGCCGAGGTGGTTGACGATATTCGGATCGGCGCCATTTTGCAGCAGCAGCTCGATCGCCTTCGTCTCGAGGCAGTGTCCGATCGCCGCGTGAATCGGCGTGTGACCGTCCACGTTTCTGGCGTTCACGTCGATCCGACATCTGACCATTAACAATTCAACTACCTCCATGAGATTCGGCCGCCACGCCTCGCTGCGAAGGACGATATGCAGAATTGTGTCGCGGTCGGAGTCGACGCGGTTGACGTTGGCTCCGTTCTCCAGCAGCAGCTTGAAAATTTCCAAGCGCAGCTTGTGACTCTTCCCGCCTCGAAACAAGTTCACCAGCGGACTCATGTCGTCGTGGCTCTCGATATTCACGTCGGCATTGTGCCGGAGAAGGGCTCGAACCATCGTCAAGTGGACGTCCTGCAGCCGAACTATCTCGCAAATTTTATTCAGAGCTGTCATGCCCTGGTCGTCGACCGCATTTGGATCGACGCCTCCTTTCAATAACGATTCCAGTAAATCTAAATCTTTCGATTCAACGGCATCGTGTAGGGATTTTAACTCACAATCTTCGGGTCGAGACATGGTACTTTCACTTTAGCTCTTGAGCAGAAACACTTGAACGAATTAACAGCTCCGAGCCGCTTTCAACACGACGGAAAACTGTTACTTAGTCGTCAAATTGAATAAACTGCCGACTCTTCTGTCATCCCCTCTACTGATTTTGTGTATACTTTGTTGATTTCAAGAGTTTCCTTACATTCACATCGTCATTACTGTCATTACTGAAATACAGATGGTGAACTTGTCGCCTCTATTCAAATCTCAAACTACGAATAACAAGATGTGAGATTAAGCGTTAAAATGAAAATCAAAAACAGTAAAGAAGGGAGAGCTTAAGGAGGTTCCCTTGCAAAGTTCGCAAGAAGTACATATATCAATATCGATAGATTTTGACCTCCCGAATCCAACGGTATAACTCTCATATGCCCAAGCCAGGCAAAATCTCGAGAAAAACGCGATCAAAGTTTCGAAAATTAACATGGGCAACATAGGAATTTATGAAAATTTGAGATACATTTACAATTTATGAAAAGAAATCAAAGTTCGCAGAGGAATGATTATATATAAATTGTAGAGAAAGTTCTTATCTTTCAAAAACCGTGTCTCAAAGTAGAGGTAGCCTGCCGTTTTTTCAATATTTTTTTAATAAAAGACGCGAAAACACGACTTTTTCGGCTCGTTTAGGGCTAGCAGACGACAAGCCAGCTAACTTAACCCATGTTACTGCGCGAACTCTCAATTGACTAGCGTGTTACCCGAGGGAACCTCCTTAAGAAGCTCGAATAAAAACACGATAATGTCATATTACATGAAAAGCTCGCTTCAGAGTAAATGGACATGACCCCGGTATACATTAGAGTGAAATAATTTATATTTCTTTAAAACACCTGATAATAGTTATGGAAGCCATTTTTGATGTAAAGAGATGGTGTCCGCAACCTGAATCGTGAAAATTGTTATTTCTACTTGACGATCTAAGCCAAGTTTTACTATTTCCTGGGAATTTAACTCTTTGTCAAAGAATTTCATGTGTAAACGCAATTGAATTTTTAAAAAATATACTACTCTTAAAGAGTCATGAAAAATAACCGATACAACATGTTTCTACCATTAAAAAGTCCAAATTTCATCCACAATATTATTTTCAATGACTTTGACACACACTACAATTGAATTAACTGCCATGGAGTAATTTATGATGAGCATAGTGACAACTTTGGCTCATTTTCCATTTGTTTCAAATGTATGTTTTGAAAAAAATTAAATCAAAGATTTTTAACCATAAGACAAAGATCGTCGTTCGAGCATATTGATTTTCCATTTAAATAATATTGAAAAAATTAATTTTTCTCTCTCAAAGAATCTGAGAATAATGAAAGCTTGTACGTTGATAAAAAATTATCGTATTATGCATCGATCATTATGCTTAGCCGAAATGAATACACTTTTCTCGAAGTACGCAAAAATCTTTTTTTTTTTGGCCCAGAATTGAATATAGCTTACAAAATAATGCTTCAATCTTTTTTATAAGCCGGATTCTAAAATATTATACAATTTTTCATCAAAGTACAAGCTTTTGAAAATTTCAATTTTGTAATGCCGTTTTCAGATTCTAATATCGCACTTTTTGTTGGATGCATTTCGTTTATACCTCAAAATTTATAATTTTGCTTCACTGGAGTTATCAAAAAACCATGTGTTTCCTGCTTCTTTTTAACATACTTGGAAACTATTGGAGATACATAGCTCAAATTGAAAAGAATGTCCCGAGGTAATATTTGCATAAATAATGCGTATGTAATAAAATTATAAAAATTGGTCAGATGATGCTTATGATTTCTAGTAGCTTTCAAGGAACTTTTAATTATGAATATATGCTACTCGACTGCCGCGACGACTCAACAACTAAATGTTGAAAACCCAAAAGTCATCAGTATTGCTGTGAAAAATTAGAAAATTATGGTTCATGTTTATAAGAATTTCATAGTTTTAAAATATAGTACATCTTTCATCATTCAATATGGTATGTACTATAATTTATTGATTATATATTCGCACAAAACAAACGATGCCTTGTTCTGTTCTTTTTGCGTACTTAATCTCAATTTATTTTTCAAAGCGTCGATATTTTAATATTGCAACGTGTGAATGATGAAAAGACAGTTAAAAGAAAAATATAACCTTAAGCTCAACACATAATCATGAATTTTTTGGCATTATTTGTCAATTTTATTTATGACTTGTTATCTACACTTATGATCGATTTCACATACAAAACTTTCAAGTTATTCGATATTTTTTATTTTACTAGTTTTTAACAAATACGTGTATCGAAATTAAGATTAACAATTTATAACTGCTTCAAATACAGATACTAAGTCTATAACGTCTAAAAATTCAACGATTTTATCACAACATAAATCGGGTAAAATACCCTCAAACAATAGTTTGATAGAGTCAGTTGTCGATTGCGTTATAAATCTCCTTACTAAAGCTTTAATGACGTATCCACGAATAATACCTCCAATGTCATGAAAATTTCTCCTGAAAGCTTCTGAGTTTAATGCTGATTCATAATCACACTTTTGCAATAAGCTGTACGTTTTATCGGGACTAGAAGTGCAAAGATCCAGATATGAAATATTATTACTAATGATCATTTCTTTAGCTAAGTCAACTTGATCTCGAATGCCTTTGAATATTCTTGGTTGTACAATTTCCGGAATCTCGGAAACAAGTGAATTCAACGTATTTCGCAAATAGTTGTGCGTTTCAATGTCCATGTACATATTTCCATATTCTACCAAGCTAAGATGTAGTTTAATGGTTTTGTATAATACTAATTTCAGGGTGGCTATATTAACCTTAGTACATTTAGAACTGTCATTAATAGCAAGAAATATAGTTTCAACGTATTTTCTAATCACAGATCCAGAACCTAAATAAAAATAATTAATATTAAAGCAATATGTTGATTTTTATGTATGACAGAGCAAAATATTTGAAACCGAGTGGAGGTCGCAGTACACATTATATTGCTACTATATTATCTTCAAACGTTTCTATAGTTTTATATTTTTAAGAAATTTATTAAAGATTAATTAATGGATGCTGCGACCAACACGAATAATGTTTTTTGCTTTCTCACCACATTCAAAATTATCTATCCATTGGGGATCGCAGATGATTGGCGAAACATTATGACAGAAATTAGGTAGTAATGAATGAAGATCATTGTTAATTTTTGAATCTTCAAATAAAGTCAAAAATTTAAATAATCTTAAATACTGATAATTGTTGATTCGGAAACCTTTGCTCTGCCAGAGTTCGATAATAGCTAGGACGTTTAGTGTCGTCAATAGGTTTAAGGATTGTGGCTCTTTATTTTCCAATAATCCACCTTTGAATTGCACAGTATTTGCATCAGCCCCATGTTCCACAAGAATTTTTGTTACGTCGTAATTGCAATGTGACACCGCCAAATTGAGAGCAGTAAATCCATCTCCATCTTTGATATTGACATCTAATCCATGTTTTAATAGTATTTCCATATATTGATGAACGAATTTCGAGACCGCTTCCCAATCTGCTTTTTTGGGTTTTAAAGTAAATAAGCGTATTTTCTCAATCAGTGAGTGCAACACAGTTTTGCCATCACCACCGACGTGGGAAGGGTCTGCATTGTGTTCAACATTGAGTTTCAGTAATTCCAAAAGTTTCTCCAAATAATGTTCGAGATGATGGTCATTTAAATATCTATGGAAATTGTCGAAAGTATAATTCAAGGGTATGTTGCCTTTGACATCAGTTATGTTTGGATCAGCTCCATTTTTTAATAGAAATGCCACATGTTTGGTATGATGAAACGCTTGATGTAATGCAGTTTTACCGTTATTATCTTTCATGTTTACGTCCGCCCCATTTTTTAACAGAAATTCAAGTCCCTCTACTAGCTGCTCTACTAGCAAATACCCCCAATGATCGCAACGAAGAATTCGGTGCAACAACATTGATTTACTGAATACGTCAACATTTTTTAAATCGGTTCCGCTTTTCACTAGTAATCCAAAAATTTCCATGAATAGTATGAATTCATTATAAGATAATAATTCATGTTCAAAAAGGTACATTATTGGACTAATATTTTGAAGACTTTTTACATGAGGATCGGCTTTATTCTGGATAAGAAGTTGTATCAGTTTCGAGTGAACTTCCGTCCACGCAGTTCGACGACACAAAAAATGCAGAGGTGTCAAGCCCCAGTTATCAACGATATTTGGATCGGCGCCATTTTTCAAAAGCAGATCAATCACTTTAATATCTTTACAGTATTCAACTGCTATATGAAGTGCAGAATAACCATTTCCATTTCGGACATTTACGTCAACTCCACGTTCTATCAACAATTTAACTGCTGCTAAAATAATTGGAATTTCCTCTGCATTGTATTTGATGATATGATGCAATACTGTATTACCCTCGTGGTCGACAAGTGTGACATTGGCTCCGTACGCCAGTAATAACTTACAAACTTCCAGGTGTAGTTTATAATTATTTGGAGCACATAATAAGTACATTATAGGACTGTAACCATCTTTATTTTGGGCATTAACGTTGGCTTTATACTGAATGAGAAGTTTAATTATTTCCAAGTGAAATCTCGTCAAAAAATTTTGAGCACATATCAAATGCATAGGTGTCTTGCGCCAGTTATCAACGATATTTGGATCAGCACCATTTTTCAAAAGCAGCTCAATCACTTTTATGTCTTTACAGTCTTTAACTGCTATATGAAGCGCTGTATGACCATATTCGTTTTTGACATTTACGTCAATTCCGATTTTAAACAACAATTCAACTGCTTCTAGAATGATTGGATTATTTTCTGCATCGCAGTGACAGATAATATATAATATTGTAATACCCCTGTGGTCGACAAGTGTGACATCAGCTCCGTTTTCCAGTAATAATTTTAAAACTTTCAAGCGTAATTTGTAATTTTCTGGAAATCGAAATAAATTCATTATAGGACTGAAACCATTTTTATCTTGGATATTAACATCGGCTTTATATTTTAAAAGAATTTGAATCATTTTCAAGTGGACCCTCGTAAGCATTGATTCATCACATATAAAATTAAGAGCCGTCATACCACATTCATCATCAACTATCATGTTTGGATCACGCCGTTTTTCAAAAGCAGTTCAAGTGCCACTTCCGTGTCTGGATTTGCTGGATTACAAAGAATAATGTTTCTGAATATAGTTCTACCCTTGTGGTTGGCACGTGTGACGTCAGCTTCGTTTTTCAAAAGTATTTTCAATGTCTCTAAGCGTACTCTCATATCATTATATTCGTCATAAAATAGATTCATCATCGGACTATTACCCTTGTGGTTGACTCGTGTGAAGTTAGCTCCATTTTGCAAAAGTATTTTCAATGCCTCAATGCGTACTCTCATACCATTGGATTCGTCATAAAATAGATTCATCATCGGACTGTTACCGTATTCATCTTGTGTATTTACGTCGGCTCCATACTGGATGAGAAGTTGAATCATTTTCAAATTAATCTCTGACAACTTAGCTTGATAACATATAAAATTCAGAGCTGTTCTGCCCTTGTCATCAACCGTATTTGGATCAGCACCCCTTTTAAATAACGATTCCAGTAAATCTAAATTTTTCGATTTAACGGCATCGTGTAGGGATTTTAACTCACAATCTTCGGGTCGAGACATGGTACTTTCACTTTAGCTCTTGAGCAGAAACACTTGAACGAATTAACAGCTCCGAGCCGCTTTCAACACGACGGAAAACTGTTACTTAGTCGCCAAATTGAATAAACTGCCGACTCTTCTGTCATCCCCTCTACTGATTTTGATACATTCACATCGTCATTACTGTCATTACTGAAATACAGATGGTGAACTTGTCGCCTCTATTCAAATCTCCAACTACGAATAACAAGATGTGAGATTAAACGTTAAAATGAAAAAACAAAAACAGTAAAGAAGGGAGAGCTTAAAAAGCTCAAATAAAAACACGATAATGTCATAATGCTTGAAAAGCTCAGAGTTAATGTTATACGCATGGACTTGATCTCGGCATATGTAATATTTTATCTAGCCCATTATCCCGCGAATATGCCATTTCATGTCAAGTCTGAAAAAGTACATCGTATCGTAAGTTATTTGACTTATTCTTTGTTATCGACGGATTTTATTGCTTTTTCGAGCATCATATGTGAGAATGCTTCCCTTTAAAGGATGAATAACACTAGAATGATTTTTCGTAATGAAGGAGGATCGATGGCGTTCAACTATAGTATACATAATGATCAAAGTATGACGATATCGACGAGGGTCGGTTTGATGGCGAAGAGTTCGCGATAAAAGCGAAAAGAATCGTAGCAAATGAAAATGACGATGAAAATGAAGACGATGATGAAAATGACGAGAAGACGGTAGCGAGAGAAGCCGAAAAGCCATTGGAACGTCCGAATTCATGGCTTTACGAATTGATTTGAAAAGGCAGCAAAGCTAGTTACATATGAGGACTATTACGACTTGGCGAAATCGTGCAAATTGAGGAGGCTCAGCGGCAACGAGCCACCAGAGGCTTGCTGTGTGCATTTGTACGAGAAACTATCGAGACGATTTTTCCGGGCACTGGATCATTTTTTGGAACTCACGAGCTACTAACATGTCGATTCTTTGTTGTGAAATGATCATTGTGCAGTTGAAGAACGACTATTTGCGGCTTATTTGTTTGACGAAGCTGGACCTCGCGATAGTCATCACGACATTTACATTTTTTTTTTATGGCTGGTGCAATTTAATGTTACAGACTTTTCATATTATGTACACATTTACCTATTTATTAGCTACATTGTACAGTAATAACATTTTTTCAATAAAGTCCAATTAAAATTTCAGTTACATTTTCATTTCTATATTTGTAACACAACAATCACTTTCAAATGAACGCGTTGGTCACATAAGAATTACAGCCTTCAAAATCATTAATAAAATCGTTTTTTTTTTTTTTTGCAAACTAACTAACAAGGATCTTAATTTCCGTCATCGCTTTTCTTTATCGCTCATTATCATCTTGACGATTCAAGAATCTTCTTCATCAATTGATGCATTATTCACTATTTTTTATAGCTTTCTTACTAGTCTCGTTTTCGTCGTAGTATATGTAATATACAAGCGCATGGAGCAGATGACTCGCACAGCGGCGAGTATACATGTTCCCGGTTGTGTCGGGAGTTTTTTTGAAAAGTACTTAGTTTTAGTAGATCAAAATTTTCCTCAAAACAATTATCGCCAAGTTAAAACTTTTAATTGTTTCAAATATTGTACAGATAATGTGTAAACAGATAAATCGGTACCTCAACAAAAAGTTTGGGCACAAATCGCATTTGCTCGTCCACCAAAGGACAGTACACGAATTTCACAAAGATTTTGCATGCGATGTGTGCAAGAAGACGTTTGGACAAAAATCAAATTTGTTTAAACACCGTAAAGTTGTACACGAAGATCGCAAAGATTACGCCTGTGACAAGTGCGAAAAGAAATTTACATAAAAATGTCATTTACTTTTTCACCAAAGGACAGTTCACGAAAGTGGCAAAGATTTCGCATGTGACAGGTGCAAGAAGATATTTAGGGATAACAGCAGTTTGAGAAGACATAAAAATACAGTCCACGATGATCGCAAAGATTACACATGTGATAAGTGCGAAAAAAAATTCACACGTAAAGTTAATTTGTTTTTGCATCAAAATACAGTCCACGAAGGACGCAAAGATTACGCATGCCACATGTGCAAGCAAAAATTTTCACGAAAATGGAATTTGCTTGTTCACCAAAAAACAATCCATGGAGGTAATAAAGATTACGCGTGCGACAAATGCAAAAAGAAATTTGGACAAATATTGAATTTGCTCTACCATCAAAAAAACAGTCCATGTAAAGGTTAAGCACGACACAGTTGCAAGAAGAAATTATGATTGACTGTTGTAACTATGTATAGGGCCGATTCTCTGTGAAGTCGAATGGCCAAAAAAAATTTTTTTCTGAAACTATGAAAAACTTGTGGTTTTCAAGGTCAGATTTGTCCCAAAAAAAAAATTTAGAAAAAATGGGGCTTCTTTTATGACACTTTTTCAGAGGCCCAAAGTTGGCCATTTTTCCATATTTTCAGAAAAAAATTTTTTTTGGCCATTCGACTTCACATACAATCGGCCATAGGTATACTTGTGCAGATATTTTTCTTTTATTTGTAATAAAAATTGTACCAAAATTATTGAGTCATATCTGATATCGACTTTCATTACACGTTTGTACCCTGACGTTTGTGAAACGTTTTTCTGAATGGAGCAAGCGTATAGTTGTCCACTGAATTTTTGATAAAGCTCGCGTGATGATACACGACCCCCAATTGATCAAGCATATATTAGTAAAATAATTTAATTCCTTTGTGGACTGATTAATTATTTTTTCTACAAGAGACGATTTTACTTGAAAACTATTGAGTATTGAGAGCAAGAGTGCATAAAATACAAACTCGAAAAGTGGTTCGAAAATCCCATTAAAATTTCCTGAAATACTTTGATAGTCGTGGTCACCTCTGATCATGTTAATATCGTGATTTCTTAATGGTAAACTGGTTTAAAAAATCGAGAAATTGATTCAGCTATAACTTTTATACTATCCAAAAAACCAAAATTTCGAGCTCAATTTCTGAAAGGGCATTAAATTTAACACTGAAGTAGGTGGGTGCGAAATGTTTTTGAGGCCTAAAACTACGCAACAAATCGCTTCGGAAGTCAACAAAAAAATCAAGCTTTTCCGTCATTAATGGGTAAACGCAATTCATATTTTTTTCTCTATGTTTGAATACCAAAGCATAGGCCCCGTCATTCGTTTGTCTCTCTCTCACTCTGCAGTATACGTGTTCGTGCGAGTCGCGCGCGATCAAACGTCAACAATTAATCCACAACTCGCAGTTCGCACGTTTTTACACTGAGCGTATGTCGTATTATAGGTCAGTACAAGTTACGACGCCACTGCGTAAACAGAAAAAGATCGAATCGACTGCAGACAGTGATTTTTGTGAAAATAGTGACAAATAGTTCGTATTATAAGCGATATTGTGTATTTGTGTCAGTGTGTATACAAGGACAATGGCTCAAGATAATCCAAACCGTTCGAACAAATTAAATGAGAAGGTCTATCAGATGGAGATCGACGAAAAGAGTCACGAATTTCTTCGTCATCTTCATTCCTTTATCACAGGTTATCGGGGCCAACTTCCTAACCTACGAAACATTTTTCGTACCGAAGCTATCGAATGGCTTCTCACGGAATCTGTCAAATCGAAGGCGAACGAGTCAATGCGACTCATCAACTTTGTGATCGACACCGGCTACAAAGACGAGCCCGAAGTCGATGAAGACGGCAAAAATCTGTCGCGTCGCACTACACCGGTGCATCATGTATCAAGAAGTAAACTTTACTCTTGCGTCATTCCTGATCTTCTTTTCAGAATATACGACAAATTCAATGTGAATTACAGCGACGAAGATGGATTGACACACTTTCACGTGGCCTGCAGGAACGGCTGTACGGACGCCGTCGAGAAATTCCTCGATCTCGGACAGGATCCAAATTGTCTTGTGTCGGAAACAGGCGATACGCCTCTGCATTTGTCCGTGATGTACGATAACGAACAGGTGTTTGAATTGCTGCTTAAAAGAGGCGCAAATCCGAATTTGGCAAACAACGAAGGACACACTCCTCTGCACCGCATTATTTTTCATCAGAGATACCGCGACGAGGACTACGCGACGACACTATTCGAGATCTGCGACGAACAACGTCGATCCGTGAAAGTCGACGCTCGAGACAACGAGGGCCGGACACCGTTGCAATTCGCTGTGGCGAATCTCATACCGAATACCGTGAACGTTCTGCTGAACAACGGCGCTGAACTGTCGAGCTTCGTTTTTCCCACCGCGAGCGATGTCGATGAGGAACTGCAGAACGATGAATTCGATTACAATTTTCAATACGGTCTAGCGTCCGGAGCCATGGCCTGCGTCGAACAGCTGGAGAAAAGAGGATACGAATTGAAACGACGCGACGCCTTGACGATCATGACGTTATTCAAGCGGTACAAATTGTTCGAAAAGTCGAAGGCCACTGTAAAACCTTGGTACGACAGAAAAAGTTTCGCGATAGAAGCGAAAAAAGTATATTTATGAAGCCGAGCTTGTCGCTGTACGATTTCGTCCGATTGAAACCCGAACAGGCGGCGAAAGTGATGACGTACCAAGACCATTACGAGCTGACAAAACGGTACGAATTGTGTTGGAATTTGTCCGAAAAGTTTGGGAAGGCTTGTTGCATGCATCTGTGCGAGAAATTATCGAGAAAATTTTTCCGAAGATGGGCCCTGGAACATTTCATGGGGCTGACGCGCTACCAGCTGCCAATTCTCTGCTCTGAAATGATCATCAAGCGACTCATGAATGCAGATTTACGGCGTATCTGCTTAGCGAATTATAAAGGACAAAACTCATGACGATTACATTTTCTGTATTTTTAAAATATGTCTTACGTTATTCAACATTACATGTTCTCCATGTCAATCGAATAAATCAATTGAAAAAGAGATATGCTGCGATTTTATTATGTTTTTTTACTTTATCTTATAGCAATAACTTTTTTTGGATTTCTTGTCAAGAGTTTGAAAGAATCAGTAAGGTTCCTATGTGTGCTGCATGATATGTCAATTTTATCTTTTTGTAACGTCTATGTAACGTCATAATCTTTGTCTCTCTTGCTTCTGCTGACTGCTCGCTTGTTTCGCTTGCCTATAGAGTTATACTCGGTCGTAAGTGAATAAGTGGTCAGTATACGTTACCACGACGCGGCGTGAACATCTGAAAACTACATAGCTAGTGATTCTTTATACGCATGAACTAGAGTGAAAAACAAACATTTGAAATTATGAGCGATTGTGTCTTTGTGCAACTGTGTTCAACAATGTCCCAAGAAAATCCAAACAGTTCGGACCAATTGAATGAGAAGATTAATCGGGAGATCGACGAAAAGAGTCACGAATTTCTTCGTCGACTTTATTTCTTTATCTGCGATTACGAGGGCCAACTTCCTAACCTCGGAGATATTTTTCGCCCCGAAGCTATCGAGTGGCTTCTCGTGGAGTCTGTCGAGTGCAAGACGATGGATCCAAGACCTCTCGTGGACTTCGTGGTCAACACCGGCTACAAAGACGAGCCCGACGTTGGCGAAGACGGCAAGCCATCGTCGCGTCGCGCCACACCGATACATCACGCGGCTAGGAACGATGGAAGTGAAATAATCCACGATCTCTTCAAAATCGACGACAGATTCGACGTGAACTACACCAACGACAATGGACTCACGCATTTTCACATAGCCTGCGAGAGCGACTGCGACGACGTCGTCCAGAAATTCCTCGATCACGGTGTAGATTTCAATTGTCTCGAGCAATTCGGAACAAAGGAATCGCCGCTGCACGTGGCTTTGATCTACGGTAGCGAACGGGTGATTGAATTGTTGCTGAGAAGCGGCGCGGATCCGAATATAGCCAATGCCAAGGGGTGGACTTTTCTGCACCAGATTTGTCAGGGCAAATTCTATAACAACTATGCGACTTTATTGTTCGACCTCACCCACGAAAAATATCGTCCTATACAGGTTAATGGTGCGGACGAGTCCGGTAAGACACCGTTGCACATTGCTCTGGCCAAAGGATTCGAGGAGATAATCGAATCGCTGCTGAGCAGAGGCGCCGATCCGAACGCCGCTGACGGGGAAGGATCGACTCCTCTGCATATCATTTGCCAGAGAGACAAATTCGACAGCGAATGCGACGAATGCCACTTGTTGAAGAAATTCTTCAAGATCAACGATGACATGCATCGGATGTTACAGATTGATGCGAGGGACAATTTGGGCCGGACGCCGCTGCAATTGGCCGTGGCGAATCTCTTGCCGGACGAAGTCGACGTACTCCTGAATCGTGGCGCTGATCTGTTCAACTTCGCTTTTCCCACTAAAAATTACTTTTCGGTCGAGGCAGATAAGTTATTGAACTGGTTCAAGGGCCGTAAAATATCGCTTAATTATAAACTGAGCATAGCGTCTGGCGCTTTGGGTGTCGTCAGGTAGCTCGAAAAAAGAGGCTACGAATTGAAACGAAACGAGGCCTTGTCGATCATGACATTGTTCGATCAGTACGGGTTGTTCGAGAATTCGGAGGATTTGGAGGAATATCTGTTTGACGACGAAGATTTTTTGATTGAAGCAAAAAAAATAACGATAAGTACGAATTTGTCGCTCTACGATTTGATCTGGTTAGGGCCCAAAGAGGTCGCGAAACTTCTCACAAATGAAAACTATCTCAAGTTTTGGCGGTCGAGCGACTTGTGGGAGGTCCCCAAAGGAGCGACCAGTGACGCCTGTACTGTGCACTTGTCCGAGAAAATTTCGAGAGGATTTTTCCGGCGTTGGGCAGTGGATGCTCTCTTGGAGCTGACACGCTACAAGCTGCCGATTCTCTGTTCGGAAAATATCATCGAGCAACTGAAGAACGAAGATTTGTGGCACATTACCTTGGCAGCTGCAGGCCAAAATTTGTGATGAATTTATTCGATGTATTTTCAAATGTCTTGTGTTATTGAATTTCGCTTATATTCCAAGGTAATCAAATAAATACAATTAAAAACAATTAAAAAAAATCATTGTGTATTCATTTTATCTTTGTAATAAAATTATCGTACAGCATTGAAATGTTTTGGTTTATCTTTTTTCTCGTCGCGTTCGAATCGAAAATTCGAAAGTGTTTCTTTAAAACGGTGAGTACGGTAATTATCACTCATTTATCTCTCCATCATAAAAATGATAATTCATTTTTTAGTCTTCAACTGTTACAACTGTGCTAAATAAGTAAATAACCGTTTTATCGCTTCTTACAGAATCATTACTGGTCCATGCGATTGAACAACAGCAACTCTTTAAACTCGCATCAATCGCATCTCGCCTTGCGTGTTGTGTGACGCACGATCTCGTATCAACTCGTTTCAGTGACGGCTTGACGCAGATGGCAGTGCCACTCGCGCTACATCCCGACTCCCGAGTACCTCGTTGCTCACTGCTCAGTTCGCTTCGCTCAGTGACGCCGTACAGTACCGTATATGAAAAATCGCATCGATCGCAAGTAGCGAATATATCGTGAAAAAAAATATCTCCTGTGATATAAGAAACTGCGTTTGGACGTGAACTGTGAGATTCGATTGAATTCGAGAAAAGTGTCTGTGGCGAAGGCGAAAACATGGAACACCATTGCGAATCGAATTTGAAGAATTTACGAGAAAAATTCAATTGGGAGATCGACGAGGAGCGACACGAGTTTCTTCGACAGCTTTACACCTTCATCGACAATTGGAATGGCGACAGATATCCAGATCTACGAGAAATTTTTAGCCCTGAAGAAATTGAATGGCTTCTTACGGAGGATGTGAAAAACGCCAAAGATCATGAGTTGGCAGTTCCAATCATCGATTTTGTAATAATGACCGGTTACAAGGACGAGCCCGTTATCAACAAAGACGGCAAGCCACTTTTGCGTCGCACCACACCATTGCATCACGCGCATAGACGCCAGTTCTGGTGCTGGGATCGGGTGATCCCTGAACTTTTTGAAATTTACGACCGATTCGATGTGAATTACATCGACGAATTTGGATTCACTCATTTCCACGTCGCCTGTGAGTATGGATGGGAGGACCCCGTAGAAAAATTCCTCCAACTCGGCCAGGATCCTAATTGTCTCGCACAAGCATCAGTTGATCCGCCGTTACACTTGGCAGTCCAAGGTAATTATGATGAAAAGGTTAAGTTACTACTAAGACATGGTGCCGACCCAAACATATCCAATCAGGATGGATTGACACCCCTGCACCTTCTTTCCATGGGTTACGGACATTTCGAAGTCTTGACGGAGATATTATTCGAGCTCAGCAACGCCAAATACCAGCCAATAAAGATCGACGCCCGGGACAAGTTAGGTCGAACACCGTTAGAAATAGCCGTGGCGAATTGTTATCAGGATAATGTGGACTTTCTCTTGGATCACGGTACTGATTTGTCGGAATTTAATTTCCCTGCTGAGAGTGACTTCAACGAGGAAGATATACATGTATCTAGCTTTCTGTATATTATTAAAAGTCTTGAAAAAAGAGGATACCAATGGGACCTAAGCGACGTACTGACGATCTTGACACTTTTCGTCAAGTACGGATGGTTCGAGAAGATTGCGGATATTGAAAACTATTGGTACGACAACGAGGAGTTCACGACTGAAGCGAAAGAAAACACGGAGAATCCGGCACTGTCGCTCTTCGAGCATTATTTGAAAAAACGAAACATTTAAACGGTAGAAATAAAGCAGCAGAACAGCTTGAATGAATTAAAAAAAAACATCAATTCAATAGTTGAAGCTGCGATACACAAAAATGTTGACTAACAATTTTAAAAAATGTTGATTCAAGGTCTATAAAAATGTTGAACATGAAAATTTAGGTCTCTCATTGTTTAATATTGTGCCTACTATAATTCATATCATCTTAATTATTATACAATCAAAATAAAAGCAAATGCTGCCATGGTCTATTTTCTCCTATTAATATTTAACATTTAATATTTAATATAACTCCAGGATATGTTTCTTGCTCGATTAAACAACTGTACATTTTTAATTGTGTCTGTATTTTAATGCATGATTGCAATTTCTGAATTGTGAAAGGAGTAAAAAATGTAAAAATCTCGATCCAAAATAAAAGTATGATTTATTTGGAATAATCTCTGTCAATTTTCTTTATGACTTGTCGTCTACACGTATGATCGATTTCACATACGAAAGTATTGAACAATCCGATGTTTTTAATTTACTTATTCATAACAATTAACTTATGTAAAATAATTAAATAAATGTGTGTGTATCGGATTTAAAATTTATAATTAATAACTGCTTCATATACCGATACTAAGTCTATAACGTCTAAAAATTTGATGATTTTATCACAACATAAATCGGGTAAAATACCATGAGACATTAATTTAATTGAGTCAGTTGTCGCTTTTATCAAAAATCTCCTTACTAAAGCTTTAGTAATGTATCCTCGAATAATACCTCCGATTTTTCCAGTATCATCAAAATTTCTCCTGAAATTTGCTGAGTTTTTCGCTGATTCATAATCACACTTTTGCAATAAGCTGTACGTTTTATCAGGACTAGAAGTGCAAAGATCCAGATATGAAATATTATTACTAATGATCATCTCTTTAGCTAAGTCAACTTGATCTCGAATGTCTTTGTATGTTCTTTGTTGAACAATTTCCGGAATCTCGGAAACAAGTGAATTCAACGTATTTCGCAAATAGTTGTGCGTTTCAATGTCCATGTACATATTTCCATATTCTACCAAGCTAAGATGTTTTTTAATGGTGTTATATAATACTTTTTTTAGGGAGGCAATATCAAAATCAATACACTTTGAATTGTCATTAAGAGCAAGAAATATAGTTTCAACGTATTTTCTAATCACAGATCCAGAACCTAAGTAAAAATAATTAATATTAAAGCAATATGTCGATTTTTAGTTATGACAGAGCAAAATTTTTGAAACTGAGTGGTGGTCGCAGCACATTATATTTCTACTATATTATCTTCAAACATGTATAGTTGGTTTTTAGTTTTATATTTTTAAGAAATTTATTAAAGACTCATTAATGGATGCTGCGATCAACACAAATAATGTTTTTTGTTTTCCTACCAAATTCAAAAACATCTTTCCAGTGGAGATCATTGATGAGTAACGTATTTGATTTATACCATAATTCACGTAGTAATGAATGACGATCATTGATCATTTCCGAATCTTCAAATAACGTTAAAAACTTAAATACCTTTAAATACTGATGGTTATTGATTTGGAAACCTTTGCTCTGCCACAGTTCGATAATAGCTAGGACGTTTAGTGTCGTCAATAGGTTTAAGGATTCTGGCACTTTATGTTCCAAAAATCCACCTTTGAATTGCACAGTATTGACGTCAGCCCCATGTTCCAAAAGAATTTTTACTATGTCGTAATTGCAATATGACACCGCCTCGTTGAGAGCAGTAAATCCATCTCGATCTTTGACATTGACGTCTAATCCATGTTTTAACAATATTTCAACATACTGATGTACGTATTTCGATATCCTTTCCAAATGATTTTTCTCTTCATCGTATGGTAAAGAATATCTTGAAGAGGATGAGCTTAATCCTATAATAAGTGAGTGCAACACAGTTTTGCCATCACCACCACAGTGAGAAATGTCTGCATTGTATTCAATATTGAGTTTTAGTATTGTCAAAAATTTCTCTAAACTGTTCAGTAATTGTATTGAACTATAAAATCGAAAATTATAATTCAAAGGTATGTTACCGTTAACATCAGTTATATTTGGATCAGCTCCATTTTTTAATAGAAATTCAACCTGTTCTACTTTTAAATCTTGAACCGCATTATGCAGAACAGAATAACCGTATTTATCTCGGATATTCACGTTTACCCCACTTTCTAGCAGAAATTCAACTTCTTTTGCAATGTTTGATATTGGAATCCATGATGTAAACATTTTGGGCAACATTTGTCTGCCTAATTCGTCTAAACTTGTGTCATTGATATGATATTTCGCTAGTAACTTGAAAACTTCCAAGCATGAATCACAATCTTTTGTTTCATTAAGTAAGTTCATTATAGGAGTTAATCCGCATAAATTTTGAATATTAATGTCGGCCTTATACTGGATAAGAAGTTGAATAATTTTCAAATGAACCTCCGTCAATTCAGTTCGACAACATATGGCATGCAGAGGTGTACTGACACAGTTATCAACGATATTTGGATCGTCGCTATTTTTCCAAAGCACTGCTACATGAAGCGCTGTATTACCATTTCTATTTTGGACATTTACGTCAAATCCACTTTTTAGCAGCAATTCAACTGCTTCTAAAATAATTGGATGCAGTGTGTTGTATTGGAAGATAAGATGCAATACTGTATTACCCTCGTGGTCGACAAGTGTGACATCGACTCCGTTTTCAAGTAATAACTTGCAAGCTTTCAAATTTTCAAATTTGTAATCTTCTGTTGGGTACAATGAGTATATTATAGGACTCCAACCGTCTTCATCTCGGACGTTGACGTCTGCTTTATACTGGATAAGAAGTTGAATCATTTTCAAGTGAACTTCCGTAAAATTTTTTTGAAGACACAAAAAATGCAGAGGTGTCCTGCCCCTGTTATCAGCTTTATTTGGATCAGCACTATTTTTCAAAAGCAGATCAATTATTTTCACATGTTCACAGTGGTCAGCCGCTAGATGAAGTGCAGAATGACCTTTTTCATTTTGTTTATTTACGTCAACTCCACTTTTTAACAACAATTCAATTACTTCAAAAATAATTGGATTTTTCGCTACATCGTTGAAAAAGATATGGTGTAATATTGTATAACCATTATTATCAACCAATGTGACATCGGCTTGGTTTTCCAGTAATAACTTGAAAACTTTCAAGCGTAATTTGTAATTTTCTGGACATCGAAATAAATTCATTATAGGACTGAAACCATCTTTATCTTGAATATTAACATCGGCTTTATATTTTAGAAGAATTTGAATCATTTTCAAGTGGACCCTTGTAAGCTTGGGTTCATCGCATACAAAATTAAGAGCTGTCGCATCATATTTATCAACCATCGTGTTTGGATCAGCGCCGTTTTTTAAAAGCAGTTCAAGTGCTACTGCAGTATCTGAATTTGCTGGATTATAAAGGATGATGTCTCTGAATATAGTTTCACTCTCATTGTTAATGTGTGTGACGTCAGCTCCATTTTTCAAAAGTATTTTCAATGCCTCAATGCGTACTCTCATATCATTAGATTCGTCATGAAATAGATTCATCATCGGACTGTCACCGTCTTCATCTTGTGTATTTACGTCAGCTCCATACTGGATGAGAAGTTGAATCATTTTTAAATCGATCTTCATCAACTTGGTAAGCGAACATATAAAATTCAGAGCTGTCATGCCGTCGTTGTCAATCGCATTTGGATCAACACCTCCTTTCAATAACGATTCTAGTAAATCTAAATTTTTTGATTCAACGGCATCGTGTAAGGATTTTAACTTACAATCTCCGGGTCTAGACATGGTACTTTCAGTTTAGTTTTTTAGCAGAAACACTTAAGCGAATTAATAGCTCCAAGCCGCTTTCAATACGACGGAAAACTGTTATTTAGTCAACAAATTGAATAAACTGCCGACTCTTCTGTCATCCCCTCTACTGACTTTGTGTATACTTTGTTGATTTCAAAAGTTACCTTACATTTACATTGCCATTACTGTCATTACTGAAATACAGATGGTGAACTTGTCGCCTTTATTCAAATATTAAACTAAAATAATACGATGCATGAAAATTTGTTCAAATATTAGAAATGAAAAATCAAGGGATTTTTCAAGTAAAAACAGAAGAAGAGCGATAGCTTAAAAAGCTCGAATAAGGACACGATAATGTCATATTGCATGAAAACCTTTCCAGGAGTCAAAATTTTGCGTGAACTTGATTTGCTGTAGGTAATCAAGCGCATTATTCGAATATGCCATTTTTATAATTCAAGAAAGTCCTGCAGAAAGACTAAACAAAAAAAAATAACCCTTAAATGATTTTGCATAATAAAGGAGGATAGTTGACGTTTGACTACATAATAACGATAGTAGTAATTCGAACCAAAAAAATATCTCATATTATCTCAACAAAAAATAAATACAACTTTAAAAATACAATGTTCCAAGACTAATAAAAATATTGAGGACGTCACAACGATTTTGCATGTCAAAAGTGTGAAAAGAAATTCGGAAAAAAATCGGATGTGTTGAAGCACTAAAGAACAGTCCATGAGGATCGCAAAGATTTCGCGTGTGACCAATGCGAGAAAAAATGTGGACAAAAATCAGATTTGTTGAAGCACCAACAGACGGTCCACGAAGGCCGAAAAGATTATTCATGCAACAAATGCGAGAAGAAATTTGGACAAAAACCGACATTGCTCAGACACCAAAAAGAAATACACGAAGTTCGAAAAGATTTTACATGCGACAAGTGCGGCAAGAAATTTGGGGTTCAAAGAAATTTGTTCATGCACCAAAAGGCGGTACACGAAGATGATAAAGATCATGTATGCGACACGTACGAGAAAAAATTTGGACGTAATTCAGATTTGTTGAAGCACCGAAGGACAGTTCACGAAGGTCGCCAAGATCACGCATGCGACCATTGTGGGAAGACATTTGGGGAAAAAAGCAATTCGAGAAGACACCAAAGAACAGTCCATGGGGTGGCAAAGATTACCCATGCGAAGATGGCGAGAAAAAAATGATGATTTACGATTGAAAATATGTGTAGATGAAACTTGTACACATATTTTTCTAAAATTTCAATAAAAATCGTGCTGAAATGATTATTTATTACCCTAATCTAAGGTGTTCAACTATCATTACACCATTGTACACTAACGTTGTGAGTTACTAATCTTGGTTTTATTTTATTTGGCTACTTGGCTCTTGTAGCTTTTCTATGCAATGATCAGTTGAGAGTTAATTTTTTCATGACTTGTTCAAAACTGTAAATGGTGCGAGCATTTAGTTAGCCACTGTATTTTTAATAAAAGTCACAAAATATGATACGCTACCTCAAATTGATCAAACACGCGGTAGTGACAAATTTTGATAGATTTGCAGACAGACTTACTGTTTTGAGATTTATTTTGTAAAATTACCGACGCGAACGTCGTAGTTACTTTAGTACCGTCTGCAGTTCCGATGGTGGTTCAGAGATATATTTATCTTTTTTGTGAATTTTACTACCACTATTATTATATTTATTATATTTTATTATATTTTATATTATATTTTATATTTACTACCAATTTTACTACCACTACGTGTCGTAAGAAAATTGTGCGCCTGAATGAATTACACTTTTATTACGTGTTGGGTGTCATTTTAGCGGCTGCTTCTATATGTATGTATGCATTGCTGCTCACACAGACGGTGGAAGGGAAAAACTATCGCCAAAGAAGCAATCACAATCGCGGAGTCTCTTCACTAATACACGAGTAGTGTATTCAATAACCAGCGAAAGGCTAAATTCTTCGAATCCTCGGTGAGTAAGAGTCTATAACAAAATAATAAGTAAAAGAGCGTATAGGATTCTACCTCAAATCGAGGTAGTGTTGGTTACACGATCAAACATATATAACCTCAAATATTTCCTCAGTGTTCGGATTTTGTATAAAAAATCACAGTGATGAAATATAATCGAGCAAGCCATGGAATGCGACGGAGACACAATTAGGTATATAGTAATTTTGCTATGTGCATATCGTGATATTTTATGCGTGGATCGTTTGATGGAACTCGATTATTCTTCCAGGGTAAAAGAAGAGCCGAACGATACTTGGCTAGACGCATGTGACGATAATATCCTCGATTCAGTGGACTCTCACGAAGTCAACAACGTTGACACATTCACGTTTGATAAATCACCAGTGAGTTTCTTGATTTAATTGTGTTCTGTCTTTCCCCATTCGAAGCTAAAATAAAATTTTAATTCATTTTTTGGCATTGCAGAAAATGATCGATGAAAAAATATTTATAGATTTTCAGTGCAAAGACTATAAATCCGAACTGAAGAGTTATCCATCAATCGTGAAAATGGAAAACCAAATCAAAACCGAAAAATACTTAATCATCTTGATAAAAAGAGGTTTCGATTATCATAATAAATGCCATTTTCAAGAGAATCACCAATTGAAATTCGACGAATTTGAAGAGGTAAAAAATTCAGAAAAAACCTCTCAAACCAAGCTATGTTATGAGTGTACATATTGTGAAAAAACTTATAAAGTAAAAGTTAGTCTGAAAAGGCATATCAACGTAATACATAAGAAAATTCCGTATAAATGTGAAATTTGTCACAATTCATTTGCACACAAGAATCACCTCAATCGACATGTAAATTCAGTACATAATCTAGGCAAACCTTTCGAATGTAACGTTTGTCAAAAAGCATTTGGATATCAGAATATTCTCAAAGGGCACATAAATGCAGTACATAATCGGAGCAAACCTTTCGAGTGTGATAATTGTCACAAATTATATGGACAAAAATGTCACCTTAAAAGGCACAAAATGATAGTACACGATCTTAGCAAACCATTTGATTGTGATATTTGTCACAAATCGTTTGGACTAAAATATGACCTCAATCAACATATAAATGCAGTACATGATCGAAGCAAACCCTTTGAATGTGAGATTTGTCACAAATCATTTGGAGAAAAAGTAATCTTACATATCACATCCATGTAGTACATATGGAAAGCAAACCTTTCGAGTGTGATATTTGTCATAAATCATTTGCATTTATCTTACATATCACATCCATGTAGTACATATGGAAAGCAAACCTTTCGAGTGTGATATTTGTCATAAATCATTTGGATGCAAGAATGATCGTAAAAAACACATTAATACTGTACATAATCGCAGCAAACTTTTCAAATGTGAAATTGTCTGCAAATTATTTGGATATCAGAATAATCTCAAAAGGCACATAAATGCAGTACATGATCGGAGCATACCTTTCGAGTGTGATAATTGTCACAAAACATTTGAGCAAAAAATTAGTCTCAAACGTCACATCAACAAAACACATATTTAATTTCACATACAAACTCTTTGTATGTGAAATACACCATAAATCATTTGAATGCCAGAATCGTCTCGACCCTTCTAATGTGAAATCTGCCACAAATAATTTGGGAGAAAAGGTGACTTTAAATCTCACATTTATCCGCTTCTTATGCGTGATTATAATTTTCTCTTAGTTCAAAAAATTATAACAATCTGCTACCTACTCACCACTTCAATTATGTAACTTCTCGAGAGAACTTTCAAATTCGGCCGCCGCACTCGCACCGGTGGCCCGAAGTCAGCGGCCGACTTCGGGCCGAACTCGGCCTGAGGCGTGGCTGCGCATGTGGCCCGAATTCGGCTGAACATTATTGCTTTATTTTTCCACAGTCTTTGGGAGTGTATCTTAAAGCTGAAACGTTCATTTTTTAAATAAAAAATCTCGTGCTCTGAGTAAAAAATAATATTTTATATAAATATGGGTCTAAATAATAGTTTTTTACAAAACCGTGCGTATGTATGTCACCGATCAGGACGCTCTTTTCGTATGTTACAGTACATAAAACTGGTTCTTGAACTATTTGATGCTCTAGATTGAGCTAGGAGATTTCAATCGAAAATGGAATGATCAAAATTTTTGAAATTTGACAAGGAATTCAAAAAAAGTATTCAAAAATTTTTTTACCGAAAGTTCCAGCTTCTACAACCCTTTTATGTTGAAAATAGCGTTTTTCGGCTCTGTACGCTAGCGCCTTCTATGAAAAAGTCTGAAAAAATTTGAGGTAATGTATTTCGATCGAAAAAATTAGAAAACAAGGCCTAAGGCACTCAAAAAATCTAAAAAAATTCATGGTTATATGGATTGTTAAAAAGTACCTTCATTAATTTTTTCAGATTTTTTAATATCTTCAGGGCTTCAGAATAAATATAGATCGAAAATAGACGTTTATAGCAGGAGTGTGGGGTAGGAGGGGGAAGAGGGTGTAAAATTTTGGTTTTGAACCTTTTTATAATGTGCTGTAATATACGAAAAGCGCGTTCCGATCAGTGACATCAGTGACAGTTTTGTAAAAAAGTATTATTTTCCTCCATATAAATGGGTCAGGTTCAGAATTTTTAAAATAAACCTGCTGATGATGAGATTTTCCTGAAACGTTAATATGTTATACCAACTTATTATGAAGACGGGATTTTAGACTCCGATATTGCACACAGCCTTCAGAATACGTATGGACGTCTTTATTTTATTTTCACCGAATCTGAAGGTATTTTGACTTTAAAAATAAGAAAAAATTCCTGAAGATACATTTTAACAAAATAAACCACCTTGAATTTCTTCAGATATTTGGAGTGCTTCAGGCCTTTAGATAAAATCATTAAAAATTTTAATGATTTTATTTTGGGTGAAACGGTTTGATCGCACTAAAAAAATCATTTTCGTTAAAAAAAGCGGGTTTTCAGCTCTAGGCTTTAGCAGCATGAGTGAAAAATTCTGAAAAAATTCAAGATGGTTTATTTTGTTGCAATGTACCTTCATGAATTTTTTCATATTTTTTAAGTTAAAATACCTTCAGATTCGGTAAAAATCAAAAAAAGACGTCCATACGTATATTTTGAAGGCTATGAGCAATATCGGAGTCTAAAATATCGTCTTCAGGACTATTTTTCCATGTACTATATAATGTACTAAAGTTTCAGGAAAATCCGTGGACCTCGTCTGCAGGTTTATTTAAAAAATTTTGAATCTGACCCACATAAAAGTATTTTATAAAAATAGTATTTTTATTTGTAAAAAATAGTAATTTTTTTTATCCATCACGCACTTTAAGACTATTCAACCAACTGTGTTATGGTTCTTTCGTTACTTTAAAATCGCGTATAAGCGCCGAATTCGGCTAGCCGAATGCGGGCCCTCTTCGACGCCACGTCTCATGCCGCTTCGGCACCGCTTCGGCACCGCTTCGGCACGTGATTCGGCACTGCGCCGGCAATTCGGCAACCACCTTCGGGCCACTAGTGCGCCGAAGTAAAAAGTTCTCTCGGGTTAAAGGCTACCACGTTAAAATAACATTGGAAATTCTTGACAACGCCGATATCGCATCGTAAAACAATGAGACTAGCAATTTTATAAAATAGGATTATAGGATAATTGGACAAGTGGCTTCAATTCCATAAAATTTTATTGATTTAAAGCTTCTCAAAATATTACAAAATTCTATAAAATATTTCAAAAATAAATATTTATAAAAAATTAGATTTGCATCTAATTCATTTTTCATTTAAATTTTATAATTTAACGATACAAGGCCTGTTCAACTAGCTGCAAACGCTATTATTACAACTTCAAACTCCTTCGAACTTATTCATTATTTTACATATTTTATGCTTAATATTAAAATATAACAGTAATGGATAATGTTCATGGAAAAACAAGTCACGCTTATTCCTATAAAATTTGACTGGCCAATCAAGTCTTTCGAGGATTTCGTTTCGAGACAATTCATTAACACAATATATGCCAACTTTTACATATATGTATTCTTAATAGATGAAAAATTCGGAAAGCATAGCGAAATATCCAACGAATAAGGACTTGGATTAATAAATTATGACTTATTTTACAATATTTAAAGAGTAACTGCATATGTTTCAGAAATTATCAAGGTAAATTGACGTTTGAAGGATAAAAAAAAACTGATAAAGTAGTTTATAATATCACAGCTTTAACTTTTTTGTGGCTATTAAATCACGTGTACAATAGAATTTTTTAAATATATTTACATATTTCATATCGATTCGTCAATTATTTTGCTTCGATAACAATCTGCAAATAATAAACTGCACTTGGCTTTTTTATGAGTAGATTTACCAGAAACTATTTCGTTATTAAGTAAATTAATGCACGATAGAAATATTTCAAATAATGACTTTTTACATTTTACTTGATTCGATATCGCAAACTTTTCTTATTTACATATTTATAAAATATATGACTCAGCTTGTAATTTTTACCAACGATGGAAGCTTTTTTACAACAAAGACTCACTGCTCGACTGTGAATGTCTTTATCAATTAAAATTGACGGCAGTCAAGCTATTTACTGTATAAAATCTTTAACTCTATCCTCTCAGAAAAGTATACATCATTATAGAACAAAACATAATTATTAGACTCCTATGATAATACACATAAGTATAAAAATCTAATTATTATGAATTTAAACTCGAAGAGTATTTTCAATAGCTCAACAATATGTACAGTTGAATAATAATATTTTCATTGCAGAGACAACGATGCGTACATTTTTTTGCTTGAATACAATTTAAATGTACATGTATTTAAAAATACTTTATCTTTAACGGAAGTATCATTAGAAGGCTTTTGAAAATAAACTTATTTTTTACTGTAATCAGTTAGGGGTAACTGATCCATTGATTGACCAACACCCAGTGAATACCGCTTTTTATAATATATTTAAAAAATCAATTAGAAATACATTTATAAAAATTAGTAATTAACTGGTTGAAAGCGGCCAACCACTGGGTAAAGTACCCTATTTTGATTTTCAAGATCATCCGCTAAAATACCACTCGATTAAGATAACTTTCAGTGAAAAGTAACATCGTGGATATCTATACGGATGCATAGTTTCATCTTAAAAAAATTAATAAAAAAATTAATATGTGTATTTATACCATTTCATGGTAAAGGCCAACGATTCAATTTAAATTAAGCTTCATCGTTGACTGGAACTTCTGGATCTTTATCACTATCATTATTTAAGAGACGTACTTCGTCGTCTTTCCTTTTTTGACGAATAAAGATACTGATGGAGACTAAAATTAATAGCACTCCAATACCTGCTATAGACCACAATACTCCGCTCACAACGGGTGGTAACAGATCGAGAAGTTTGACTTTTTTCGCGAACTCGGGCGTTATTTTTACCTCTTGAGTAAACCATATCATTGGTATGAATGTACCGGCAAATCGATCGAAAATTCTGAAAAATATTACATATTTTATTGTTAATAATTCTCCATAAAATATTCAATGATATGCACAACTCACTTTATTTTGTCATCTGAATACAAGTAGAAATTGATTTGTAAAGTGCCTCTAACTTGTAACGGAATGCCAGTGTCCTAAAAAGAAAAAAAAAGAAAATGAAAAATAAATGTCATATTATGCACAGAAAAAATGTCACTAGTCAAAAGGAAACTTACTGGATGTATTACTAATTGAAATTCGTGCTTATCTTCATCTGGATTCATTCCTGAAATTTTTTCCGCATAGCTTTTATCAGCTAGATAAAAGTGAGGCAAACTGACGAACGCTGGTGCCCCAAATTTACAAGATGAAATATTCAATGTACCACTGGGTTGGCAGTCTCTACCTTGGCAGTAGCATTTCATTGAATCTACTTTAGCCCCGTTATCGAACGTATCCTCGTCCGATACATACTTGCTTCCAGTGACATCCAGCCATGTACTGGTACCTTTAGCTTTCAAATTTAACGATCTAAAATGATAAAAAAATGATAAGTTAACTATGTTTCGAGATTGTTTTTTACTTCAACTTGATTTTAAATTTACTGACGTGCAAATATCAGGCGAAAAAACAGAAAGTGTTTTATTATTTTTCAATGGAGGCCAGAGATCTCCGATAGATCCTCTGATATGCCCACAGTTTGGATAGCTGGCAGATGTATTTTTGTATTTCCACTCTCTAACCATACCCATATCGTAAAAATCGGAAATTCCGGTATTCATATTATATATTCCATCATAAGTTTCTGAATTATTTCTCTGTAAAAAATTACAAATTATAAGGTATATACCGACGTTAATTATAAAAAAAAAAAACTAATTATTCAAATGGTTTATTTATTATTCTATCAATTAAACGAAAGTAAGATATTCTAAGTACAGGCTGAACAGAAGGTAACTTGCAGCCAGTATAGAAAGCCATCAAGATTTATTAATTTACTGAATTAATTTAATTTAAAAATTAGATGTCAACATTACCTGATAAAACCATGCAAATTTATCAAAGGGAACTTCAACATTCACGTTATGCCTTTTGAGTGCATTGGCAATTTTTAATAATTTGTCATCAAATCCATCAAATAATAGTTGCTGAACAGTTTTTGTCACGACAATATTTTCCATTTTTTCAAACAATTGATTGAACACAAATTTAATAAAAGGTTGATAGTATCTGAACAGATAGGCAGCAGTCTAAAACATTATACAAATATGATTGTTAATAACAAGCTTTCATCAAAGTATCAAAAATTAACAGATGCAAACTCACTGAAACTATTGGATTTAAATTGGTAATTTCATCGGTCAAATTTCCCTTAGATTCTTCAGGTATAAAATGCCATACTCGTTTAACTCGAAACGTGATTGTTCCGTTTTTATTCCAAGTTTTATTCATTTTTATATCAACTTCTCTGAAATAAAATGGATAAGAAAACATCAATAAATAGTTTTTTAGGACTATTGATTCTAATGCTAAGATTAATATTATTTAATAAAACTACCTAAAAACATAAGGTCCAACTTCATCAAAGTGAGGCTTGACAGATGCATTTTTCAAAGTTTCTTCAAAATTCGTCCAGTTAAACATGTACATCTTTAAATACATTGGTACAGGTGTTTCCTTCCAAATGTCATAACTAGTCGATGTATTAGTTAATGTTAACTCCTAAAAAAAATTAAAATTAGCCCTGAATCGCGATTGTAATTTGCTAGATTGGATTTGTTTTTTATCATACCTTTTGAAGAATATCATTAAAAAACGTCGGCCAAAGTATGCCAGTGGTGATGCCAAATATCAAGGCAAATAATGCCACTGGCATCATAATCATGATCTTTTTCTTCACCTTCAACATTTCTTTAGTGTTTTTGGGTTTTCTGAAAGTTATAATTTTCTATTAGTTTAACCATGAATTGCATCAATCACAAAAATTATTTTGTTAAAGTGAATAAATTGTGGTATACGATTTCGCTGCATTTAAAAGACTACAAGAATCGGAAGAAATAAAATACAAAAATGTTCAATCTCAAAGCTACGAACCAGCGATACACACACAGTCCTCTCCCAATCGCACAAACAAACATTGTCTCTAGATCGCAATCTCGCTGTATAAGGCGTTAGCTGCGCTCGCACATTATTGCCCACACGCGAGGGGGATAAGAAAAACGCTGTTTTCACATGCGAGTCCGCACAAAACAGCTCGATTAATTGCCAATGCTTTGCCAGCGGCAACGACGACTGCAGCACGACGACGACGATCGACGATGACTAAAACGCATCGTTTTAACCGACGACAATTGTCTTTCTGCTCATTATTGACAAAACAGGTATAATCAGCTGACCGCGACTGACAGCGTATATGCACGGGCTTCATTGAGAACATGCCCATACAGACGCGCAGCGCACTGTGTGCGTCGCGATAAAATGTGTCGAATTAAAGCTCGACTATATTTCGAAACTCGGAGCTTCGGTGAGTGAGGCGCTCTTTTTTTTATCGGTCACTGGACGCGTTTAGTGACGATCTGGTTTTGTGCAAGCGGGTTTTACAAATGGAGTTTTTACTGAGATTTGGTTTGCGTTTTTGAAGCTTACCTACTATCATTCATCTTTCTAGAATCGTCGAAATTTTTTTTATCTCCGTTCAACTCTTTTCTACTTGGTATCGATGGTTTTTTGATGTCTTGAGAGCTACGTAAATAGTTTTGTTCATCGTTAATTCTGCTATCTCAATAGAAACTTGTTAAAAAGTGATCGATGTATGTAATTTTTAGCTCATATCTTATGTGAGAATAATTTTATAAAGAATCGCGAAAGCTCTGCATTTTGTTAACGATAAAAGCTACATCTCCAGTAGTTCCTGAGTTTTTGTTGAAGAAACGAATATAATGTTTCAAGATAAAATTTATAATACCCGTAGAATTAATGTAAGCTAAGCTTTTTTTAATCATTGACGAAATAATCTGAATTTATATACAAAGAAGCGTTGTGTGCGTTTACTTTTATTATCAGACTTCACCACAAAATAATCTTCAGTTAGGTTCATTGTTAGATTCGATTCAATTGTCAATTTCTGATGAATTAAGTTAAATATCGACATTGAGCGATGTAATTTTAATTCGACGAAAATTGATGTGCTGAGCTCAAATGAATTTTATTTGTAAACTGAAATGATTTCAAATTCTCATTATTACGCATAAATCTTCCACCTTCTGCATTAATCATTCCAAAAGATGCGGCTACAATCGCAAAAAAGTTGTGCGTATAAAAAAGTTCATTTTTTCTATTAAATGATTCATAAGCCGTTTTAGGATTTCCATGTGTTTTTATCAAATACGTTTGAAATTTTTTTGTCACCCTAATAAGAAGACTTTCCCATTCATGAGTCACAGATTATTACTAAAAAAATTTGGATTCTCCTAGTACCTATTATAATCAAGTTCACAGGCTTAGTTTGATACAATAGCTACCGAAAGATAATTTTGAGATTTTTATCCCAAAAATCATTTTTAAAATAATAATTTTTATAGATGCTTTAGAGATTATAAAATAAGCATAGGGTGCTTCATTATTAAGTAGCTCGAGGCCCAATAATTTTTTTCGGTGAAAAAAACTTTCTATAACTTTTTGGTGAAAAGATCTCCTTGTTGAATTTAAGGTACCATTATAAAAATTTCTCGAAAAAGCTTTCTGAATTCTCAGTGATAAGATTCCGGATCAAATCGGATAAAATTTTTAACATTGCAGGAATAATCACTCAAGATACTGACATTAATCTGTAATAATTTTGTTTCTCAAATATAGGACAATTTACGACAAAAAATTAATTAATTTAAAAAAATAATTATTCTTGAAAATGGTAAATAAATTTAGAATCATTTCTAAATGATGTATGCATTAAAAAATTTAGTTCATATTAATAAAAAGCTCACGCACTTCTCTATAATTAGATAACAATTGAATTAAATCTGAATTTCATACGATCGATCACTTTTTTAACCCTCCTCTAACTCTAAAAAAAAATTCTTTCTCTCACTCTGCTGGAAATGCCTTTTGCTCTGACAAATCATAGCCACTGGGTATCGGCTCGTCCGAATTATCATTTCGAGATCGCTCAGCTTCGTCGAACTTATTCTCTCGCGACGACTGCTGCACAGAATCCTCTCGTTTGTGAGCCGCCATGGGCGAAATCACAGAGTTCGTACTCGGCACTTTTAACTGATCATCGTTCGTCCGATCCTCGAGGCTCGCATCGGACGAAGAATTGTTTACTTTCGCGTCCTGCGCCCGATCGTCGGCTACGCTCAGCGTCTCCGGACTCGAGTAAGAGTCGAGGCTCTCGGATTTATCGCTGTCCAATTGATCGCTGCCACTGCTCCGTGACTTTTCTCGCTCGTCCTCGTTCGTATTCTCGTTCTTGTCCTCCAGCGGCGTCAGATAAAAATACGGCTTGTCCGGATCGACTCGCTCGCGCGGCTGAGTCTCGTCGGCGACGGCCGCTTGAAAGAAACGCGGCTTGTCGGCCGCAGCAGGAGAATCGGCAGCTTGCATAATGATGCTGCTGCTGATGATGCGATGCACTCGGACGACAACAAACGAAACAAACAAAAACAAAAAAAAAAGTAACGACGTATCACTCGCGCGCGGTGTCGAGAGAGAGAGAGCGACTACTCTTCTATCGACCTACTGTCCCGGTGGCCAGTGGTATACAAACTGATGCATCTATGAAACAAGTGCGCTCGTGCCGAGTTACGTGTGCTACGACGACGACGAAATAAATGTGTGTGTATGTTGATGTGTGTGTAACGCGCCAAAAGACCACACCACTAGACGAGACGCGTCTTTTAGTCTTAGTCGTCGTCGGCGACGAAGGATTGACTCGAGTCTCTCTTTCTATACAGCGCGATCACGGGCGAATTTTCGATTATCTCTCTCGGTGTTCACACACAAACACACAGCAAGCGCCTATCTGTGACCTATAGCTGCGCCGAGAGAGAGACAGATACAAGTTGATCTGCGCTCGAGATCTATCTTGACGGACGCGATATGCCGATACGCTGCTCGCGCCGTTGGTTCGTATACACACATAGATATATCGTCTCTCTTCGGACACATATCGAAGCGCCTATCGATGAAAGAAAATGAAGAAGAAAAAAAAAGAGTGGAAGAACACGTGTTTCGGAGCAGACAGTCTTAATCGCTATACTTACAGAGCCGATGCCACCACCACTACATTTGCCTATATTGGCTATAATACAAGCTCATCATCAACGTCCATGCCGAGTTGTAAATGACATGCATTTCCGATAAGTTTATATATGCGGCTAATATCGCGCGCTGCAATATGTACTATAGCTTCTCGGGGAGCTTATTTTCGTCGCTGCTCGAGCTTGTATGTGTCGCGCGCATCTAGACATCGTGCATCGAGGCATATATACAAGAGTACAGCAGCATGCGCGAAGATATCATCATCGAGTTATGCATATAATATAAGAATGTATATACACGATGAAGATTATAATTTCTTGATTTATAACTCCTCCGTGGCGATTCCGTTTTATCTCGTATTATTTCAGGCTTATAAATTTAGCGTATCGATATGCTTTACACGATCAGCGAGTGTTAATTTCGATAAGTAATTAAGTATACTTGCGGCTAGCCACGCAATTGTGTACTCTTGTCTTTTTCGTTTTCGTATAGATATTCAACGCGAAGACCATAACAGATTTTAATCTTGCGGTTTTTTCGAAAAGATTGTATTGCATTTAGAATCAGATATTTTTGTATTATGCTCGAGCTTGATCGAACAATGCTCTCGAGTAATTTTTTTTTTTTTTTTCAAGATAACACCTACACGTATGGGAAAATTTAACGGTCTAACGCGAGCTACTTTTTATTCAACGAGCACATAAGAATGACAAAAAATGATAGTAATGTAAGACTGCCTCCAAGAAATGACGTTCGGTGAACATTTTTTTTTTTTTTAAACATAATTTCATTATTCATGAATTATGACTCACGTGCGCGCAAATAGCGATTCCCACATTTGGTATATGAATTATACTAATATTACTTTTTCCAAATTTTTTTCAAATATTTAAATGCTCGTCGTGCATCATTAATTATAATAATTTTTGATCGAGTTAATAAAAATAGCTCCTCATCAATAAAAAAAAAAAGAATTATTTGATTACAAGAACGATAATTTGATAAAAAAAATATACAAATCATCGTTCAAGTCGTTTGTGTACATAAACAACTGGAATATTATATTGCATTATTTTTTTAAATATATTACATAAGCAGTATTATAATCGTAACATAATATAACAATATGTAACTTCACGATCTTTCGAGTCGAAACGGTTCCGACGCGGCGCTTACACACACACACATTATACGTATGCAAGTCGATGATGTCTGCACGTTTTGCAAGCGAAATTGCAAAAAAAAAAACAAGTCTCGGAGGATCATAACTGCTCGTTTCTCAAAAATCGAGCACTAAATATGGCACATTGAGCCTTGAGACCGAATAAACACGATATTATCTGCTGAAAACTTTGCGACCGAATGAATCTAACATTATATTTCGATTTTTTAAAAAGATTTTGGCAGGAAGTATATATTACTTGTATGAATCTTGGATAAATCGCGGCGCATGTGCACACCAACGACTCTATAACTTCTGCTAATACGTCAGAGAAAGTAAAATAACAGGTGTGCGCGATTATTCAATGCTTTCTACGAGCTTGATACGCGGTGGAGTGGAGTGAAAAGGAAAGTTGCACTTAACCAGAAGTTGAGATGAGAACTTGGTGAAATTCACCTCGGGCGATCAAAACTTTATTTCGATCGATCGAACTACGGTTCGATTCGTGTAGTTTGCTTTTGATATAAGTTTGCGTGCATCTGGATTACAAAATTTTTAATAAAAATCGATCGTAACATTTTTCTTTACTTCCGACCGAAGTTCAATGAAACTTCGTCGCTCGTGCGTGACTATTCGATTCGTTTAATAGACGCCACTTATGGCACGTACTATATTATTTTCGATACATTTTTAGGAGATACTTATTATCTCTTTAGACGATATATGATTTATCTTTGTAAAGATCAGATACCTTGGCATCGCAAAAAACAAAAATAATTTTTAATTACGAGTATGTCCGATACATATACAATTTTCAGCAAAAAAAAAAGAATAATTTAAAAAAATATTAATGCACCAACGCGCACGTGCTTTCGCTAGTTGCGCTTAGTAAATAAACTCCTTTTTTTCGTTTCACCTCGATAAAGATACTACGCACACGGCATGGTTAAAAGAATTCCATTCGAAGACAAAAAAAAAATAATAAACATTACGGTTGTGTTTGACTAACGAGATAATTGACAATAATTATTTATTTTGCGAATTATATATTGCGCTTTGTCAGTGACACACAGCGTACAAAGGTTTGTTATTATCTTACGTATGCTTACGTTTTATCGAACGACAGACACGATGCGATACATTTTTTACACAGCGCATCGCCGATCGAGAGTCGATGTAAGCGAATCGAAAAATAGTAACGATACAATTAATGAGGATATATTTGAAATTAAATTGAATCAAAGAGATGCCCCAGAATTTTATAATAAACGAAGTAAACAACGTCTGGAATTGCAATGAAATCTCGCGTATTTACAATGAAAAAGGCGCTATCTCGAAGTCGCAGCCTACGACGACGATAAAGCTCCGAGTATACACTCATCGCACACATCCAATAACAATTAATGCCAATAATGAATAAAAGTAAATGTACATACGCTAAAAGTCAGTCAATGCTAAAAATCACGACGCACAGAATTCGGACATCTAGCCAAAAGCCCCAAGCGAGTGAGATCAAATTTTGTTATGACAAGAGAAAAGACATGGCAGAAAACGCGAAAGACTCGACGATATGGCCGTTCGCATACTGCATCATGATGCGAAAAACATATCAGCTGCTGCTGCCGCTATAGTAGCATTTGGTTCTCTCTCTCTCTCTTTCTTTCTCTCTCTCTCTTGCTCGGAGAGTCAGAATTCACTCTTCCTTCTCATGCTGCTACTGCCGCTGAATGTTGCCGCCGCCAGCGCACTATAATAGTGATAAGCTGCGGAGAGTAGGGGAGAGAGAGAAAGATGCACTTTGGCGAAGCTTGAAAGAACGTGTTTAATAGTATAAAAATTTTTCGAGTAGCCGACGGCCCCAAGAAAGAGGCAAAAAATGACAGCATAAATCGAGTTTCGCCCGCGCTCGCGAAAGAGAATTACCGGACGTGAGAAATATTTTTGCTGAAAATCAATTATAAGTTTCAGCGCGCAGACACGTCCGATCGTTGCAGAGGAGTTTGCGAATTCTTTCTCGAAGAGCTGCCGATAAACGACGAGGAGAGAGGTAAAGGGCAATAATAATTTATCTTTGACCTCCTTTATAGCATCCAAGAGAGAGAGAGAAGATAAACCGAGCTTCGCAATTCGATGCATTTGTGCCAAACGAGTTTGCGAGATGAGGAGTATGAGTCAATCGTTGTTGTTTTTTTTTCTTCTCTTTACAATAATTTATGCGGCTATGATTCATTCGGCGCGCGACAATAACAAAAAAAAGAAAAAAAACTAAAATCAATAGAGCGCGACATTGCCGGTGGAACCCTTCATGTCCTCCTGAAGCTGGACTCGGTCCCTGACGCGCGAGCACATGAGGCTGTACTCGAGCACGCCGATCCTCAGGCTCATCTCGGATATCTCGCTCTTCATCTTGCCCACTGTCTTTTTGATGTTGATCAACGGAGCTGGAAAACGAAATGAGAAATGAAATTTTCTGCGGTGCGTGGAACAAATTCACAATACTCACTTCCGTCGGTCATGCTGGCGCCTCGTTCGTCCATCTCTTTCTTCACCTGCTCCAGCTCGTCGGTGAGTTTGTTCAGAGACTTGGTGCGTTCTTGAACGCCACCGCTGATGTCCCGATACTTTTCCTTGACTTTCAACAGCTGCTCCTGTATCCAAAGTTTGCTGTCACGCGTCTATTGTATGCTTCGTATTGAAAATAAAGTTTTGTCACTCAGACATACCTGCAAAACTCTCAACTCTTGCAGCTGCGGCTGCAACTGTCTATTCAGCTCTATTTCTCGATTATTAATTTTATCGAACGTTCTTCCGATCTCGATGTACAGCTTATCGAGTTGACCTTTCGTCCCGGATAGATTTTCCGTCATGCTCGCGTGCAGCGACTTCATGTGCTCGAGATGCGCCTGCCAATCTCTCGAATCTGATACAAACGAACGAATGAGAAAAGTAGGAGAGCCGTTTAAAAGTTTGTAAATTATTATTTGTTTTTTTTTACCAGCGTCGATGTTCAACTTCAATTGCGGCAAGACTTTTTCCAGCTCCAATTTCCATTCCTCGGCGTCGACCGTGGATTCCAGAATTTTGTCCGGTTTCTGGGTGGCGTGCTTGAATCCGAAAAATCGACTTACCAAATACAGAAAAATTATTTTAATAAATCTACGTACTAACCGATGAGTCTCTGTAAAATTTATTGATATTGTCCACGTGAACGGCATCGTCCTCTTCGTCGTCGTAATCCGTGACCATTTCCTCCTCCACCTTTTCTAAGATCAATTCCGCGTCGTCCTCCTCCAACTCGGGCTCGACCTCGGTCTCGTCGGGTGGTATTTGACTTCTATATTACACAAAGCAAAATCACAAAAATAAACATACCTAGTACGAAGTCATACAGCTGAAAAAGATAAACGTACTTTTGCCACTTGAATTTGGAAACTTTGATGGCGTTGTCGGCCAGATGGTCGAGGACGAAGACCGCGTGCTCGCCCACGCCCTGCTTCAGCTTGTTGGGCGGAAAATCGACGGCCGCGTCGATGCTCTTCATGAAGTCCAATATTTGGGCTATGGTCGCGTTGGGATCGTCCGACTCTTGGGGCGGATCGAAGTTCTTTCCGGCTTTGCGGATCAGCCACGCGGCCAGCGAGGTGAACATGAAGAATTGCTCGCCTGGATTGGTGGGCACCATGAAGTAGTGCCTATGAAAAAATTCTCGTATAATAATGGTTCAAATATTAATCGAATAAATTGCATTTTACCTGCTTATGTATTTCATCTTATATTTTTGAACGAATTCGGTGTCGTAATTCAATAGTTTTAATTTTTCTAATAAATCCTCCATGCGGATGTTGGCGGCGAATGTCGCTGAGGGAGCATCGGGATCTTCGATAATAACCTTTGGCGATTCGCGAAACATTTTTTATAAAACTGTGGGTTTACTGTAATGAAACAGAAATCGATATAGAAATCTTTGCGTATGAAGTAAAATTTATGTTACTTACCGGATAAAATGTTGACTTTTCTGGCGTTTTCTTGAAAATTCAACGATTTTTCTGTTGTCTTTAATAATCGATAATTATTTTATCCGATATAATTAACACTATTTAACATTACTTATCGACAACAAGTTTTTTTGCGCTCGTGCTTATATGCCTGCGTTTCTGTGTACAACAGGAAAGCAAAAAATCGATTTGTTTGCTTGGTCCGCGCCTGATACTAGTAAAAGCCCCATACACGCGCGCGCTACTCCGAGTCTGGTCTGCTACGCAACGGTTTGCCATGCATCATGTCATGCTTGGCGGCGGCTGCTAGGAACACAATCACCTCGTCGCAACAACAAACCTAGGGAGTTTTGGAACGGATGTCATTGTCTCGTTGGGTTTTTGAATCGACCCTCTCCCGTGTGAAATTTTCGAAAAATACGAGTGGAAAGTCGATCGAAAATTAGATTGCGTCGGGTGTAATCTATTTTTCGTTTCGGATACCTCGATTATTCGAGATTAGGTAATTTTGTAAGACCGCCCCCCCGCGCGAGTCGCAAAATACCCTGCAGCGATAGCGGCACTTTTGTCACTAGACCATCGAACTAAAATAAAGATAGCAGTTCTGCTCGCAGCGATTGCACCTCGCTGACTAATAGCCTCCGCCGCGAGGTGATATATATCACGCATCGCTATTTCTCGTTGCAATACTTACTTTGTACAAATTTTAGTGCCCCGTTTTTGAGCCTGTTAATTCCTATAAGTGTGCAGTGATGTCGACGACTTCGTGATAATAGACGATTGTGCATCGGAGCGTGTGTATGAAAAAAACGCCAAAATGCTCGACTGGATACCGGAACCGCTGATCTTTGCCTTGGCAATATTGGACACCGGCTTATTGCTCTTTGTGCTCGTCTATTTTGTATCCTTTTCAATAATTGTCACTTATGAATTAGAGTAAACGATATTTTTTAGGTTCAAAAGTTTTTTTAAAAATTTTTTTATACAAGCTATAACTCAAAATTATATTCACTAATGATGAAACTTTGATTTAATATGACAATATATAATAAAAAAAGTTATAATTATAGGTTGTGTAGCTGCCTTTCACAACCATACATTTATACTTTTTATAGAAACAAAAATGAAATAGGAAACTACTTTTTTTGTCTCATAATTTTCTTAACTCTTATATTAAATACAGGTTATAACACTATCAGATCTTGAATGTGATTATTTGAACGCTCAACAATGTTGTTCAAGATTGAATACGGTAAAAAGTTTAATTCTCATTGATAATTTGCTCATACTTATTTCATTCGTTTATATTTTCCAGTGGGTTTATCCAAAAGTTATATCGCACACTTTGTTATTGGTGCTTCTGCTGTTGCATGGTCAGTGGCTGTTGACCCTGGCTAATATACCTATGTCAGCATGGCTAATATATGAAATATACTCTACACCAAAGGGTAATATGGGCGTATACGATCCAACTGAAATACATAATAGAGGACAGTTGAAAAGACACATGCGAGACTGCATGATTTATCTAGGATATTATTTATTGTTCTTCTTCATTTACTTATATTGGTAAGTTAATGTCAATGATTAATGTAACTAAATTAATTCAAATACTTTAACTAAAATTACTATTTCCAGTTTGATAGTGTCATTGTTGAAAGGCGATCCAATCAACAGAGCTGAAGATGATAACGTGGAGTTTTAAGTGTCACTCGAAGATGTTCAGTCATAAGCTTAATGGTATAAATGCATCATGATATATTCATTGATTACCATTATTTTGTATAGCAACAGTTTATAGTACAAAATAAGAATAGTAAGTTGTAGAAAAAGCATAGATAGGAAATCCATTAATTACTTTGTCATTTTTGAAAATATACATTAAAGATGTTTATTTAATATTATCATCTCATACTATTAAAGGCTGAATAATTAATGAAGTAGTATTTCCATCTAGTCTGAATAAATGTCAAAAAATATATATTGTACTAATAATTTCATTAGAGAATCATTAGTTTCATTTCAAATACAAAAAATGATTAAATTAAAAAAAAACAGAAATCTGAGGGTCAAAGTGAAAGTAGCATTATTTCTGCACTTTTCAAGACAAATTTTAAAAATTGACTAGAGCTTTCAGTACGTTAACTAAACTGACATATATTGTTCTTCGCTATTGTCTTCTCCTTTCTTTGTTGGTAAATCATTTTTTATTCAGTTCTTCTGCTCTAGGGCATTCATAGCTTTTTAATTGTAACCTAGTTTTGAAATAAGTTCAGGTTAAGGCAGGCCATTTTTTCATTTGTAAAAAATTTGCTCATGCGATATTATGTACGATATTAGTTATTTACATTTATATTATGAAAATGTGAAATTGTAACACGAATTTAGGTATGAGCTTTCTTCATCTGTCCATAAAAATTCATGACTAAGTAGCTGAAATAAAATATTTTTACATGAGAATTGGAAAAAGTTCGAAAATTGACTTTTGCTACCGAAAATCATTTTCAATATTATATTTATGATTTGAAAGAGCTTAAAATTTAAAAAACTCTATCTCAATAGTTATATATGCTCGTTGAATGGGGTGGAATTTATAATGGCATATTTTCTATTTGCCAGTGCCTAGAAATAGATACACTTGTGTAAAGAGTACACGTAGAAAGAATATCTAAAGAGTCGCTTCTTTTGTGCTCTGCTATACACGCGGCGCGCGTATTAATTTTTTATGAAAAAGAAGTACACTTGCACAGTACTATAACATATACCGTGAGCACCGAGCAACTGCAAACTCGAGCTGTGCTCCAAGTGATATTTTATTCGCTTTTCATGTGTCATTTATAATCTTCCTCCGATTGTTTTCAACCACTTTTTTTTTTCGTGCTCTGCAATCTCCGTGTGTCGCGTCACGTTCGCTCTCATACATAATTGTCGCTGTTGATCCCTTGCTCACTTTTCTTCGTCTCGTGTTACAGTGCGTATATCTTGTTCTCTTTGCTGTTCAAACCCTTGATGATGAATGATTAGCGGAGTTGTATTTTCCCCAATTTTTTTCCGTGTGTTTTTCCATCTAGAATTTCCATTGTGAGAGTATCAATGGATTTTTGAAACAAATTACTATTGCCTAGATTGTTCGGCCCTTGTTAGCGATAGAGAACAAGAATCTGCTCCTATTGTCTAAGTTTTCGGCTCAAATGCTGTATGAATATTTTATTTTTCCAAAAGTGACTATGATTATGACGAACAATAAGCTTTGCCCTAGAGCTCCCCACTCTCTCTCCCCCCGAAACTTCGATTTGTTGTCGAAATTTTATTTTTGGGAACTTTATCCAAATTAATTCGCGTTTTTGAAAATTTCAAATGTAAGAATTAATGAACAAATTTTAAATAACAGAATGTGCTTGAAAACAGTTACAGACGGTAGCGAAATACTCGATTTTACACGTGTTTTATAATTTTGAATAATTTTTATGATCCATAAAATTGTTCTAGAAGTTAATTATACCAATTACATACTTCATTAACTCCCTAAAGATATAATTACTCAGCTCTCATCGAAATCAGGCAGCGAAATAAAAAAAAAACAACGCGTGTCACATATCGATGTTTTTAATTAAATTAGACATCCAATCGTTTTACAACCATCATCTCTCACGGTTGATTAAACTCATATTATCGAATCTATTGTAATTATCTCACGAACTTATATTTACAACGCAATGTCACAAGCATATAGCATGCGTACGAGCAGTTTATCATGTAGACCCTCTGGCAAATATTGCACATATATATCATATTGGCTATTACAGAGGCTTGGGGCGTTTTTGGCATAGTGTGTAGTAGTAGGCATATAATAAACTCGTAAAGGCCAAAGGGTGAGCGCAAGCGCGCCTCATATTTTTCCACACTTTTACATTAGAGTTCACCGACAGTCCATCCACCGTCCGCAGAATTCGTGCTATATATAGATATCCTACCATATAACACGGAGGGGCAGCGGCAGGTTGACAAACAAATTACACGCGCGCAGGCGGGGGCGAGCCGCGCGAGCGGGTAATGCTAGTATAGGCACTAGGCACCTGGAATCTAGAGATATCGAGGCACAGCACAGTCGTACGTATGTAGTTGGTCGCGTCGAAATTCGAATCGTCGAGCGGCGCAGGCGCCAATTCGCTCTCCGGAGCTAGCCAAGTAATAAGCGCACACAAGTTCCATATCTGAGTGCACTGTACATATGGAAAGCTGATTGTAGTAGTACACAAAAGCTGCCGAGGCAGTAGTGCGCTCGCCTCGAGTCCACCACTACTCTAATCAGAGCTTTGCAAGCGCAACGATACGATGTCGCGTAGCTCGTACATGCAAACGATTCGTTGACTCGTGCGTTGTGTGCTGCTGCCTTGTCTTCGTTCGGAGCACCGAGTGCAGTATACGGTGGGAGAGACGTATCGCAGGCTGCTGTGTGCACAGCTGCAAGCCTATGTGTGCAGTGCAGCCAGTAGCACTAGAGATACTCTAGCAGTAGACACGCGTTTGCGGAGAGTGCTGAGTGCAGTTGCATGCGTGTGCACAAACTTAGTATATAACTAACAAAACAACAGGCGGCTGTGCGTGTGGATCGTCGTAACATATAGCATATATTGTAATAATATTATAGTACGGAAACTGCACAAGATATGTCAGCAGCGGTCGGTAGTAGCAGCTACATCAGCAGCTACTGCTCGTCGTCGTCGTCGTCGTCGCCGCGGCCCATGCCGAGCAGAAGACGCCAAGCAGCGGATCGACAGCAGCAGCAGAGCAGTAGCACTATAGTAGAGTAGTGTAGTGTAGTCCGTCGAGCCGTGCGGAGACGTTACAATACAAAATATCTTATTATATATCACAATATAATAATGAGCTGCCTGTTACACTAACTAGACAAACGGCCGCGGTATACAGATAGAAAAGAAGGAGTTCTCTCTCTCTCTCAACGCACAAGAAAAAAATCCACGAGCGCGCAACCTCATTTATTTATTATAATAGTCATTATATAGGCGCACAAATTGACGTACGCGGCCCGTACGACGAAAGAGAGAGAGAGAGAAGCAGAGATGTTTTGCAACGTCCTTTAGGCCGGACGACGTACGGCGCGCGCTTACGTGCGTATGTAATTTATAACACCGCGTCGTCGTTGTTCGCAGTCGACGTGCGTGCGTGCGTTTAAAGTGTGTGTCACAGCTAGTCAATCAGTGCATCATCATCATCATCATCAGGCAGGCAGCAGCAGCTGTAGCAGCAACACAGTTCAATCGACGATTACAAAGGTGTAGATGTTTTGCCGCAAACAACAGAAGAAGAGAGAAGAAATAATAAGAGTGCGTGTGACAATAAGAGATATCGTCGTTATACACGAGTGTTTGCATGTATGCTCCTTATTTTTTCTTATCCTCGATTTTTCGCTTTTTCTTTCATCCCTTTTCACGTTTTTTCTCTATTCCGCCCACCTATCCTTTGATTTCGTGAATCATGAATCTAAATTTGCTTCGGAGCTTACTCTAACTGTCAATCGTTCTCGCCTGTCTCTCTCACTCACTAGTCGTCGTTTGTTTTCTCGTGTGTGTTAAGTTTTTATATATATTTACGCACAGAAGTCACGCACATACATCTTATGTATAGCGGACGACGCGCGCGAATCCCCGCGCGCACGTCTATAGAGTTAAGAGTAGAGAGATACAATAATATCGCTTTGTCACTTGTCAGTGTCAGAGAGTAGACTCTCGACTGAGAAGGAGAAGAAGAATCGTAAATCTTTTTCTGAGGCCTAAGCCACAGAGAGAGGCACGCAATTAAAAGCTCTTAATAAGCTATCATCGTCGTGCCAAAACAAAACACTCGACTTAACTCTCTCTGTGCCTCGTAAAAGCAACAAAAAAATTATATCGATATCGAGAAACGAGCGAGAGCGATTTTCAAGCATACACACACCTGTCACACCTGTTCTCTCTCTCTCTCCATCATCGTATCTTATACATAATATTATTTTCTTTCCACGTCCTGGGATACGTACACACACACACATTGGCGCGCATCTTTTAGCGCTCGATTATATGCTCGCTCTACTCTCTCACGTAGATAGAGCGAGAGAGAGAAAAAGCGTCCTCTGAAACTGGGAGGAGCTCGCGGGCATTATATGAGTTGCTGCTGCTGTACATACACACACATGTATAGCATGTCATGCTGTGTATACACCTTGCTGCGTTCGCTCTTTCGCTCGCTCGCTCTCTCGATGCTGTATAGTTTATAAATTTTGCGCTTACTGCCGAACGACGCAGCGAATCCTCAGCGTAACAGGGCTCGTCCCTGCGCCGCGCGCGCCAGATTAGGCGGCCGATAATAAACACTGCGGGTATTACACACGGGGATTGGCACGGGCAAAGAGCCCCTATTAAACTTGAGATTGATATCAAGTGTTACCTACCTATCAAACGTGTGTATACAGTACCATCACCTGCGCGTAAGCTCGGCAGGCAGCAGCAGTCTGCTAGCAAGCAGCAGCAGCAAGTGTACTAGTGTAATCTCCATATTTGTGATTATGTGTACTTTCTGGGTGAGAATTAAGCTCTAGGTAGAAGAGAGAACATCTGATGTTCAAACTTTCTCTGTATTTCTTTTGCTCTCTCTCTCTCTCTCTCTCATTCTCTTAATAGGCATGAAATGATATTAAGTCATTCGCGGGAGAGGCTAATTTATGCCGAGCTCGCTGAGATTTGAAATGTGTATCATTGACATATCTCCACTTTTCCTTTCTTTTTATCCGCGCTCTACTCTCCTCTCTTTTTTTTACGGCTCGCGTGCGCGCGAGAGATCGTTCGTCCGAGGTGATATTCTCTATATCTCCATATAGCAGTCCATAGCGATACTTTATATTGGCCTATTCAACGGTCCGTGCTTCGCGGCACACTGTGTTAAATGTTTTGCTTTTATGTAGAGTAGTATAGGCTCTATCCATCGCGTGTAATACCCGCAACATCTCTCTCTCTCTCTCGCTATATAATACTCAAGGGTTTCTGCTACAGTTCGCTGATTGGTATTTATAGGGTGACCTTTTTATTGTCTTTATTCCTCTTCGCGCCTCTCCGTACGCTATATAGTACCCGCGCGTACTCGGTGCCTAGAACTGTGTCAATAAACGACTGCTACGCGTGATTGGTTGCGGTCGTTTAGTGATTAACGTTCTTTTTTTTTTTTTCGTTACACCTGCTAATTATTTTTTTTTCTTTCTTTCTTTTTGCTTCATTTTTAAAAATTTAAATTGTTTAAAATCTTTAATTTATTTTAGTAAAAAATAATTTATTAATTATATCCTTTTCTTTTGACAGTCATTCCTTGTTGATGACTCAAAAATTTGGAAGAGAATGATACCCATTCAATGGCAATAGAGGAACGTCATAACGCACCATGTTGAGTTAAGTCCAGGCTGAATCAACTACCAACAGTTGTCACATAAATCTGCACCAACAGTCGTGAATTTTTACTCTGCAATTTTACACCCCAATAAAAAACAAGAATAAATCATAACAATGGCGAGCACAAAGTCAGCTGAAAATGCAGTGCAGACAAAGCCCATTGAGGTATCCGAAATGCTGCAGACCGGTGAGAAATTTGTCAAGTGGGACGAGGTAGGTAACTCTTTTAACAACTGAAAAATTTAAAACTAGCAAGCACACATTCTACATAGGGATTGAAGTGTTAATATGAAAATATTAATCAAGATCTATTTACAAAGTCAATATTTTATTTAGAACCAAGAGTGACTAGAAAGTACTTTAGTTGAGTTTTGAAACACTACACATTCTTGAGCATAACTTTTTAATACAAAACTAATGTAAAATATTTGCATCTGTTGCACTGTATATAAACTGAGTGCAAATATTTGGACATAGCTGGTAGAATAATGCAATAGTACCAATCGAGGCAAAAACAACAATTTAGAAAATAACTACAGAGTGTGTGTGTAAATGAGAAAATTGACGTATTACGTAGTATTGAAAATGTTTTTAAAAAAAAATTATTCAAGGTGAGCACATTGTTTTATTGTTATGCTTAATACGTAGGATGCAACTCCACAAATCCAACCATGCACTTTGTTCGTCGACAAAAATGGTTTCTATCTGTATTGGATACCTCAGAGTAATGAAACAGAAATACTTGATATTGCAATGATTCGTGATGCACGAACTGGAAAATATGCTAGAACTCCTAAGGTGAATGATATAGTAATTGAATAGCTTTATGTTTTACTTTGCTTTTATATATGATATTTGCTTATCTCATTGTCGAGGGGCAAGCCTAGTGGTGGTGGTGGCGGTGGTGGTATACATATATAACTCTTTTCATTGTTTTGCTACTCATCTTTCATTCTATTGTGATCTACACATTGTATATATCTTCATGAATGTGCTAGATTCATAATGCAGCTGTAGCAGTATTTATTGATAAATTTATAAATAGAGGACAGTCTGCCCTTTTTAATAGTATATAACATGCATGACTATTTCTCTAAAGTTAAAAGGCCAACGGTCATACTATGATATAATATTTAACAATATTAATTATGTATGTAATAATTGTGGTAAGTTATTTAACGCTTCATGCATAACGTTGAATTCATGTTGAATAGTAAATTTTATTGATAAAAATTTTCGAGACGGTCGAGTTTTATAAAATATTCAAAAAATAAATTCATCTTTTTTACAAATCGCATGATCAACCAAAGCTTCTTATAAATGTTGAAAATCATTAATACTTTCGATCGCCATTTAATTTTTTCGCTGTATTACGCTTATACGTTTTGTCAATCCATGTCGTACAACGAACGGAAAAAACCTACAATACACAATTTGCAGGACGTGAGATTGAAGAATCAAGTCACGATGGGCTCGCAGGACTCGCTCGAGGACAAGACCATGACGATCTGCTACGGCTCGGACTTCGTCAATGTGACGTTCATCAATTTCTGCACGACTCGGGCCGACATAGCCCGACACTGGACCGACCAGATTCTGCATCTGGCTTACAATCTCACGCAGCTCAACACCAGCACGACGATGTTCCTGCAGAAGGCCCACACCAGGCTCACCCTCATCACGGACAAGAACGGCAACGTACCCGTAAAGAAGTGAGTGACGTCGTTTTATTTTTTTGAATTATCATTAAAAAAAAAAAAAAATCATCGCAAAAATTGCGTTTTTGCAGCGTAATCAAGATGTTTACGCAGCACAAGGACGACCGCAAGCGCGTCGAGAAGGCCCTTGAGAGCACCGGCCACTCGGTCGGCAAGAACGACTCCATACCCATACAGAAGTTTCAGTTCGAGGACTTTTTCACGTTTTACAAGGCCCTCACGCAGCGCAGCGACGTCGAGAAGATCTTCGACCAGCTGGTGGGCAACTCCAAGAAGAAGCTGATGTCGGCCGCGCAGCTCGTCGAGTTTCTGAATCAGACTCAGCGCGATCCGCGTTTGAACGAGATCCTCCATCCGTACGCAAACACGGCCCGCGCCATGGAGATCATCACGCAGTACGAGCCGAGCAAGGCCAACGCCCAAAAGGGCTACCTGAGCTCGGACGGATTTCTGCGCTACTTAATGAGCGAGGACAATCCGATCATGGCCGTGTCCAAGTTCGAGCTGTCGGACGACATGGATCAGCCGCTGGCGCACTACTTCATCAATTCCAGCCACAATACCTATCTGACGGGCCACCAGCTGACCGGCAAGAGCTCGGTCGAGATTTATCGGCAGTGTCTGTTGGCCGGTTGTCGATGCGTCGAGCTCGACTTCTGGAACGGGAAGGACGCCGAGCCGGTGATCGTTCACGGGTACGATTACATTGAGAATTTTCTCTCTTTGCATATTACCGACGCGTTTGTAATTTCTTGTTTTCGTTGTTACATAATGATAATAGATACACTTTCGTGCCTGAAATCTCGGCGCGAGACGTGCTCGAGGCGATAGCCGAGAGCGCCTTCAAGACATCCGAGTATCCGGTCATACTGAGCTTTGAAAACCACTGTAATCCGAGACAGCAGGCCAAGATCGCGCAGTACTGTCGCGAGTTCTTCGGCGACATGCTGCTCGAGACACCTCTGGAATCTCACAAGGTGAGTCATTGTGTGCATAATATTATGCATTGTATACGTACGACGACTATGTGTGTGTGCATGCACGAGAACAAAAATATTTATTAATCCCTCGTGCCGCATACCGATAAACAAACGCCACGCGCGAAAACGAGCAAATTAAAATTGCAATGAACTTTGTCGTCAACGCTAGTTGGAGCCGGGCCAAGAGCTACCGCCGCCCGCCCTGCTCCGCAGAAAGATCATCATAAAGAACAAGAAGAAGCATCATCATCACAAGAAGCACCAGAAGAAGGCCCACCAGCAGCAGCCGTCGACCGAGGTCATCGACGAGGGCAACGAGGCCGGCGAGGACAACAGTAGCGAGGATCAGTCGGCCAAGGGCGAGAACGGCCCGCCGCCCGACATCATTCCCCAGAGCGAAGTCGCTGCCGCGGGGGAGACGGCCAGCTTGGACAACAGCAGCAACGGCGGTAACACCGGCGGTGTCGTTCTTGCGCAGCAGCAGTCGGTCGGTAACGGCGGAGTGAATCATCCGCCCATGCTTCAGAATCGACAGAGCAGCAAGGACAGCGCTCAAGACGAAGAAGGTGAACATTCTTTTATCGACGCTTTTTTTCATCCGTTTTTTTTTATTTGTTTATTAATTTTTTTTCGTTTGTATATCGATCGCTCGTTAGGAGCTCTTTCGAAATCAATCTGTTCCAATGTTGCAGACGAGGACGAGGAATCCAGCCTCAGCGAGGAGGAGTCCAACGTGGACCCCGTCACGTCCGAGAAGGCCGCCGACGCTAAGGAGACGGAGGCCGGTGCCGAGATTTCCGCACTTGTCAATTACGTTCAACCCGTTCATTTCATCAGCTTCGAAGTGGCAGAAAGTAAGCCAAAAGCACTTCTCTTTGAGTGCTTTCTACTATAATAATTCTAACGATGTTTTTTTGTTCTTGGTCTATTTTAGAAAAGAACCGATTGTACGAGATGTCGTCGTTCGACGAGAAGCAGGCGACCACGCTGCTGAAGGAACGTCCGCTGGAATTTGTCAATTACAATAAGCATCAGCTGTCGCGGGTCTATCCGTCGGGCACGCGCTTCGACTCCAGCAATTTCATGCCTCAAGTTTTCTGGAACGCGGGCTGTCAGCTGGTGGCTTTGAACTATCAAACTATGGGCAAGTTGCTTTCTCTAATTTATTTTCGCCTCCCCCGCAAATTGACGTCTATCATATTTGCGTTGTTGTGCGCCTCTAATTCCAAAACTCCGATACTCTCTGCCGAGTTTCGAGGGCGTCGATGATTTTTCTTTTCACCTTGATTTTCCGCTTCGTACGATTCGCTGCGCTCAGCGATTCTCTTTGACGAGTCAATTAAATACTACAACATCTATTCCTGTCGTGCGCAGACCTGGCCATGCAACTGAACCTGGGCATTTTCGAGTACAACAAGCGCTGCGGCTATCTGCTCAAACCCGAATTCATGCGACGCAAGGATCGACGATTGGATCCCTTTGCCGAATCGACGGTCGACGGTATCATAGCGGGAATGGTGCATATTCACGTCATATCGGCTCAATTTCTAACGGACAAAAGAGTCGGGACGTATGTGGAAGTGGATATGTATGGATTGCCCGCTGATACCGTGAGGAAAAAGTTCAGAACCAAGATCGTCCCCAACAACGGCATCAATCCTGTCTACGACGAGGAACCTTTCATCTTCAAAAAAGTAAGCCAGTTTTTGTGTCATTTCTGCAATTCGTAACATTTATTTTTATTAATAAGTTTTCTTTTTTTCAATTCAGGTGGTTCTTCCCGAACTCGCCTCCATTCGCATAGCCGCGTACGAGGAATCCGGAAAAATGATCGGACATCGCGTTCTTCCAGTCATCGGACTGTGTCCGGGCTACCGTCACGTGGCACTGCGCACCGAATGCGGCCAGTCGCTTCCTCTCGCCAGTCTGTTTTTACATGTCATCGTCAAAGATTACGTGCCGCACGGCTTGAGCGATTTCGCCGAGGCACTGGCCAATCCCATCAAATATCAGAGCGAGCTTGAAAAAAGGACCCAACAACTGTCGGTGCTCACCGACGATCTCGAGGAGCCGAAATCAGGAGAAGTCGAGGTGTGTTTCTGCTTTATCCTCTATAGAGCTATTCGATACTCGAAAATACCGGAAAATCAATTTGTGTACGTCTATCGTTGATAATTTTGACCCATATACGTCGTCTACGGAATTTTGTTTGATCGAAACGCGTTGATTTCGCGTTGGTATTTTAAATATACGTGTGGTCGAATCAATGTAGTGTTTTGTTTACGTATGAAAGTATTATCGATGTAAAAAAAAATAATAACACTATTTTTTTCCTGCTTTATATCAAAAATAAACCGAGACGAAAGTTTGTTTTTGTGGGTCAACTTTTTACGCGTCGGCCGAATTAGTCAAATTTTCTTACAAGTTTGCTTAATTATAATGTGAGATTTACTATGCGCAATTTATTTCCCTTAAGCCACCTGTGAATCGTTTCAATGATGCAAGCTTTTTTCGTATCAAAATAGTGTATTTATTTGCGAAATAAAAGCTTCCAAAAGAGGAAGTTATCGAAGATCAGATTAAAAAGTCAAAATATAAACAGACAATTATTTTCGTATAATAAATCCATTACACCGATTAATTAGTAGCTATAACGAAAATATTTTGATTAAAAAAAAAAAAAAATAGTCATTGTTACCTACTTTTTATACAAATGCGATGTAAATAGTATTCTAAATAGTGCACGTCATTCAAAAGTACATACAATAGTTGTAAAACGTTACTTGCATTTTACGTTCTTTGAAAAGGAATGCAAAGGCATTCTTTCGAATCTAAGTATAGAAAAGAACGACACAATCGGGCGCACTCAAGTGGCTTTTATTTGCGCGAATCGCTGTAAGCAGAGTCTAATCTATCAACCTCTATTATCCTTTGGCAGGAGGAGACGTCAGCTTTAGCGACCACTGCACCGGCTACGGCGGCCTCGGTCACGACCTCGGGTGCTGCGAGCAGCAGTGCCAAGTCGACGCAGAGAGTCCGATCGATCGGTGAACTTCCGACGAACTTAGCGCCGAGCAGCATTGGTAGCCCTCATGGCCGGCCATCGATCGGCGCGATCAACTCGGCCGATTCTCAAGAACTGGAGGACGGAGTTTCGGCGCTAGCTGTCACTGTGGTCGATGGCTCGTCCAACAAGAGCCCATTGAATGCCAGTACAAGTGAGTGCTTTTATCGGTGCATTTTGTAGTTTTTGAAAGAAGGTTTTTCACGATCATGTTTAGTCAGAGTGATAATTATTTTTTAAATATTTTAGAATGACTAAAAAAACATAAACTTGAAAGTTTACTCAAGCTAAGTGAAAAAATATCTACAAAGAAAGATATTATTAGAGTTAAAATTTTAAAAATATTAGATTTGAATTACTTTTACATTAATAAAAATAAAAAATTAAGTTTGTGACCAGAATTGAATATTAATTTTTGAATAATGTATTCGTGCAATAATCTCCATCGTAACGAGTACGCAAACTTGTTTATTTTGAAATTGCTTCATGAAATTGTTTTCTCCGATAGGTTCGTTTTCGCTGATTGCGGAAGACATCGTCGCCGAGTCTTTGGAAAAGTTAATGGAAAACAAACTAGTTAAAGAGAAAAAGATGGAACTGGAAAAGAAGTTGGAATCGCTGAAGAAAAAGCAAGAGAAGGTAAGTTAGTTTTTTATTATTTTTTTTCCTAATTGCGACAACATCGCTTCTTTTATATTCGCTTGGATTGCTTTACAATCAATAGTGCGATAATAAAATTATCGTGGTATAATTAATCGTTTTATTTTGAAAATTATGATGTCAATTATATATACGATTTTTAATAGAAATATCGTTCGACTCTCGTTATCGACACTTTGAAAACATTTGTTGTCGTGTTTTAGGAAAAAGTCAAAGTACAAAATTCGAAAGGATTGGTCGATAGCGACAATAAAAAGTCCAAATTTAATATGGGTAATAAATTAGTCAAGCGACTATCCAGCAAAAACATGTAAGTAACATTTCTTATATACTAATTTTATTCGAAATAATATTTCAATTACGTGGGTGTGATTTAATAATCGTTTAGTTAATATTCTATTTGTTTTTATTGGCACTGTCTATCTTTTGGCTTGTTTTTCTCCATCGCCATGTAAACTCCGTCCGTGGCTAGATTTTTAGTCGATATCACTTAAAACTACGCATCTCTAATCACCGAGTTTAAAAAAATCAACACTCTTTATAGTCACGTAAAGACGTACAAACGAAACTCATACATATTGATTTAGCTGTTCGACGCAATGCTCGTCACAATTAGCGGCTACTACGCCGTTCGTGCCTCCGCACAATTTTTTATCTATAAACGATTCCACATACATTTATAATGGTGTTGATTCACTCATTCACCGCTTATCTTATGGCAGATGGCCTAAAGAAATAATAATTGATTGACGTTATTAAAAAAAAACAACGGAACTGACGGCGGATCATGAATACAATACAATAAATTAAAAAAAAGTAAATGCCGGTACGGACGAAACGACGCAGATACGGTAGCCGGGCCGATTTATCACTTTTTAGGTCGCCATTATCTCTTTCAAATTTGCCGCATTGTCTCGTATCGATAATCTCGTTTGTTAACTAATGCCACGACTAAATAGGTGCCTATCGATGACGTAGAATTACGCGTCTCACACGTGGAATTAGCAACGCAATATGACAATTAATTTTGATTTCAGCAGCTTCTCGAGCGAGGTGGCACTGAGCGCGATCGGATCCCTGCCGGAGACGACCGCCGAGTCGCCCGAGACCGAGGGCACCACCGACGCAACCGCTGCCCTGGTCACCAAAGCCCTGCCACGAAGTCAGAGCGAGCGTCTCCTCGCCGTCTGCAAGGAGCACGTGCTGCAGGAGCGCGAGCTCCAGGAGAAGTACCACGAGAGCATGTTCTCGACCGTCGACAAGGTCATGAAGAGCTCGCAGTCCAGCCAGCTGAAGGCGCTCCAGACGCTGTACGAGCGCGAGACGGCCGACGTCAAGCGCAAGCTCGCGGCCAAGAGACACGACGAGGTGCGTTCGAAAGAGAATTTTGAGGAACGATCGCCACGCGCGGATTCATCTTGTTTTTTTCCACAAATAACCCAATTTTCTTTCTACTAGTTGCTCGGTCTTAATTTTGTTTGCCGAAATCGGTGGAAAAAAATACGTAGCTTCAATTTATTAAAATAGCTTCGAGCTTATGCAAATTCTACAGATCTAGAATCAATTTCAAGAGTCATGCTGTGGCTCGTATACATCTTCAATAGTCTTCTATTTAACTTGAGTTTTGAAGGAAAATGTTGGATGCCATAATTTTTCCGCCCAAATATCTACGTATTACTGAAATGTAAATACTTATTACGCTCGTTTATCGCTATAATATCTTAGAATATGTAACACGTACTCTTCGACAAATATCTGCTGTAAAAGAAAAAATTAGCGTCATGCTTAAAAATGCTGATATCGCGAACAACTGTATCAATAACGTCGAAACGGTATATTAATAGCAAAATTAAAATTTATCGAGTAGGTGAAGAAGTTGGCGAAGATCCACAAAGACAAAGCCGAGCTCGATCGCATGAAAAGGGAAGTAGCAAAATCGACCGTGGAAAAGGGAGTCAACGAATGCACCAGGCTAACCAAGATATATGATAGAAAGAGGATGGAATTAGAAAAACAACACGAGGAAGTGAGGCAGAGATTCGATGATGAAAAGGCTAAGGTGAGTTATGCAATGTGCTATCTAGTAGGTCATCGAATATGTCAAAGCCAAGCCGATAATGATCTTAATTTTAAAGTTAGTTCAGCGAGGCTTATCTCTCGCGATTTTATACATAAATGGGTAATTTAAATACGAAATTCGAAAATAGCATAATGTTGGAAAACTTTTATTAATACTTTTCATCTATGTTTGATCTTGCACCTTACCAGGAAAAAAAGTAATGATTCATTAGTATGACATTGCACTCGGGTCTTCACAGTACTGATAAATGTAAACAAGCCGAAATTGATTCACGTGAGAGTTATCTTTAAATAGCGCTGCGATTTTAATTGGTATTTGAAAAGCCAGTTGGCTTTTTATATACAGATTTTTGATTACCGGTTGAATCTGGATGTATAAGACCCAGCGACTCAATTATCAAAATCGGAAGCTATTTAATTATGTAATATTGAATAAGTGTAATAAGTTTTATCTTGATTATTGATTTTAATATGATATAATTATATTTGTGATGGGCTCGATCGTAAAACCGGATGTAGCAATTGCATCTTTATCTACTATGCATTTTTACAAGAATAATTTATGTAATTTTACGATTAATGGGTGGCTGTTAATGTCAATAGTCAATAATCAATAGTGAGAAATTGACCTTGTGAACGAAGAAATGTAGGTCAGTACAGGGCCTGTTACAAAAATATTCCGTAGCAATCTTCGATATCTAATTAGCATACCGCAAAAGTGCAAATTAATCGTGAGTAACGCGGAGGTATCCGTTGCACACGTGACACCGGAGTTCAATAGCCTGTCACGTCATATTATAATTACGTTACGTTCCGATATGATCGAACGCGCGACTTTGTTGATTCGAATCTCTGAGGAGGCGAGAACCCCGCCGATTTTTCATACAAATTTGCTGGCGCGATAAGGCGCCGCAACCTTCGACTTGTTTATTACAGATCTTTTTATTCTTAGAAAGTTATTGTTGCATCACTGCACAATTACCAATTATTTAATTAAACCGAGAGAATTTTTATTTATGGCGACTGTGATTTTTCGCACGGAATTAATATTATTATATATTTGCAGGTACGCGCGGCTCTACAGACCGAGTACACCAGCCGCTACAGCAAATTCGAGAGCGGCTCGATCGAACTGTCGCCCACCAAGGGAGGAGGAGGAGGAGGCGGCGAAGCAGGAGCGGGAGAGTCCGCCGAGGACCAGCACCAGCCGAGCGACCAAGTGGACAAGCCCTACTAGCAGGAGGAGTCCGGGGCTCGCCAATGGTTCATCTGCTTTCGACGCCAGAAGCACCACCGCTGAACGCGAACGAGGCACAAGAGATCCCATCTTAACCATGGGCCCTGCCGCAATAACGATAACAAAAATGACTCATTCTTCTTGAATAAGTAAGTCTTCAACTACTCTGCTGCGCGGCGATCGTAAGGATGATGTTTAATGCACAAACGGCATCATCCTTCGACGAGCTAAACGTCGCGCGGCAACAACAGCAAATCTCTTGCCCCCCTGTGTTACAATCCGCTGCGCGCACGGAGTCGACACACACACACACAACTCGACTCAGGCGCCAGAAAGATCGGCGCCGAGTAAGGCCGCCACAGTCAGGCCCCGAGAAAATTACGAGGAGCTGCATTTCTATTTAAAATATTAGCAAAAAAAAAGTAACATTCCAATTTTTCCTTGTCGATGAGAGAAACATGATTCAACGCGGTGGTGTGTTTCTGGGTGCGTTGGCCACTTGTCGCCAAAAAAATACTCTCCGATTATAAGAAAAAAAAAAAGAAGTAAATTGTCAAAGTAAACAGGTTCACGCTCTCATACACACTTGCATGCATACGTACAAAAAAAATCGCTTGCACGCACACACACATACGTACACGTACATATACACGAACGCGCACGCGTCATCGACAGTATTAAGTAATACAATTGATAAGTGGGTGGTATGGCAAATTTTTCTTTTTTCTAAAGCGCCAAATATATAAATCGTAGGCTGATATAGATCAAACATGAGAGATAAGCGTGCAACGATAAAAAAAGAAGAAGCGTCGTTGACGAAACAATCGAGCAAAATTTTGACTCTGACTTTGAATCATTGCGGGATACATATAATATGATTTCAAGCGAAAAATTTCATCGCGTGCGCACACGTGCTGCGCGTTGGGCTCTATGTATCACACACACACTCTATCCGTAATAAATTTATTGTTAAATACATGCATAAGCCGTTGCGATCTTCGTTCACAGAAAACTAACTACTAGATACATTATCTAACTACATTAGGAATTAGCTTTTGATCCATTGTGCACGAGAGAGACGATGAAAATTTATTGGATTCAGACCGTCCAATTGTGAAATATACAGGCCTAGGAATGTGAAAACTATGATAAAGTAGTTTTCCGGAAATCAAAAGAACAAAAAAAAACCTTAAATAATTCAAAATGACGCTTCGTCGATGAAAGCTACATTCGTCCTATTTTATTGACCCGTACCCATTCCGAAATATGTATTTGGAAAGTTCTCGAGAAAGTACGTAGTTCAAATAAGCAATCGGAAATATTCGCCTTTCCAAAATGTCTTTATTCTTGATTTTAATTCACCCACAAAAATTTTTCCTCGATGCTTGAATCTTTAAAAAAATTGATTAATTACTATCGAAAAACATTATTATTAAAAAGGTCGACCGAGACCAAGTTTTCCGTAAAGACAATCAAAAATGTTATACCCGCTAAGTGTTTCGAGCGGTCTTAACATTTTCTTTCATACACATATAGCATTATAAGTTTCACTACTTCGCATGATATACATTTAACAAAGTGCACCTCATCCAACAAATCTCATGATATGATAATATTAATAATAACAAAATAATAGTAATAATAATGATAATAATGATAAATATTATAACGACAACAAAATGACAAAATGTTAAGAAAAGGATAATAACCATCGGGATTAATTATCAACGATAATCCCGAGATTATGAACTAAAAACTGCACTATTTCGTCGTCAAAAATTATGCAAGGAAACTTTTAACTCGATTTCGTGAAAATCGCCCCCCAACATTTGTCGTAAATATAATATAATATATTTTACGTTGAATGACGATGCAATTCCTCGAATGACTCATTCATTGTTTTAATAAAACAAAACAAAAAAAAACTGAGCATGTGTAAAAAAAAGTTACAAGCAACTGCCCGAGATGAACAAGATGCGGTTTTTTTTCTGTAAGCATCCCGCATTGTGATATTTAATATGGATCTCATAAGCAATTATAGGATCGTTGCTGGGTTCAAATCTTATACAGTTAAGTATATAATAATATATGTACCAGTATATGTTTGGTTGTGCGCAAAATCAAAGCTCAATATTAGTTTTTAAGCATACGTTGTAATGTACATGTCGAAATTAGTTTTTAATTGGACGTATACTCCACACGATGCGTGACGAAAAAAAATATGTGTTTTACTGTTGTGAATAATGTGTTTTTTTCGGAAAAAACATGTGTATATGGGCTGTATCGCGACACGACCACGGTGGCGAAAAAAAATATCAACTAAAATACGTATTATCAAAGATTGAAATTTTCCGCTTACAATAGTAGTTATTATAAACTTTCAGAATTACCCTAAAATAAATAATAGGGGTTTACGATACGTACAAGGATTATGATTAGCATTTTAGGCGCTACCCACGATCAGAGTACCGTAATCTGTTTCAAATTTTATACAGTTATGTGAAATCAATTTTTTTCGGGCTTTAATGAGATGAATAGAATGATTATAGAATATAGATCATCAAATAACGAGAAAGCAAATACTATCGAATAAAGAGTACGCACGTTTGTTGATCTAAGTTAAAAAAGGCAAAGAATAGCGTGTTGCTTGGCAAAATTCTAACGGAATTAATTTTCCGTGAGTTTTTTAATTATAAAATTCAATTTAAAATTTTTGTCAGTCCATGAGCGATAAAACCAAAAATTTCCGAATCTTCATACTTATTTTAATCTCCGCACATGAGAATGTATGTAGTTGATACATCATTTATGTGCTGTTAACGGTCAAGACGATACAGTCCATATTTTAATTTTACGATACGAAACCCGAGATTATCACGTTCATGTCTATGTGGTTATCTTACAAATATTGCTTAGATTGTGCAAGGAAAAGGATATTTGAGTTTATCGGAGCCTTCGACTTTATCCTAAAGAACGTATTAAAACTAAAAAAAAAAAAAAATAAATCACTGTACTCTGTTCTATTGAGAAAAATAGTACTCAACTATGTGTAATTTTTTGCGAGATATATATATTATACGTTAAATTTTTTAAGATTTCTTTTTTATACTGTACGTCAATTATTGATTTTTAAATATTATGCTTTTGTTATTTTATGCATACGATTGAAAATTTTATTTTTCCTACTTTGTACGATTTCTATTGTTTAATTGAAAAATGTGATATTTTCGGAGACACTGAAAATTTAAGCGTAAGTGTTTGAAATATAAGTGTAATTTTAACGTTGTGTAGCGATCAGTAAAAGTTTTCCTTCGTAGAGTGTATAATCAAGCTTGATCGTTGATTTAAGTCTGCTTTTCATGTTACAGAAAAAGATTTTTTAAGCTTACTTCATTTTTGATTTCCATTTACTAAAGGTTTATCTCAATCAAAACTGCAAATAAGTTTTGATTAAAACGCAAAAGTAAACTACGAATTTCATACATTCATGTAATACCTTTTATAGAATTAAGTATGTTTATTCGAGGGCTTACATACACTTTGGGTACATTTGAAAAAAATTGAGGGTGAACGTGAGCCCTCGACGTATGAAATTTATTATAAAAGCCAAGAATAAAAAATATGTAAAATCGAAGTTCAATGATGCTTATACGAATTCATGATTTAAAAAATAGCACAAAGCAATTAATTTCCAGTGAAAACTTTTACTTTTATTTTTGATATGAAACATTTTCAATGATTGCTCAGAGCAAAGGAAATAATTGTAAATATATGTTTTATGTAATAAGTTTTTAATTGAAAACTTTTTAAGTCCGTTGATCGGATCTATTTCCGTTATGTGAATAACGAAAGCATAACTTACTTTATATCTACATACCAGGAGAAAAATAAATGAGTATTATCGAGTTCTTTTACGTTCGCATAAAAACAAATCTATATAAGATAATTTTAAAAAAAGGTACAAGTCCATCTTTATAATACCGAATATACTTACATACTGTTCCTTCGACTTCTTCCTGGTACTTTTTAAGTATTTGTAAATACTGTGGATCACAAAGACGTAATATAAAATACTACATTCAACGTTAAGAACATGATAATTATAATTATTATAATAATATTATCAATGATATGTTGTTGCTGTTGATATTGTTAATGGTATTAATAGATGATATGGAATAGTCATACTCACAGTTCTATAGGTAAGGATATAATTGTTACTTTATAATAAATCTTGTTACACAAATCGATCGCTGTCAAAAAGGCATCGATTTTGGTACGAGCAGTTGTAAGACCAACCGTTCTAAAAATATAGCTCATCTAAAGCTGTTATTAAGTCCATTAGAATTTTATTTTACATTAAGTGTTAGCTCCAAAAAGTTATATTGTGTTACTGATAATTTTTTTAGTACTAAGAGAATGAGAGAGAGCGAGAGAAAGAAAGAGAGTAAAAAATTAACTAGTCTCATATTGATATAAAGTGAATCCATTGTTTTGTTTTACTATTGGCTGGAACGTAATATATTTTCATTGATGCGAAATGTAAATAATCTATGAATAAATGAAACAACTAAGTAAACAATTTTGATCTGAACGTTTTCGAAGAGTCAGTTTGCCAAATATTACGAATAGAAGTTTCATAAACAATAAGTCATTTGCGATTAATTAGTCCATTTTAATTCATAAATAAAAAAAATTAGATTTTTTCATAGTACAAAATATTTATTCACGTAATAAAGTGAGCCTTCAATTGAAGAAAAAAATTGAATGGCTGCCTATAGGTAATCCAAATAGATACCTTAACTTATAATATTATCATTATTAATTTTGTTGTGAATATTTATTATTTTCAAATGCACAAAAAAAGGTGTAATGAAATTTCACGTGATAAATGAAAAATTGTAATCACAGTATTCTACGAAAAGTAATGTCTATTTCTGGAAAGTTTATTGAACCATTTTTCGAAGTTAAATAAAAACACTCTTTTCTGTTGTCATAATATTACATGCAAATTTATCATTCTTACATACCATTATATATCTCCTCATATTGTAAAGTTGAACAACCACCAACGCGGTTACCAACCCTTCTCAACATATCTTCTTTCCTTCCTTAGTTTGAATCATTTCATTTGTTTAGAAAAAGAATTTATTTTTGTAACAAAATCTTGAAAGATAAGGTAGAGAAATTAATTTTAATTTCAATTTTTTTTATAACGAGTCAACTGTTATCGCGCTGTCTTATCACGAAAAAAAATTAAAATTAATACAGCATAGTAAAAAATGAAAGTTTATATCTTTAAAAAGTTTAGAAGATACTACAGTTATGAAAACCATTTGAATTACCCTACACTTGAATTAAATAAATATTGAAAAATGTCTGTTTATACTATTAAACGTCAATTAAGCTTTATTAATGTTAATGCAATTATAAACTTAAAGGGTGATGTACGGATGCGTCATATTAATTTCTGAATAATGAGAAACCATTCATTAATGACTTGAAATTTTTGCATTAAGGAGTAGTAATCTATTATATCTATGTATTATAATATTTTCAGTACTATGTTTTGCATAACATGTTCTCATGCGAGCGATTTTTTGCTAATGTTTTGATCACTCTTTGTGTTAACGATATCTATCGAACTTTTGAACCGATTTTAATGAAAATTTAAGTATATATTTTCCACCTCAATTCATTTCTCTGGAATTTGGCGTGATTCATTTTTGATGTACCAGAATTAATTGAGAACTGAATTTATTGTCTTTAAATTTTCATTTCCACAATAGGCTCAGTTTTAATATTCATTTCATTTATTCAACTGTATCTATTTTCTATTAAAACTCCTCAATATTTCTCAAGGAATTTTGGATTTAATGTTTTTTTAAGAAATTGAAATAAGTAAAAAAAGGCAAGATTAATCGTTAAAAATTGTTTCTATTTAAACATACAATGTTTCAACTATAATTATATGTACAAAAAAACATTAAAACATTATAAAATCTATATTTACACTAAGCGCATAATAAATTTCATTATGCTGGAATACTTTTACATCAAGATGTTTTTCTAAATCGAATGAATTGCCATTCATTAAATAATTTTGTCTTCTCGAAGGTTGTCTCTCGGAGAAATTCACATACCATAAAGTTTTAGGAACTGTGATCGTTTAACAATAAAAATTTGTTTCTACATAAAATATCACTAGAAAATACTTTGTACATGCGTGAAGGCACTAACAGCAGGGGGAAAAAAGCTAGACAGAATATGTACAGAATGCGCAGATAATGCAAAATTGGTTCACTCCTAAATAATTTGTGTGCTTTCACTTAATTCTATACGTTGGTTTTTTGAAATGCGCTATGAGCACGTGATATCTGTCCAAAATTTGAAAATCGTCCTTCGACTCGCCCTCGTTGTTGTTGTCGATGAAGGAGAACTTTCTGCTCACGATGTCGCGCAGCAGATCTTCCTCGTACTCTTTTTTCACGTGCTCGGGCATACGCTCGGTAAAGGGATTGACGGCTTGAACGTGCTCTGTTGAGAAAGAGAGAGAGGATTAATTTTTGTTTCGGGAATAAAAAAAATTGGATCATTTTATAAAGAGATTTTATAAACTTACTTTTCAAAATTTCTTGACTTTTGAAGATGAAGGTCTTTTCCCGATAGCTGCAGTGCATCACCTCGAACCCTGACTCTTCGATGATCTTTTTCAGAGTCGCTCTCGGATTGGCGCAGCGTTGAAAGTAAGGTATGTATTTCGAGATATCCTGCAAAAGTTGATTGATCGACCATTAATTATACGATGTAAAAAGTGTGTTTTTTGACGGTATCTCGATCGAAATTTCCGAATCAATAAGAGTGAAAAAAAAAATTATCGGTATCTTGTATTTTTTCGAATGAATAATCTATCGGATATTACATTCTATATAGTCGATTTCAAAATTTCGTATCAACAGGTTTTTAACGCGGAGAAATAAATGAATGAAATTCTATGCATCCGAGATAAACTCTAAAGTCACGACTTGCATATAATTTTATCGAATCGATGTTGTAAATTATTGCAAGATAAAGCGAAAAAAAAATTATAAACAAAAATATACCTTCATGTAGGGGTTGTACTTTGGATCCTTGTGCAGCTTGAGATAGCTCTCGAAGCCGGTATTGTGGGCTAAAAATAGCACCAGAGATTTTCCACCTGGGCGAAGCATTTGATAAATGTTGTCAAACACTTGTCTGCAAACACACATTAAAAACGAAATTGATTAGGCGACGGCAAACCCAAAATTTATATATTGTATATAGTATACGGTTCACAATCAGCCATATATCAACGTGACGACACATATATTATATTCTCCGCGAGGCCCACAGCATATGTAGTGGTAGTAGTAGCAAATTGGCGCGTATCGTTCGATTCGCGATTAAAAGGTTTCGACTCCGATATCTCTATGTTTTATATGCGTATTATGAATTAGTGTAATGGAAAAAGTACGAACCACACACGTTTTGTCACTCGCGCACAAGTGGCTACGTTGAGTGGAGTATATTTCCAATTCGCGCGTGCTTTTTTTTTGTTTACCCAGCGTTTATTTCGCATTATGGATTCGCTATTCTTCTCTCGCGTGTATTAAAACACGCGTGTGCGCGCGTACGATGTCAAATAATAATTTTTTTTTTTTTACCTGACGTCTTGACACCAATGCAGACAATAGAACGAGACGGCGTTGTCGTACGCGCTCACGAGGTGCTGCGGTAGATTTTGCGTCTCTATGTTGAGATTGATGAAGGAGAGCCGCTTCTCGTCGGCGTGCTCGTCTTGGGCGAATTGGATCATGGTTTTGGATATGTCGGCACCTATATGCGAGAGAAAAAACGGATTGACAGCGGTTAGAAAAATGAATCGAAAGTTGGAAAATTTCGAAGGGAGCTTTTTTGAACTTTAGAGCTTTAATTTCAAGTTACAACTCTAAAAAGACACATTATCAGGGTTTATAGAGAAATGACAACTTACCGACGACGGTGGCATCCTTGGGCAGACGAGGTAGAAACAGATCCCTGGTGACGACGGCCGGTCCGCAGCCGATGTCCAGGCAGACGCCCGTCATGTTGGCGATCTCGTCGCTGAATTCCTCGATGACGTCGCTCGCGTCCCGCGACTGCAGTCCGTGAGCTTTGACGTATTCCTTGGCACCGTTCATGACTGTCTCGTTGATGAAAACGAAGGATTCAAAAAAAAAAAAACCACCACAAAAACTTTGTTGACCGCGTTGAATTGTCAAAAAAGCTCGATCTCTCTCGGAAGAAGCGCAAACGGGAGTTTACGAACGAGTTGCAGTTAAGAGACTGAGACTGGTTGCAAAACCGGGCGCTTTGGTATGTGTATAAAAGGCGGGTTGTTGCTTGCTTGTTGTAAAAATCGAACTACCAAACCGAAGACTCTCTCGTGGTCGACTGTGTCGGTTCGTCGAGAGCGTTTCTTTTTTATATATACGGCCCCGGTTGTGCTCGGCCGTGTGTATGTAGACGCGATATATACCCAACACACATCGAGCTTCGCGAACAGAGACGTCGCTTCTCTTCTTTCCACCTCTCTTGAGAGAGAGAAGTCGCCGTCTCTCTCTCTCTCTCTCTCGCTCTCTTGCTCTCTGTCTCTCGCGAGACCGTATAATAATATTCGCAAGTGTGCGAGTATCTTCTTCGCATGTGTATGTGCTTAAGTTCGCTATACCTCTTTTTTTTGCGCGCGCGTACGTACTTATACATACTACGTACGTGTGTTAAGAGCACGAGTACGATCGTGATATATGGGTGTCACTCTTTCTCTCTCTCTCTCTCTCTCTTCAATTCTAAACACGTTGTCGGCGGCGACGAGCCCGCCCGCCCGCCGCCACACTATAACGCAAATGTGTGGGTATTATTATAATAATAATCTCCCCCACGTTGATAATAATAATTCTTCTTTTTTTTCTCTTTCTTTCGCCTCGATGCGCCATAATACGTGAATCGGCGATGTCGCTAATTATTCGCGGCTCGACGCGCGACACAAACACACGATAGGCCCACGCGATTATTATCTTCTGGGTGACTATCCCCGAGAGCCGTGTGTTTTTTCCCTTAATTCGAGACGTTTCCACGATCTCGGTCAAAATCTCCTCGCACTCGATATGTTAACGCGATACAACACTTCTTCCGCGATGACGAGCGGTCGCGTGTTTGTAATACTTGGGAATTCGCGCGTTCGCCCCTCGTGCCGCATGTCTGTGCATTGTACACATATACAGCATCATCTCGCGCCGCTCACATGTTCTCTCGACATGTGAGAGAGTATATTTTGTGCGATATGCATGCGTTTTCCGCGAAGGACGAGTATGGATTCATTATCAGCATCGAACTTGATAATAATATACGAGAAATATATTATATGCGTCACTTGAGAACGTAACTTTTGCAAGGTTCAATACGCACACACCACCACTACTTCGGTCAATTATTAGTATATTTCCCTCTCAAAGTTATTCTTTTATTAAAGTCTTTATCGGATTTCTCTCTCTGTCTTGTTACTAAATATAGCGAGAGAATTCCTTTTTACGGCGGTTCGCATTCGGCAGCAGCAGCAGTTTTGTATTTATTTATTTTTTTCTTGCACGTTTGTGTATAATTGGCTTGCCCCAATCGAGTTGTCATTGTGCTGCCGCTGCTGCTGGGGACGACAAAAAATCCTGAAATTCCATGAATATCGCCGAGAATAAGGAATTACATATTAGTCAATTTCTGCTCGATCATCGCTTTATAGCTATTTCTTCGACGAATAATCAAAAAGTTGCACGAACCCCGCGCGTACGGCGCAACCCATTATATTCGGGAAAAAATACATACACACATAGTAATTTTTCTGCAAGTCACGTGTCTATAAGTGCGAATGCGCAGCAAACGTGTGTAACATCTTTGACAAAAAAGATATATACATGTCATTTGGAGCGCGTACAGAGCGCAGAGATAATTCTTCGCTAGTCAAATTTATTTCCTATACCACCTTTCGATCGACAATGACGCCGAATGACGAATTAGCTGTGTGTGGTGCGGTTTACACACTTCAAATAGCGCGGGCGCGAAAAACAAGTCGCTCAGGTGATCATCGTCGTTGATTAACATAGAGGGAGGCGAATCGTCGACGACGGTAATTTTGGCATTAGTAAACGAATCGTTTTTTCATGTGTGTGCGCGCGCTGTTACTGCTGCCGGTGATTACTATCGATTATATATTTGAAAAAAGACTTTTTTATTCGAGTGCGGCGCGGACTTGGTCACGCGTAAGTCGCGTGCGATGAATCGGTGAGAACAAGTGCGCGCGGCACGCAGGCGGTTAATTTCTCGATGTTAATTTTAATGTCATTTTTTTGGGCTTTTTTGTTAGATTTAAGCGTCGTTATTAAACGTGGGAGACAGATTTTTCCACCCACTTAAGTAAAAACAAAAGAATACCTTATTGTATACCGACGTGACGTTAATACACCGCATCATACGATTAATAATGAATTTTGTACAGTAGTAATAATCAATCGTCGTCTCTTCGTATAATACAAGAAAGAGAGAGAAGCAATATCGTGTACAATTTGTAACGCGCTCCAATATAGATGTATACAGCATTTACTGCTATTGCAAATTATGTACATGTATTGCGCGCTGCAGAGATAATCGCGTCGTAATTATAAACTTGTACTTATCCACTATCGACGACGACGACGACGAAAATATTACGAATTACAATTTATGCTATTAATAGGGGGATAATGTGTATAACGCACATTAATTTTTTTACCCCACATTCGCCGCTAGAGATGAGTTTGTTGATGCGCAGTCGAGAGCTTGCAGCGGCATTAATTGCCATTTCCATGCTGATCTATGACGACGATGATGATTAATCCGAACTTTTGTTGATATAATCAATCTCATTGAGGATTATATAGTATATAAAGTGTTACGATTCTAATTCATTGACTGTGTTGCAATATGTAAAGAGTCTATATAGCTACTGTCGTATGGTATATTTACATTATTGACTTAAAGTTTTTACAAGTAAATACTAACTTCTCTGTATCGAGAGGATGATTTTTTCCATGGGTTGTATATCTCGACGATGATTAGGTAACGTTACGGCAGACGCCTTAGATAAGATAAATCATTATTGAGCCTCTCTCAACGCTGGAGGTACGAATACACACGTGATTTCCCTTTTTTTTGCAAAACGCTCGCGCGCCAACCACCACCACTGCCGTACATTTTTCTCACTTCTTCGACAAAAATTCTCGCGCTTCGCGGCTAATTTTACGCCGTTTTACATAATTTACTGCATTGGCGGCTCGCAGGGTCAAGCTGCGATCTTTGCTTTATAAGAGAATAATTTTTATCGATTCTAGGTCTTTTCGATCATCGCGGCGGCGGCAGGCAACCTTCGCGTCGTCGTCGTCGCGCAATTGTTGTGCTTTCTGTCCTCAGAGCATAGGTCGTCGCAGCAGCAGCAGCAGAAAAGAATTTTTGTAATAATAATGATTATTGTTACTTCAATTATGCGATAATGCAGAAAATCAGATTAGGATAATCACGCGCACGGGCGACAGGTTAGACTAAGCTGGGGTCACCGATACGGCACACACACACATAGTCGCGAATTATCGGCTGTATAAGAATGTGACAAGGAAAAAATTCGTTACGAGTATTTACAGTCAATACAAATCGCACGATAATTTGACGTCATTAGCATAATACACGTACTCCGATTTCGTATACACACGTATGAAGGGTGGCACAGGGTTATTACTACATAAACTATGAGAATTGACATTGGTCGGATTTTCCTCTGCTCATAGATGAACTTGCTGCCGCTGTGTTTTCTAATATAAACCACGCGGATCACATGTACTGCGATGCATTTTTGTCAAGCTAGCCGCTGAAAAATCCGCGGATAAATCACACCAGAGAGCTAAGCGAGCCAAAGGCCACTTTTGTTATTTCCGCGTATTTAGCAAGCTACAATATCTCTCAGTGACGATAAGAGACGACGGAGAAGATCTTGTAAAAGCTATGCTGCTGCGCGACCGCGCGATAAGACAATTAAGGCCGATCATCTCGTAATAATGATATTATACAAACACATATAAACTGCATTTAGATATGTAAGATGCTGTGGTTCCTTGACAAATTTCTTTCCTTCTTCTTTTTCTTCTTCTTCTTCTTCTTTTTTGTGTGTTTTGATTCGATAATTAAGTAAGCCCTCCTGGCAATTTACAATCGGGGGGGATACATTGTGTGTAAATAGTTTTTTGACTCTCGCGGGCCACGTCGTGATTCATCATTTCGCTATCGAGTCACGTTTCGCGGGGCACTGCTTCTTCTTCTTCTTCTCTCTCTCTCTCTCTCGCTCTCGGGTGCATAATAAATAAATAAATAAATAAATAAAAAGCGACGAGTAGAAAAAAAATAAGCGAGAGGACCGTTGCATACATATCTCGCATAGCAGATAGTAACCGAGAAATATCAAGTTTTGCACGTATACACCTTCGCTCTCGCTCTCGGGAAAAAAATTCATTATTTATTTTGAGGATAAAAAAGTCCTCTCCGATATATTGATTCTCTAGGCATATATACCTGGGCGCGCGCAAAATTATCACAGCTGAGAGAGAGAGAGAGAGAGAGAGAGAGAAGAAGAAGCGCGATGATAGCGACCGGAGAGAGAAGAAAAAAAAACGAAGAAAGGAAAGAATAAAAAAAAGCATACCGATGATATTCTGTGTTAACCGGTAAGTATGCTATACGGACTCTCACTCTGGCATATAAGCCGGGGAACGACCGGACCCGATGATCTCGGGTGTGTGTGTGTGCGGGGGGGGG